GGAACTATACGAACATTTGGATTCGGATTCGTAGTGCTGCTGCTTTTGGCTAATGGCTGAGGTCTTCATGCAATCTCTGCTGCCGCCGGATTAGTTTGTCCAACCATATATTCCTCCATCCGTATCCGCATCAGCATCCGCCTCCATCCACCGCCTTCCTTCCTTCCCTACCATTTCGTCTGCATCCGTATGCGATTCTGTCCATTTTGTGTTCGAGTGGTTTATTTGTCCGCCTCTATTTGCCTTGATTTCATCTTTAATTTAGGCAACGCCTGGATGTCCATCCGTTTGCCGGTTTATGGCCTCTTTGCTCGGAGCTGTTTGCCCGCTTATCAAAACATAATTCCGGCCATGATGAATCCTCCGTCCGCCCATTTAACATGTCCGCGGGGCGTAGCCAGCAAATTGAATTTCATTGTTATGGCTACGGTAATTAATACGCACACATACATCTGAATTTACCGAGGGAATGGAGTCCCCTGCACAGATACACACACACACATAAAGGGGGTCACTCTGATATGCATATATTTGTATGTATGCACTTCCGGTCGCTATACGCTCCATGGCAGATTATGCATAATTACAGCCATATTTACAATGCCGCCGGCGGTTTGAAAGCCAACGGGGTTAGCCAGTCAGTTGACCAGTCAAGGCTAATTCTACTTGAATGAGGCCATGGGCCCCTGGGATTAAGACTGAAAGTCAGAAGGATTACTCAAAGAAATCACTAATTAAGCTGCTGTGCGGTTAAATGATGGTTATCGAAAGTTTCTCTTAAGAACTTCAATGTTTTGATAAAGGAAATATGTAGAAAGGATTATAGACTTAAAAGAAGCTTATTGTGATTGCCAAGATTAATTAAAATCGAACTCGAATATCCTTTCAAGGGTGTACAAAGTTAACTTTAGCATTTTTTAACCTTTTATCACTTAATCTGTGTTTTCTGTGAAAACCTATATATATCATATAGGACTTTTAGGATAAAGCCAACAGCGATTTCACATCAAAGCAAATTCCCATTCAATGCCAGACGCAAAGTGCAGATCAATTAGCATTTTTTCCTCGTACCAAATCCTTTTTGAGCCCCCAAGCATTTTTGCTGTTTAATTGCTTGTGTTTTCATTTGCTCACATACTCACTCGTATTTTATTTTATGACACAACCGGCCGAGCATTGACATCAGCCAAAGAGCACAAAAGCCATAAATAACAACAACAGAAAAAAAGGAAAGGAAAATGAGCCCCAAAATAACCAGGGGAGAAGCAAAAAAAAGCAAAAAGGTGAAATGAAAGCGTACCCAACTGACCTCAACAATGGCAATCAGTCGACGTGCTCTCTTCAATTATTTGCTTTTGACCCACAAAATGGACGACCAACTCTGGATGTTACCACCGCAACTGATGCGATGCGTCAAGTGCCGGGGCATGCTGCTTCTGCTTCTGCTTTTCGCACGTATAAACCATGGCCCGGAGCGAATAATCAGTTGGAATCAGTTGGGTGGGTTTTATTTTTAATTAAACTGGCAGTTGGCAGTCGCGAGATCCGTACGGAGAACTCATAAAGTGGGCAGAACAGGGTAGAGTTGCCCTTGTTGGAACATTACGCATACGCCGCATGGTAAACGATTTAGGGGATAGGGGAAAAGGGAAAGTGCAGTCGGCAGCCAGAATGTGTTAAACATTTTTGTGGCCGCCGTTAAAAGGGTGCGCAAACTGGACTTGGATGCGGATTCCCTCTAAAATGGCACGTTTTGTGCGTCAGTTCGTTAGTGTGAATGATGTGGGTGGACTAGGGACTAGGGAACAAGGGCTAAGGACCAAGGATAGAAGACTATGTGGGTAGAGGGAAACGCTCAAAAATTTAATTACTTTCACTTGTGCGAACTGTTTGTCTCCCAGTCAGAGTGGACGAGACGGCCAAAGGCATTTAACGTAAATGTAATGAAATTGCAGACTTGGACGGTTTGTGCCACGCACATTGGATGCTTTCCGTTTCCATTCTGCACAGTGAAGGATCAGCCGTCACCGTTAACCTAGGCCGTTAGCACTCCTTGTGTTTGTGGGTGGCAAGTCTGCCTGGCTCTGTCTGCAATGCATTATGCGGCAAGTTTTCTCGCCTGGTGAGCTGCTGCTCCTCAGAGTGCAACGTCTTTTTATTGCCACGTCCAATGTCCACTTCCGTATTTCTGCTGCTCCGTTTGGAGGACGGCGAATGTTAACGGGATTAAATGCCAACTGGGAAACGTGTTTAGCTTGAGTTACTTTCGCCTCGGTTTTAGTTTCCCTTTTGCCTGCCATTTCAGCTTTGTTCTCTCCCTTTTGCTTTAGCCAACATCCAAATCAATCATCCGCCATGTGGGATGTGCTGTGTTTTAAATTTAAATTTCATGTATGCACAGCCACGCAGGCGAAACATATATATATATATATATATATATAGATATTTAATTCACAACAGGGCACACGTGTTCGCAGCACTGTACAGATTTTCCCGATTGTGTATGTAAATATTTGCGCAATTCTAGAAATTTGTTTGACTGTTAAATCAAATGTAAATACGATATGTTTTCAAAGTCAACATGCTGCAATTGCAGCAAAAACAATGGCGAAAAAAGGCAACTAGGAAAAAGGGGAGGAAAACGTGAGCAGACTGAATACAGAAATCTTGATGATGTGTAATTTAATTCAGATTTTACAGCATGTCGAGCCATGGCTTATCTTTTGAATTGCCTGGATTTATATTTCATAAAAAGATTCTCATAGAATTTAGGATTTTTATCCAAAGAGCAAATTCCGATCTTTGACAGAACCATAACCAGAATCGTCTCAGTGCTCTGAAGTTTGGTATTTTGTGGGTGTTTCTTTTTTTTTTTGGGTGGCCAACGCCATTTCCTGTTTATTCTCCTTTTGCTCGAACTGCAACAAGGCGACCACAGTTCGGTTACGGTGCGTATGATTGACATTGATTGGAGCACTGCCAAACACAAACTGTGCGGTCTGTGTTCCTGTTTTCTCTTTCGGTCTTCTGCTGCCTGTAAGTATGTGTGCCATGATTGCCATACTCTGCTGCACTTTCGGGAACTAAATCAAAAAACGTTTGCAGCTTGATAAATATGTAATTTGCAATTTTGGCCAAAACAACACGCAGCCGTAAAGCAAAACCAAAATCAGGAGTTACAAAACCAAACAATATGCACATGCTTCTGCAAGGGGTTTCTCCAAGTACAGTGAGTACTTTATAGACAAAAGTATTTGTAACTAAGGGAATTTCAAGAGTTTAGAGTTTATCACTAAATGAGCAATTATTTAACTTAAATATTTTAAGATATAGTAAACTTTATTAGGATTAAAGTGGGTATATTGAATGTTTTCCACTCGAAAAACCATACTAAACGCTTTCTGAATGGAACTCAAAGGAGAAGTGTTTACTAAAATGAAAAACAAACATGGGACTGCAGAATATAAGACCTAAAGTTGCAATTTAGTAGTCTCTATATCCCATTTAATTACTTTCTATGTTATTACGAACTTGCTCTTTGAAAGGCAACAAATCCATGATTATTACCCAAAGGATACGTGTACAGCCAATTGCGTATCAAGTAGAGATGGATTTTACGGCCTGCCTGCCCAGACTGCCTGCCCAGCCTGGCCACGCTGCCACACTGCACTCTGACCCACTTCCCAACAAGTTAGACTCACAGTTGAGACTCAAAGATGATTGGTTTTGCCGCTCCAGTTGTAATAATCAAATTGCCAGCACCCGTATCTGCATCGGTACATCGGAGTTTCACAGTTTCCCCTTTAGATTCCGAGCTGAGAACTCGGAAATCGGAGATGGACAGGCGGAGCAGGTGAATAGGGAGAGATGGGTGTAGATGGGTGTCGGGAGGCGGAAGCGAAGGAAAAGTCGGAAGGGGAAGCGAACAGAGATCCAGAGGTGGAATGTGGGCCACGTTGAGCGGCCTTCAGAAGTCAAAAGGCGTTAACGTTAATGCCGCCCTATCACGAGCTGACTGGAATATCCACATCCACTCGAGAAGGCTCCACTGTGCCAGCCGTGTAAATAGCATGAATGCAATTTTATTTTATTTATGTTTGAATTAAGCTGAGCTCCGAGCAGCCAACCAGCAGCATTTCACCGGGAGCACTCAGACAGTCTTTATAGGCAAATGAATTGCTCTATCCGTGAGCTTATTTGCCCAAATGCTGGGAGTTTCTCTAGTTTCGACATGAAAAATAAGGATTCATGTTGACAGAAAGCTAAGAGATAGTTTTAAATGATATGTATGAAAATTAAGACGAATTTATGGGGAATTTGAATGTGGCAGAGTCTCTGCAGTTCGTTCTTGGTGTCTAGTTTATGTTTCTTTCTCCCTTTTTTTGTTGCAATGTGCAAACGCACTTAATTAATTTTGTTTAACATGTCTGAGGCAGACAGGGCAACAATTTCATATTTTGCTTGTTAACTGTTATCGTTGTTGCTGCCATTTTTACTGGCCAATGGCCACGGGCCACCACACTCTCACACACTCTCATATGCATATTACGTATACGCTGCGTGGGTAAACAAAAGCATCAGCTGGCCAGGAATCCCTTAGTCCCGTTGTCCCGTTGTCCTGCAGTCCAGCTGTCCTGCTGTCTGCTGTCCCAGCTGTCCCGCTGATGCACTGATTAAATGGATATGCAGAGTGTGTCTATCCAACCGCCTGGCGAAATAACTGTCAGTGCTCCACGGCTTTATATTCGCACGATATGGCCATGGCCAGTAGATTGTTGTCAGTGCGAATTATAAATTACCAGCTGGGAGCAACGGACCGCCAGCTAACCAACCGCCGAATGAGTACGGATGAGCGGGCTGGGGAGCCACATGAAATTTCAATTAAAATAAAAATTTATACGCTTTTCGCCATGTCGCTTATAATTAAAAACAATTTGTAAGTTATGGGGAGCAGTGCTATAATGCCCCTAATTTAAATCGCTTTATCTCTGGCCTTGCAGGCGGTTTCATGGGCGACATTGCCTTGCCGGAGGGCGATTCCGGCCCTGTGGTGGCCCACACGCCCATCGACGACGAGGACCTGGAGCGACAGGAGGTGGAGCAGCTGATGGCAGACGCCCCGGGTACGGTCCACGACCCCGCTTCCGTTTCCGGTCCGGCTTCTGGGCCGACCAAGTTCAATGCCACTTTTCAGCTGGATCTGGAGAAGCTCAAGCAGGAGGTCTACCACGAAGGTCTGCAGGTGGAGGAGGAGGGCCTAACCGACATCATCCGCAAGAAGACCAAGCTGCCCAGTTCGGGTCCGGTCAACCTAAAAGCTGGACAGTCCCCATTGCAGCAGAGTCAGGTATGTTATAAAAGAAAAAATGAAAGGACTATTAGAGATAATATCAGTGGCATTAAATCAGTCGTTAGCATTGCCTGACCTATTAATTAAAGTTTAATATTAATACTAAAACCTTTTCGATTAAAAAATTAATTAAATTTGTTATTTTATACCCCTAGAGTGCCAATGAACCCGTGAAGCCCGGTTCAGAATCACCATCCGATTATGCCCAGGCCTCCAGCTACAAGAACGAGGTGCTGCCTCCATCTGAGCAACGAGTCCATGCAGACAAGCCTGCCAGGCTAACGCTGGTCGAGATTGGCTCCAAGTCGGGCAACAAGACGCAGTCACTGCATCGCAATGTAGATACACGAAAGATTCAGTCGGACAACAAGGACATCGAGGACGATTCGGGTAATAACTTTGTAGCGGAAAGAAGGCCATCACATATTGTGCCCACTTCCCTGCCAGAGCAGCGATCCACTCCAGCTCATGTCTATAGCAATGCCGGAGGCAATGGAATGCAGTTGGACGATGAGGTGGACTTCTTACATTCCCGTGGAGTGGTGAGGAGGCGGCACAGACGAGGACCAAAGCAGCGGTAAGTCAAAAAAGATAGAATTTCAGTGAAATTCCAGGGAATTTTTTGTTTAAAATTTTACCAGAATTTGTTGCATTTTAATGTCAATTTATTTTGATATGTTAAACTCAGTATTAAGTAATGGTTAGTCATGGTTTAAATCAGCATATTTGTAGATAAAACACATAAATTTTCATTAGGGAAATGAAATAATTTAAAAACAAATTTAATAAAGGTAAACATAAATGGTTTAATTAAAAGTTTTCTTTTCCATTTTACTGCTACTGAACTCAAACATTAATTTATGAGTTGATTTATGAATGACAAATAGGAAATTGTTTTCCAATTAAAGGAATTTCAAATGCTGTCAATTAGTTTAATAAAATGGTCATATGGTTTCAGTATGACTTAATTTAATTATGTTTTTCATTCGATATGAGGTCTCTAGGCACGCTTTGCTCCCATTTAAATTTAACATTTTTTGAAATACCCAACGCAGACGCAGCAACCAACATTTGGAGCACGAGGCCAAGTTGCAAAGATTACGAGAGGAGCTAAGTCGGCCAGTGGTCGAGGGTCACAACCACCGCCAGACGCATCACCAAAAGCAGCAGAACCACCATCACCAACACCACCAGAGCCACCATCGCAAGAAGCACCGGCGTCAGCACCGACGACGTGGTCAAAGCACCACGCAATATGTGAATCATTCCCCGCCAGGATTCAATCAATCGGTCCAGCAATCTGTGTCCGAAATGGATTTGCTGAATGCAGAGTAAGTTCGTGGAATCCCCACCAACTTTGGGCACCCCCGCATCCCCTGGTGTACCACTGCCGCCACATCCGTTTCCGTTGCCATTTCCAGGCCCCACTGTAAATTGCTGGCCATTTTCATTCAGAGGTTTTTCGGCATAAACTTTAAACAAACAGCAGCCATTTTGCCAACTCACACAGACACACACAAACAAGGCCGGCTCATTCACACACACACAGAGGCTCATTGCTCATTGTGCGGTTGTATGAGTGTGCGTTTCTTTATGTATGAGTGTGTGTGTGTGTGTTTGTGCATGTTAAAAGTTATGAATTTTAATAGAAATTCGCGTGCCAAAAGTTGTGCCATACAACAACAGTGAAAAATGTATGGAAAACTGTTGGCAATTAAAATTACGCATACGCCACGTAAAACTTTTTGCCCGCGGCTTTCAAAAATCATCCATAGCTAACAAGTAGAAATCCCTTCTTCACCAGCACGCCCAAGGACGAAGAGCAACTGCGTCATCGTGTGGCCCGTGCCGTCACCGCCAAAAAGGAACGCATCTGGGACTATGGAGTAATTCCCTACGAAATCGACGGCAACTTTAGTGGCATACACAAGGCGCTCTTCAAGTTGGCCATGCGTCACTGGGAGAACTCCACGTGCATTAAGTTCGTGGAGCGAGATCCGGAGATTCATCCTAATTACATAGTGTTTACAGTGCGCAGCTGCGGGTAAGTTTGTATTCTTTTATTTATATTTAATTTATAGTTATAAATTTAATTTATAAATTATTTTTAATATATATTTTATACCTTCCTTTCTTAAAACCCTTTTCTTTATCAGATGCTGTTCCTTTGTGGGCAAGCGTGGCAATGGACCCCAAGCCATTTCCATCGGAAGAAACTGCGACAAGTTTGGCATTGTGGTCCATGAACTGGGTCACGTGGTTGGCTTCTGGCACGAGCACACGCGTCCCGATCGGGAGAAACACGTGGTGATCGAGCACAATAATATTATGAAGGGTCAGGATTACAATTTCAATATGTTATCGCCGGATGAAGTGGACTCTTTAGGGATGGCCTACGATTACGACTCCATCATGCACTATGCAAGGAATACCTTTTCGAAGGGCACTTACTTGGACACCATACTACCCATTGAGATGAAGGGACGAAAACGACCGGAAATTGGCCAGCGATTGCGCCTGAGCCAGGGTGACATTGCCCAGGCCAATTTGCTTTACAAGTGTCCCAAGTGCGGTCGCACCTTCCAGGAAAGTTCGGGGATTTTTGCATCACCCTCGCACTATACGGCAGGAGCTTTGACTAATGAAACGGAACACTGCGAATGGCGGATAACGGCCACCTATGGAGAAAGAGTGGAGTTGAAACTGGAGAACATGGTAAGTCTTTTCAGCTATTCTAAGATTGTGTTATAATCCTTAATATAATAACTTACTATATTATATATACTCCTTGATTTCCCCTAGAATATTTTCAAGTCGAACAACTGCGAGACGGACTACCTAGAGATTCGGGATGGCTATTTCGAGAAGTCCCCGCTCATTGGGCGCTATTGTGGAAAGGTGGATGAAAAGATGGTGATCCGGACAGAGTCCAGTCGCATGCTGCTCACCTATCTGAACACCCACCGCAGCGAGGGCTTCAGGGGCTTTAAAGCGGAGTTTGACGGTAAGTGGGGGAATACGAAGAAATGGGGAATGAAAGTGGTCCTTGCCAGTTCCTGACATTCCATTTCCCTAGTTGTTTGCGGTGGCGAGCTGTCCGTGGACGATGCCGTGGGCCGTTTGGAGTCGCCCAACTATCCACTGGACTATTTGCCCAACAAGGAATGCGTGTGGAAAATAACTGTGCCCGATAGCTACCAGGTGGCGCTGAAATTCCAGTCCTTCGAAGTGGAGAACCACGACAGCTGTGTCTATGACTTCGTCGAGGTACGAGACGGTCCTGCCCAGGATTCGCCGCTAATTGGCGTTTTCTGTGGCTACAAGCCGCCGCCGAACATGAAGTAAGTGTGTGCCACTGTAGAGGATGCCTCATCCGTTCCTCCTCCTTAACCAAAAAAAGAGAAATAAAAACGGAACTCTGCTTTTGTTCGGCGTCCCTTTTGCAGGTCAAGTGGCAATTCGATGTACGTGAAATTTGTGTCGGACACATCGGTGCAGAAGGCGGGCTTCTCGGCCGTGTTCATGAAGGAGGTGGACGAGTGCGAGACCCAGAACCACGGCTGCGAGCACGAGTGCATCAACACTTTGGGGGGCTACGAGTGCAGCTGCCGCATTGGATATGAACTGCACAGCGACAAGAAGCACTGCGAAGGTGGGTTAACAGAGGAAAAGTGCCGCAAAATCGAATTATTTAACTTTATATTTAAGAATAAGAAAACTTTCCCTATTAAAAAGTGAATAAATAATTAGTTGTTCTTTAAGAATCACTTCATGAATTTAGGAATTAAGTAATAAGAAGTTATTTCCGGTGTAACCTGAATGACTACTAATGCCATATCTACATTCCTCTTTTAATTTAGATGCCTGTGGCGGCGTTATCGAATATCCGAATGGCACCATCACCTCCCCCTCGTTCCCCGAGATGTATCCTCTGCTGAAGGAGTGCATCTGGGAGATTGTGGCCCCGCCCAAACACAGGATATCGCTGAATTTTACCCACTTTGATCTGGAGGGGACTGCTCATCAGCAGTCGGACTGCGGTTACGATTCGGTTACTGTCTACTCCAAACTGGGTGAGAATCGCTTGAAGAGGATCGGAACATTCTGTGGCTCCACCATTCCGCCCACGGCAACATCCGAAAGCAATGCCCTTAGGTTGGAGTTCCACTCGGACAAGTCCATACAGAGGTCCGGATTTGCTGCTGTATTCTTCACTGACATTGACGAGTGTGCCGTGAATAATGGAGGCTGCCAGCATGAGTGCCGAAACACCATTGGATCGTACATCTGCATGTGCCATAATGGGTATTCCATGCACGAAAATGGCCACGACTGCAAGGAGGGGGAGTGTAAGTATGAGATTTCCGCACCCTTCGGCACAATCTTTAGTCCAAATTACCCGGATTCCTATCCGCCAAATGCGGACTGTGTATGGCACTTCATCACTACACCTGGTCATCGTATTAAGCTGATTTTCAACGAGTTCGACGTGGAATCGCATCAGGTGAGCATCTCTAATGAAAAGGATTTCACATTTAAACTAAATAAAGATAAAAATGTTCCTATTTAGAAGATTCGTTAAGAAGATTTTAATGTCAGACATCCTCTAAACCCTTTCTTTTATTTTCTACCTATTCAAGGAATGCACCTATGACAACGTGGCAGTTTACGATGGGGAATCTGAGTCCAGTTCAGTTCTGGGTCGTTTTTGCGGAGATAAGATTCCCTTCCCCATCTCCTCCACCAGCAATCAGATGTACATGGTCCTCAAGACGGACAAGAACAAGCAGAAGAACGGATTCACGGCATCTCATTCGACGGGTAGGATGACTTTGCAATTGTAAACCAAACCTTGGGTCCATCATGACGATAATTTACTTGCAGCCTGTGGAGGTTATTTGCGTGCCACCAGCCAAGTGCAGCAGTTCTACTCACATGCCCGGTTTGGTAACCAGGACTACGACGATGGCATGGACTGCGAGTGGACCATCGCGGCACCGGATAACAGCTATGTCCAGCTCATATTCCTCACCTTTGACATCGAGAGCAGCGAAAACTGCACCTTCGACTATGTGCAGGTGTTCTCTGACATAGACGACGTGTTCGGACAGTATGGACCCATGTACGGACAGTACTGTGGCAATGTGGTAAGTAAAACTTGCTAGGTCATCCTGAGAAATGGTCATGGAAATTAAATCCCTGCCACATCTATGTCTTACAGCTTCCGCAGGACATCAACTCGATGACCCACTCCTTACTGGTTCGCTTCAAAACTGATGGCTCGGTGCCAATGAAGGGATTCTCTGCCTCTTACGTGGCAGTGCCCAATTCCGGGGAATACGATCACTCCGACGAGGATGTGGAGAACTCTTACAGTTCCGAGGCGGTCACACCGTTTCCGGGTTCCTTGAAGAGCATGTACATCGAGGACACGCAGGAGGAGACCGACGAGTACAGTGACTTCAGCGGGAATCAACTCGTTTTCAATGGACAGTACCGGGGTCGCTATAGTTTGCCCAATCGATACTACTCCGGAAAGGCATAGAGTAACGTCGGGATTACTGACCGGGCGCTAAAATTCATGACAATATATTAAAAACGGAATTTATTTAACAGATTTAAGCATATCGTGGCGTACATAAAAAACAAGTTTCTCGATCTTCCACGCGCACTCTTCTGGGAAGACCTAGAAGGATATAATCAAGAATCTCGTCTAGGTCCAGGCGATCCAATACTAGTTTTAGGCACTCGAAAACAAAACGTTAGGTTCCAGCAGCAAGTCAGCTAAGATCTGTGGTGGCAATTACTTAGACCTATGACATACATGTAATGTACTTTGATTAGACTTCTCTAGACTCTTTAGCTAAATGTGCAATTTCCCCTCCTTTTGCATTTCACTGATCTAACTCTGAAGCATTTTCTTCTCGGACTTCTATTTTAATGTGCCATATTTAATGGTGCAGCGCATTTCGTTAAGCATCTTAGGATAAGTCGATGGTCGGCCCATATCAAAATCGGAACGGAATTTAGGATAGCACAGAGATAAACACATATCTTCGGATGCACCGAAAGTGGAAAATCCTTGTAGATGGATAATGAAGAATCGGAATCCTTTAATGTGAGGACACACTGAACTTTTCACGCAGACATATGTACAACTCTTGGATATTTGACTCAACTTAATACGTAATTAAATCTATACATACATACTATTAAAACTTGCATAGTAACTATGTTTTAAAACCAAAACATAACGAGTTTGAAATACATTATTTTCTGGGGTTTATTGGTTTATGGCCCAAGTTCCACCTTGCCATTTCAGGCAGAAGCGCCATGGCTCTTGCTGAATAGCATTTAGAGGTGGAATTACCGCGAAACGTTTCGTTCATGCGGGGGATTTATGATCATTAATGACCTGCCCTAAAACGGCCCGAACCCAACACCTGATCCTGGGCAAATGCCCCTGAGCCAGGCCAGCGCCCCAGGTAGATAGCCAATGTCAAGGTGCGCAGGGATACCCAAATCAAAATCCATTGAATGCAAACAGGCAGACAATGGATGTGGATGGTCAGCCCGACGATCGCCAATGAAGAGGGGTCTCGCAGTTGTTGTTTCTTCCTCTATAGAACTGTCCCTTTGAGCGGTCAGTCGAGATTCTGCAGTTGCCTGTCACCCCGCGTTCTCCTCATTTCCCCTACGAGTCTCATCTGTTACCTGCTCGATCCATGGAACCCTTGTCTCACCAGTATAATTCGGCAATCGCAGACCACGAGCGCTCAGTTAGAACTTTGAACTGGTTGAAGCAACTTCAGGGAACGAGCCCCCAGAAATACCAAACGAAATGCAAGGAATGTTCCTCATGCCTCCAATCGAAATGAAAGCGAAATTAGTTATACTCTCTGTGGGAGCTCTGATGATGGTTTTTCTGGTGGATTTCGCAGAAAGCAGACGTCTGAGTCAGCTGCCTGAAAGTGAGTGCGATTTTGACTTTAAGGAACAGCCGGAGGATTTCTATGGCATACTGGATTCTCCACAGGTGAGTGTTAGGCATCACGTGGCCGAGAGTCCAATTACAATCTCCAGCATAACCACAACAGGTGCCGTCAAAGGAGCCAACGGATGACAGCCATCAACTGAGGGCAGACAGACAATATTCGGGGTAAGTTCCACTGGGATTTAGCCCACACAATGGCGCGCAATTAGTCGTACCACCTCAGTTGTCCACTTGAGCTTGCCTTTGGGCCAACACGTAAGCAATACCTGAGCTCATAAGCCCATCTCCCTACCCATCTACCACCCACACAGGAGACGCCGGAAGCAGTCCCATAAATCGCGGAACAAATCCGGGCTGAGATTACTCCCTCCACTTCTATGGACCGACGATGCCGTAGATGTCCTGCAGCACAGTCACTTGCCCGTTAAGAATCCGAGTTCAGAAGAGAAACCCATCCTAAGGCGACGAAGAGCTGTAACAGTGAGAAAAGAGCGAACATGGGACTATGGAGTCATACCCTATGAGATCGATGGCATCTTTAGTGGAGCCCACAAGGCCCTTTTCAAGCAAGCAATGCGTCATTGGGAAAACTTCACCTGCATTAAGTTCGTGGAACGTGATGCCAATTTGCATGCGAACTACATATACTTTACGGTCAAAAATTGCGGGTAAGTCATGTAAACTTTATTCATATTCACTTTCTACAGTTAACATATCATTTTCCTATAGTTGTTGTTCGTTTTTGGGGAAAAGTGGTAATGGGCGCCAGCCTATTTCCATAGGACGTAATTGCGAAAAGTTTGGCATTATAATCCATGAACTTGGCCATACAATAGGCTTCCATCATGAACATGCCCGTGGTGATAGGGACAAGCACATCATTATCAACAAGGCGAATATCATGAGGGGACAAGAGTACAACTTCGATGTCCTGTCACCGGAGGAGGTGGACTTGCCCCTGTTGCCCTACGATCTTAACTCCATTATGCATTATGCAAAGAACTCCTTTTCGAAGAGTCCTTATTTGGATACCATCACACCAATCGGAATTCCCCCGGGAACCCATTTAGAACTGGGTCAGCGAAAGCGTCTCAGTGAAGGGGATATTGTCCAGGCCAATCTTCTTTATAAATGCGCCGCATGTGGACGCACTTATCAGCAAAACTCTGGCCATATAATAAGCCCACACTTTGTGTATTCGGGAAATGGGGTGCTCAGCGAATTTGAAGGCAGTGGAGGTGCTGAGGAGGATTCCTCCCCAGGCTCCGAATTCGATGCTTCTCTTACCAACTGTGAGTGGCGGATAACAGCTACTAACGGAGAAAAGGTCATTCTGCATCTGCAGCAGCTGCATCTGATGAGCTCCGACGACTGTTCGCAGGATTACCTAGAGATCAGGGACGGTTACTGGCACCGATCGCCTCTGGTAAAACGCCTTTGCGGGAATGTCACCGGGGAGATAATCACCACCCAGACAAGTCGCATGCTTCTTAACTATGTGAACCGAAACGCAGCCAAAGGTTACCGAGGGTTTAAGGCGAAATATGAGGGTAAGTTTGGTACTTGGAATGAATTTTAATTTGTATATTTATTTCCTAATTTTATCTTCCCAGTTGTCTGTGGTGGTGACATTCAGTTGGCCAAGGATCAGTCCATAGACTCCCCAAACTATCCTCTGGATTACATGCCCGACAAGGAGTGCGTATGGCGCATAACAGCTCCGGATAACCATCAGGTGGCATTGAAGTTCCAGAGTTTCGAGCTGGAAAAGCACGATGGTTGTGCCTACGACTTTGTGGAGATACGTGATGGCAACAACAGTGACTCCCGGCTCATGGGACGCTTCTGTGGGGACAAGTTGCCGCCCAACATAAAGTAAGTAAGTCAAAACCAAAGTAAGTTCTTTAACTAAATAAAGCTCCATCTTCCTAATTCAGAACCCGCAGCAATCAAATGTATATTCGTTTTGTATCCGACTCATCGGTGCAAAAGCTGGGCTTCTCCGCCGCCTTACTTATGGATGTAGATGAGTGTAAGTTCACAGATCATGGATGTCACCACTTGTGCATCAATACCTTGGGCAGTTACCAATGTGGCTGCCGAGCGGGATACGAGTTGCAGGCCAATGGCAAGACTTGCGAGGATGCTTGTGGTGGAGTTGTGGATGCCACGAAGTCTAATGGTTCCCTCTACTCACCCTCGTATCCAGATGTCTATCCCAACTCCAAGCAATGTGTTTGGGAGGTTGTAGCACCGCCGAATCACGCTGTGTTCTTGAATTTCACCCACTTTGACTTGGAAGGCACCCGTTTTCATTATACCAAGTGCAACTATGATTATCTGATTATCTACTCCAAAATGAGAGATAATCGTCTGAAGAAAATTGGTATTTATTGTGGGCATGAACTGCCTCCGGTGGTGAATTCTGAGCAGACTGTTCTTAGGCTGGAATTCTACTCAGATCGCACGGTTCAGAGGAGTGGTTTTGTGGCCAAGTTTGTGATAGGTGAGACCAGGATAAATGTCCCTATTCCAGTGTTTATAATTTACTTTCATCCACAGACTTAGATGAATGCTCTATAAACAATGGTGGGTGCCAGCACAGATGCCGAAATACCTTTGGATCCTATCAGTGCAGCTGCCGGAATGGATACACTCTGGCAGAGAATGGACACAATTGTACGGAAACCCGTTGCAAGTTCGAGATCACCACGTCTTATGGAGTCTTGCAGAGTCCCAATTATCCGGAGGATTATCCCCGTAACATCTACTGTTATTGGCACTTTCAAACCGTATTGGGCCACAGGATTCAGTTAACGTTCCATGACTTTGAGGTTGAAAGCCACCAGGAGTGCATCTACGATTATGTTGCCATATATGATGGTCGCTCCGAGAACAGTTCCACTTTAGGAATCTATTGCGGTGGACGTGAACCGTATGCCGTTATCGCCTCCACTAATGAGATGTTCATGGTTCTGGCCACGGATGCGGGTCTGCAGAGAAAGGGATTCAAGGCCACCTTCGTTTCCGAGTGCGGTGGCTATTTGAGAGCGACAAATCATTCCCAGACCTTCTACTCACATCCACGGTATGGAAGTACACCGTATAAACGGAATATGTACTGCGACTGGCGCATTCAGTCGGATCCGGAGAGCAGCGTCAAGATCCGATTCCTGCACTTTGACATTGAGTACTCGGAGCGGTGTGACTACGACTATCTGGAGGTCACAGAAGAAGGTTATTCCATGAATACAATCCACGGGAGATTTTGTGGGAAACACAAGCCACCAATAATAATCTCGAATTCGGACACTTTGCTGGTACGATTCCAAACGGACGAAAGTAATTCACTGAGGGGCTTTGCCATCTCATTCGTTGCTGTGGATCCGCCGGAGGATTCGGCTGGTGAGAATTTCGATTCAGTTACGCCCTTTCCGGGATACCTCAAAAACATGTATTCCTCGGAGACGGGAAGTGAGAATCTGCCGCACGCTCACCTCCTGCCACCAAGCAGGCTCCTCTAAGCATGTCCTGCGGTTGGACTCAGTATTTAATGTTTGTTGTTGAAATTTGTAAATATATTGTGATTAAAACTCATTTCAAAATAACTTATATGGAGACAAACTTTAAGTTTAATATATTATTTCTATGCATATTGAATTTTAAATATATCTACCTTAAACTGAAAAAGATATTTTCTTTTAATATTAAATGATTATCATTTATGTGATATTTTTAATGACTTTATAGACGCACCTCAATTTAAGTTTTTTGAATCTCCTTTCAAATTTAAATTATGCGCCAAAAACCTGCAACATTCAGACTATGGTCCGCTGCTCAACACTAATTTTTGAAACCCTGTCGGAACACCCCTATTATTTTACAATTGATAGATCCGATAGTTCGACACCTCTGCGCCAACAATCAAACAATCAATTATCGGCGTCGCTTCATTTCAAGCGGCTTCATTTCGAATTTGGAATTTAGCGGCGACGCTCTAATTTCTTTAATTGTTAATTGTGTTAAGTGTTTAGCTAGTCGTTGTGTTAATGGGCTACTAAGTCCGCTGCGTGCCCGTTTTTGTTTAGTGCAAGTGTTTTTTATATTTTTGCAGCGATGAGCGCCTTTGAGGTTAGTTAAATTCTTCGCTTTGGGCCTTCATAAAATGGTTTATAGGAAAATATTAAAATTTCCGATCATTACAGATCACAGTGACGCCTTCGCGTTTAAAGCAAAAGAAGCGCGCCGAAGGACGCGAGCCCGCCGTGGTGGTCATGGCTCCATTCTCCGCCAAGGCAATTGTGCAATTCGAGGATGTGCCGGTAACCAAGACAGCAAAGCGCCAGGTGCGCGTCCTCAATCCTAGTGATGAGGACATTGAGGTTAGTGGGTTACATTCTCCCTGGCAACTCGTATTTAATCAATGGAACGCCTCATTTACAGGTCAGGGTAATGAAGGCCATTCCGGAAGAGCACAATTTGACCCTTGAGTGGATGGAGCATATAGTGCCCTCCAGGGATGAAGTTTCCATGGAGCTGGTTTGGAGCCCACAAATAGAGGTGGCGTGCAAGGAGACGCTGCAGTTGATTGACAACCGTAACTTTCGCAAAGAAGTGATGATTATACTCAAGTCCAAGAGCAACCAGCCGGTCAAGGTTAGCCAACAACTGCATTTCCCACCCTGTATATCTACTTACCTTTTTTTTTGCATGTATCTCTTACTTTTCTACCTGAAGAATACGCGGAAATTTCCCTCCGTCGGTAAGACCCTGCAGCTGAAATCACCAACAGGAGCTAACAAAATGAAGAGCATGGTCACTGCTGCTGTGCAACAAAAAAAGCGACTGTCTGCTGCAGCAGCTCCTCCCTCCAAGCAACCTTGGCGTGTGCCTGCTCCTGCACGTCCGGCTGCCCGACCAAAGACTGCTGCGCAGGCTCCTTTAGTGGAGAAGAATGTTTACAAGCCACCGCAGAAAGAGTCTGTCTACATATCACCACAACCGCGTAGCCTCAAGGAGAACCTAAGTCCCATGACACCAGGAAACCTTCTAGACGTCATAGACAACCTCCGGTTTACACCTCTAACCGAGACCCGTGGAAAAGGATTATCTGTCATATTGCCAGACAATCTGGCCGCCTGGCCCACACCAACACTCCCAGGCAATATAAAAGCAAGTACGAATGATATGCGACCGCGTCGAATAACTCCAGATGAACTAGAAGATCAGCCTGCCACTAACAAAACCTTTGATATAAAGCACTCCGAGACAATCAACATTTCGATGGATGCTTTGGATTGCTCCAGGGGCGAAGGACAAATACACTTAAACAAAACAACCACCATTGTTCATGCCACACAAAATCGAGCTCTTGCCTGTATTCGCGAGGAGGAGGGGCCTAGTCCACCGCGCACGCCTACGAAGTGTATTGTTCACGACCTGAAGAGGGACATCCAGTTGGTAGGCTCACCATTGCGAAAGTATTCCGAATCCATGAAAGATTTGTCACTGCTATCTCCGCAAACAAAGTTTGCTATCCAAGGCTCAATGCCTAATCTGAATGAAATGAAGATTCGCTCTATCGAACAAAATCGCTACTACCAGGAGCAGCAGCCACAGATGAAGGGTAAAGACTTGAATAGCTCTTCCAGTAGCGAAGTTAGCTTACTGGGTCAGCAGGAGTTCCTGTTTAATCACAACGAAATCCTCGCTCAATCCAGTCGTTTTAATCTCCATGAAGTTGGTCGCAAGTCACTCAAAGGTAGTCCAGTAAAGAAACAGAATCCCCACAAGCGTCGGTCTCATGAGCTAAGTTTCTCGGATGCTCCAAGCAATGAATCCCTACACCGCAATGACACATTGACCATCTCCCCGCCCAAAAAGCAACGAGTGGAGGACACCACTTTGTCAAGGTGTGCAGCGCCGGCCAATGCATCCGCCCGAAGCAGTAGCGCTCATGCATGGCCACACGTCCAATCCAAGAAGTTTAAGTTGGCACAGACAATGTCGCTGATGAAGAAAACCACTACACCTCGAAAGGCCAGAGATTCTGTAGTTCAGGCTCCTGTTAAACTTTACGACTCGGAACTTTATATGCAAACGTACATCAACCCAGATCCGTTTGCGGCCACCACCACTATGGATCCCTTCCTGGCCTCCACCATGTATCTGGACGAACAAGCTGTGGAGCGCCACCAGACTGACTTTAAAAAGTGGCTCAATGCTCTGGTTTCCATACCCGCTGATCTGGATGCGGATTCGAATAGCAAAATTGACGTTGGTAAGCTGTTTAACGAGGTGCGTAACAAGGAGCTAGTGGTAGCTGCCACCAAGGAGGAGCAGTCCATGAACTACCTCACAAAATATCGGCTGGAAACATTGCGTCGGGCAGCCGTAGATCTGTTCTTTAGTGAACAGATGCGCCTTCCCTGCTCAAAGGTGGCTGTATATGTCAACAAACAAGCGCTGCGCATTCGCAGCGATCGGAATCTTCACCTGGACGTGGTTATGCAGCGTACTATCCTGGAGCTTTTGCTCTGCTTCAATCCTCTCTGGCTGCGGCTTGGACTGGAAGTGGTCTTCGGGGAGAAGATCCAAATGCAGTCCAATCGTGACATTGTAGGTCTCAGTACCTTTATCCTCAACCGCTTGTTCCGGAATAAGTTCGAGGAGCAGAGATACAGCAAGGCCTATACTCTTACAGAGGAGTACGCGGAGAACATTAAAAAGCACTCTCTGCAGAAGATTCTCTTTCTTCTACTTTTCCTTGATCAGGCAAAGCAGAAGCGCATCGTGAAACATAATCCTTGCTTGTTTGTTAAGAAATCGCCACACAAGGAGACCAAGGACATTCTGCTGCGCTTCTCCTCAGAATTGCTTGCTAACATTGGAGACATCACCCGGGAGTTGCGTCGCCTGGGCTATGTACTTCAGCACCGACAGACCTTCCTAGACGAGTTTGACTACGCCTTTAATAACCTAGCTGTGGATTTGAGGGATGGCGTTAGGCTAACCCGCGTCATGGAGGTGATCCTTCTACGTGATGATCTCACCCGGCAGCTGAGAGTACCAGCCATCTCTCGTCTGCAACGGATCTTCAATGTAAAGCTAGCTCTGGGAGCGCTCGGTGAAGCTAACTTTCAGCTGGGCGGCGATATAACTCCCGCAGACATCGTGGACGGGCACCGCGAGAAGACCCTTTCGTTGCTCTGGCAGATTATCTACAAATTCCGCTCGCCCAAGTTCCATGCAGCGGCCACTGTGCTGCAAAAATGGTGGCGTCGCCGGTGGTTGCACGTCGTTATCCAGCGGCGCATTCGCCACAAGGAACTGATGCGTCGTCATCGGGCCGCTACTATCATTCAAGCTGTATTCCGTGGCCACCAGATGAGGAAGTACGTCAAGTTGTACAGGGCGGAACGCGTCCAAGCTGCTATAATCCTTCAGAAGTTCACACGCCGCTATTTGGCCCAAAAGCAGCTATACCAGAGCTATCACAGTATCATAACCATCCAACGTTGGTGGCGTGCTCAACAGCTGGGAAGACAATGTCGACAGCAGTTCCTGGAACTGCGCCAGGCGGCAATCTTCCTGCAGCGCATATGGCGGCGACGCCTTTTCGCAGAGAAGCTATTGGCAGCAGCGGCCACAGCTCGACTCCAGCGTTCCCAAAAGCAACAAGCAGCTGCCAGCTATATCCAAATGCAGTGGCGAAGCCATCAGTTGGGCAAAATTCAGCGGCAGAAGTTCTTGCGCCAGAGGAAGCTTATCGTGTTCGTCCAGCGGAGAATGCGGAGCAAGTGGAGTATGTTAAAACACCGAAAGGAGTTCCAGCAACTGAAACAAGCTGCTATCAACATTCAGCAACGCTGGCGAGCTCTGCTGTCCATGAGGAAGCAGAGGGCTGACTACTTATCACTCCGCTCAAGCGTCCTTAAAGTTCAAGCACAGAGGAGAGCCACAATCAAAATGAGAATCGAACGCAATAGCTACCAAATCCTCCGAAGAAATGTCATCTGCTTGCAACGGCGCTTAAGGGCCACATGGAAAATGCGCGAAAGCCGGGAAAAGTATCTACAGCTTCGTAGTTCCACAATACTTATTCAAAGACGTTATCGCCTGCTTCAACAGATGATCAAGGATCGCAATGCTTACCTAAGGACCCGTCAATGTATCGTCAATGTCCAGAGACGCTGGCGAGCCAATTTGCAGATGCGTCGCGAAAAGGAAAACTATCTTCAGCTTCTATCCGCTACCAGATTTATCCAAACCAAATATCGTGCCAAGCTTAAAATGAAAAAACAACGAGAAAAGTACCTCCAACTCAAAAAGGCTGCTATTATAGTTCAGCAGCGTCGGCGGGCATTGCTACTGATGCGAAAGCAACGCGAGGAATACCTGCATCTACGCGAGGTGACCATCAAGCTTCAACGCAGGTTCCATGCCCACAAGTCAATGAGATTCATGCGAGCAAAGTACCGCGGCACCCAGGCCGCTGTAAGCTGTTTACAGATGCATTGGCGTGGGCATCTGCTTAGGAAAAAGGAACGTAGTCGTTTCTTGATGCTGCGGCAGGCAGCTATAACATTGCAGCGACGTTACCGAGCGCGCCTGAGCATGATCAGTCAATCACAGAGCTTTAACCAGCTAAAACAGGCAGCTATTTGTATTCAAAAAAGATATAGAGCAAAGAAGGAAATGCAAAAACAGGCATTAATATACCAAAAGCAAAGGGAAGCAATCATCAAAGTACAGCAAAGATACCGCGGCAAGTTGAAAATGAGGAAACAGATGGAAGTGTACCAAAAGCAACGGCAGGCAGCCATCCGCTTGCAAAAATGGTGGCGAAGTGTGCGCGAAATGCGTCTGGTTAAAGAGGGTTACCGCAGGATTCGACTCAGTTCCTTGAGCATTCAGCGAAGGTGGCGAGCCACAGTGCAGGCTCGTCGACAGCGCCAGATTTTCCTGGACACTATCCACAAAATTCGACTTATGCAGACATTTATCAGAAGTACTCTGCTTATGCGTCAGCAACGAAAGGAATTCGAGGTGAAGCGAGCGGCTGCCGTGGTGTTGCAGCAGCGGTTCCGTGCCCGTTGTGCCATGTTAAAGGCACGTCAGGATTATCAGCTAATCCAGTCTTCTGTGATCTTTGTGCAGCGTAAATTCCGTGCTAATCGCAGCATGAAGCAGACGCGCCAAGAGTTTATCCATCTGCGTACTGTTACCATCCACCTGCAACAAAAGTTCCGCGGCAAGCGTCTGATGGTGGAGCAACGCAATAGCTTCCAACTACTCCGTCGCTCCAGTCCAGATTTTCAGGCCCATGCCCGTGGCTTCATGGCTCGAAAACGTTTCCAGGCCCTTATGACACCTGAGATGATGGATCTAATACGACAGAAGCGCGCTGCCAAGGTTATACAGCGCTACTGGCGTGGCTATCAGATCCGTCGACGCCAAAAACACCAGGGACTTTTGGCCATCCGACGACGTATTGTCCAGCTACGGCAGGAGGCAACGGCGGTGAACTCTGTGCGCTCAAAAGTCCAGGAAGCGGTGAAATTCCTTCGAGGACGCTTTATCGCATCAGATGCCCTAGCTGTCCTTAGTCGGTTGGGTGAGTATTCATTTTAGTCTTTATCCATTTGGATTAGCAATAATCCCCTCTTCATAATCCATGCAGATCGTCTTTCTCGCACTGTGCCGCATCTGATGATGTGGTGCTCGGAGTTCATGTCCACGTTTTGCTATGGGATCATGGCTCAGGCGATTCGTTCAGAGGTTGATAAGCAGCTTATCGAGCGTTGCAGCCGGATCATCCTGAATTTGGCCCGATACAACAGTACCACGGTAAATACGTTCCAAGAAAGTGGTTTGGTAACCATTGCCCAGATGCTGTTGCGCTGGTGCGACAAGGACAGCGAAATATTCAACACTCTGTGCACCCTCATTTGGGTATTCGCTCACTGCCCCATGAAGCGAAAGGTAACTATATTGAGATTAAGGATAAAATGGATTTTAATTAATACCTTTATTATTTACAGATCATTCACGACTTCATGACCAACTCGGAGGCGATTTACATGGTGCGCGAAACAAAGAAATTAGTGGCCCGAAAAGAGAAAATGAAGCAGAATGCCCGCAAGCCTCCGCCTGTGACAACTGGACGTTATCAAACACAGAAAATGAACTTCACTCCGTGTTCCGTGCCCAGCCTGGAACCGGACTTTGGCATCATCCGCTACAGACCCTACACATTCATTTCGTCCGTTTACGCTTTCGATTCCATCCTGTGCAAGCTACAGGTCGACATCTTCTAGTTCTAGTTATAATCACCGATAAATGTTAAATGTTTGAAACGTTTTTGTGTTGTGTTAAAAAATAGTGACATAAATTAGTAGACCGAGATAGTTTTACCGAGACAATCGAACATAAAATATAAGACAATTTAAAAATGTAAAATACGAGGATAAGATAACATGTAAATGCCTGAAGCGAATATTGTAACTGATAGTTTAGTAAGTTGTTTTTATGAGAACCCCAAACAATGCTAAGAAATAAATAAAGAAGACGATTGAAAGTCAAAGATGAACTGGATTTGCTTGCACAGTATTGCTGCGCCTATGTTTATTTGGGTAGGTATGCATGTATTCACAAAACAATTACATATTTGTAATTATATAGTTAAATTAGTAATCACTTTGTCAAACACTTAGTTACATCGATATTAGTATGCAGTAGTTTACCCAATATTCGTGCTCCTCCGATTGCGACCACAACGAATGCCACTCGTGTCGTTCCTTTTGAGAGAGATTGCCCCAAGTATATAAGTTTAAATCCGCGTGTATATTAATTAATGCCCCTTTAAAATGTACATATATGGAGTACGGTAAATTGGATTGAATATGCATATATAATAGATTCGTATAACATTATATGTATTTCTTCATTGATAATTGCACACGCCAGTTTCATTCTTTTTTTTTTGTATTTTTCTCTCCTAAGATTTGGTTTTAATTGGTGGCTGCCGTTAAACGTCTCGATTTAAAAACTAAAAATAAATACTGTGGATCTAGCGATTTAATATAAATATTTGTGGGACGAGGGGCGTGCAAGGGATTCGGCTGGATTCAAAGACATTTAGATTGGCTCCTGAATGTGATTTAAGTTTGTAGAAGAGTCTGAGAGCTTTTTCCAAGTACTTGTTAGATAATTTTAGGTAGCTTTAGATCCTTTCACAAATGGCGCACGGCTGGATTTGGATTAGTGCGCCATCCGACGAGGATTATAAACCCTAAACCCATGAGTTGACTTAACGTCGGCCCAGGCCAAAGTTAAAGGGTTGCGGACGCGTCGTTCGCTTGTTCTGTCGGCCAGGTCGCACTGTAAGTCCAAGGATTAAAAGGATATACATAAACCGTAGAGGGCATATATGACTTACTACCACGCTCGGCAGCCAAATAGTTTGCTGGTGGCACTCTGTAGTCGATGTCATTGTCCTGGTCGTAGTCGTAGTCGCTGCGCTTGCCCAGTCCAAAGGAGTAGGGACGAGACCTCTTGCCCAGACCAAAGTTATAGACAGGAAGGCGTTTCATTCCCGGTGCTCCGTTGGTGTACATATAGGCCCGACGACCCAAACCGAAGGCATACCGCTCCACTCGCTTGTCGATGTTGTCTCCTCCGTTATCAGCCATCTCGTCGGCGGCCAGCAGGACATCGGCATCGCTATCGCCGACTACAGGACTACGCTGATCCTGGCCAATTACCGGGGAGCTGGCAATGTAGCCGACGCAGCATACGGCCAGCAGTAGGAGATGGGTGTGAAGGGAGTTCATTGTGATGCTGGGGGCGTGACACGGGATGGGGCACGTCTGGCTGCCGCTGCTGCAAAAAAAAGTAAGCTAAGATAAAGTGAACAGGCGACGAATAGAATTTTAAGCACTCGTTCCCCTATTCTCTGTGTGTCAAAGCGTTGCATACTTTGCGGCGACAGTTGTCGCTTTTCGTAAACATGGATGCTGGAGAGTTAGGGTGGCTCAATTTATTAATAATCCAAATCAACAATCGGAATGAAAGACGTCTTTAAATATTTTGTTTTACAATGATGTATTGAAATATCCATTTTTACTTAAGATTATTCACTTGCAATACCAAAAAAAATCTTTAAATTCCACTTTTTAGAACAAATAAACTTTTTTAAGTAAACCCATTTGAAAATTTGTTAGTTAAGAAGAAACTGAATCGATGAAAGTTATGTTTCTCCATCTCGACACAAATCAAGTCACCCTAATGCTTACCCATATATGCCTTCGTTTACGAATATTTATGCAAAATAAAGAAACAAACAATCGACAAGGAATTTGGCCAAAACACAAAATATGTCAACGGCAAACAAATGCCGACGCGTTGACAGCCCGGCAATAGCAACAGAAATGGGAGTACAACAAACAGGCAACTGGCAACAGGACCAAAAATAACGAACGTATAAAATGGCCTGCAGAACGCTAAAAAATGTGGGCAAAAGTTTGATGCCACCGCCACCGCAGTCATGCGGACGGTCCTTGGTCTTTGGTCTTTGGCCAACTCGAATTGCAGCAGACGCGACGGGTTTTCTGCTGTCCTTGCAGGTCCTGTCGTAAAAGTCAAATTTGATCCGCGAAACGAGTGACTTAATTCCCTAAGCAGATGCCACAATTAGCCAAGAACAATTACCCAAAAACTTTCAAGCCAAACCACCCCTGTGAAATTCCCTTCTCGCCGGATTTCATTAGCGAAATGGCGGTGTTAGACAGTCAGTCACAATCATCAACGCCTTTGTAGAGAGATGTCAGTGCCATCGATTGAAAGTGCACATCGGAGAAGTAGCAACTGTCAGTGTGGTGGTTGCATTTCCGCCGGAAAACTTGACAGCCGGGGCACGTAGGAGTCGGCTAAGAAATTCCACCCCACCGCCTCCAGATACTTATTGTTTGGCTACGCAAATTAACTTTTCCATTAGAATAAGGGCTTAAAGGGGTGCCCATCAGCAGCCAAGAGACATTGCCGCACATAATTATGTGCAAACAATGTTCAAATCAATTAATCGAAGCCTAAGCTCTGCCACCAAATGTTGCGCATACGCACCGTGTCCGGTCATAAATTCACTAGGGTGCATGTGCAACAGGGCCACAAATCATGCAACAGGTTCACCATAGACCACAAAAGGCCAGTAGAGGAGACCCTAGCCTTTCAACCTTCGTGTTTGATTTACAATGGCAGCACCATGGATGGCAGCTGTGCATTTTCCACGCAGGACAATAAAAACAATGACTGCCGCACTGCGAAAGGCTATGGCCACGAGATAATAGGCGGAAAATCGTCACATTTGTTAGACTTTATCAACCGCAACACGGCGAACACGACAACAAATACGGCAAAACGGCCAACGAGGACCCACGAAGAACCAATCGTAAATCTGATGGGGGGCAAAAACAAGTTTTGTGAAAAGTGTCAACACCTTTCACTATTATTTCCATTCGTGCAATAAAATCTTGTTTGTCGTCCCGTCCATAGCGCATAGTAACGCCCTTGGCCGCAAATGAGATTCCAGGCATTATCTGTTTATGAATTTACGCTACTTTTGGCCATAACTCTTTTGGTCCGTTGGCCTTTTCTCTTTTCTCATATCCGCAGCGGCGATTAGTTTTGACCGCCAAGCAAAATGCAACGGAAATTCAAAGGGGCACCCAAGATGGGACGTCTTCTGTCCCGGCCTAATTAAGTTGGAAACTTGGAAAAGTTTCCCAGCTGCCGAAGCATAAAGGCCACAGAATAACACCGAAGCCAAAAGGATATAAGCAAATTTTTAGCAGCAGCTTTACGTAGAAGCAGAGCCAAAGCAATTTTAGCTGATGTGGCAAATTACGACGGAAAGATCCCTCAGGTGAAGCTAATGCCGCAGCTAAAGCTGAACCTCAAAATGAGCGAAAAATTAGCTCTGTGCAATTGAAACGCTTTTTTAAATTGAAAGCCAGGCCAGGGGGCAGGTTAGCTACTGTTCCCTGTGTTTACTCACCTTCACCCTCTAAGCTCTCCTAATTAAGTTACGTTCAGGTAATGAAGTGGCTAACTTCTTTGCGCCAATTTATGGCGGTTAGGCAATAAAAAGCCAGCACCTCATTGCCCTCCGACCCTTTCGTTTATTCACTTTGTTTTGTTTCAAGATGTAGCTGACCCTTGTTCGCTTAGTTCCTCCCACTTCCTTGTTTTTCTTTAATTTGACATGTGTATCAATTCTGCAAGTAAACATAAACTGACCCTGGAGCGGCGAATCATCCCCCATCCGAAGCAGTCCATAACTTGCCCCAACATCAATCAACAATTGTCCTCCGATTTGTTTATTTAATATTCTCGTCCTTGGCTTTTGGGTTTTCTATGTGTGATCCCATTTTTTCCCTGCTCTGCTCTACATTTCTTTGCTTTTTTTCTGCTCTAGGGTGTGTTGTTATTTATTTAATTACAATTTGATTGAGGCTTGTCTTTTGTCTTCTAGCAACATCTCTGCGATTGGGAACGATTTGGCTGAGAGTTGTTGATGCTGATTCTGTTGCCGTATGTCAATTGTTGCCTCAGGCATTTTATATAATCAAATTTGGTTTTGTCTTCTCGCTAAGCGATTGAAAATGAATTGAATTCGAGGGGTTTCCTTAGATCAAAAAACGAATACAAATTGCATTGCGCTTTTTTTTGCATACTTTTTGGGGCAAATGTGCTGATTGAGTTTAAGGTCTATTTCAGAATGTAAAAATATTGTTCCTTTGCTTGGTGGGGGAATTTTTCGTTGCATTAATGTGCTATACGTATTTGTGGAGGCTGTCTCGTTTTAAAATATGTGAGTACTGCTTGAAAAAAACATAACCTACCCAAAACAGGTAAATGTAATTGAAAATATTTGTATCTCATTAAAGTTGTATAAAAGTTATGTGAATAGAAATAACCATATTTAAAAATTGTAAATGTTTTTGAAAGAAGCGCTATTTAATAGTTTTACAAATTGAATTTTTAAACATATTTAAAGTGCTAGCTTAAAAATGTTTATCAAAAATTCTTCGGTACTTTCATCTGGAAAATTAGTTTATCACTTCTTGAAATATTACTATTATTATTATTATATTCTAGGATTACTTTTACTATAAGATTGACTGTCAAATCTAATATTGCCACACTCAATTTTATTCCAACAAAATTCTAAATTTCAAATCCGTATAAATCCTCACTTAAGAAACTTTTACAGAATATTTAAAATGTTTATTATCAATCACAACTTACTGGGAAATCCGAATGGAAAACTCACTTTCCGGAATGCACAAAAAATCGCGATATCTACTTTCGAAGGATCGAGTTTGGAAATATCACTCCCATATACAAATACAGGATACGCGGTACTTGACTGTTTGGAGGTTCCGCGGAGTTATTCGGCTGGAGCTCCTGTTGCACGTTGACAGATCAAATGTCGGTTAAGTTTTGAATCCGCATCCGCTGGCGCTCGGCCTCTTATATGAGCGTATTGCGCGTCCTTATCAACGAACCACCCACACGACAGACGCAAGAAGTGACGACAATGTGTGGTGAGTTTTCCCCAGATATATTCAACACGAACGAGGGGTTGCTTTTTGGGTCGTATTGCGAGGTCCTCCACGCCAAGGATGTAACAAGTGGCCGTGGCCATGCGGCTATTCCGGCAAAGCCAAGAAGCCATTCCTCGAGGATAGTGAAACAAAAGCCGAGCCAAGACCGAGCTTCTGAGAAGGTGAGGAAATATGCAACTCGAGGCTGCGCCATTGCATATATGCAAAGCGAACGGTGCGTATGATGAATGCGATGTTGAGGTTCATTAGGAGGTCACAACGACACCCACGGAATATCATCCAACTATTTCTCATTTCAATGGAAAATTGCCAGCTGACTGGGCGCGCATTACTCAAATGCAGGACACTTGCCGTTGGCCCTTCTTTGTTGGGGAATCCTCAGAGCCAAGCTGACAACTCAAATGACATGCAACCCCGGCATTATCCCGATAAACCCCTTTCGTCGGCTGTAACATTTCAAAAGCGAAACGTCAAGGAATTTTATGCGGAATGTAAGCATCTATTTCACAATGCCGCCTTCGGGGTTACAAGGCATAACATTTAACATTTGCCCTCTGCCACATTTGTCCTGCTCTGGGTTACGCGTTCTTTTGCGGAATAAACAAATTTCTGGCTTAGACCGAATCCACGCACTTTCTCGATTTCATTGGGATATATACTTGCCTTAAGAGTTTTGCCAGAAATCAGGAAAGAAAAGCGAGAAATTGGTAAATATTTGATTTTTCATTTTAAAGTTTCTAAAATTAGAAGAACAATTTGATAAGATTATCGTTTACCTCCCTAAAGTAACCTTTTTCATCAAAATTCGTAGTATTTTTGCCTTATTCCCAATCAATCGGCTTACGTTACTTCAATACGTTTCAATGCATTCCGGGCAATTACCCAGACGGAGGAGTAAAAGGAACTGGGAAATAACCATTACCCAAGGAATTCCCGCTGAGACGATGCTTAGTTGTAAATAGTTTAATTACGAATAAAGGCAAAAATCGCTGGCTAATTGGAAAATATTGGGAAATTAAACACATTGATTGGCCAGCACCATCCCACGGATCGAATATGGCTTAAAGTGGCTAGGGAGCACGGGTCGTATACGCAATGCTTAGAGAGCACAGCGTGAAATTAAGGGGACTCACCGAAATTGCATTGAGATTTGTGGCGCAATTACAATTTGTCCTAGAAATTTATATGTTTTTATGGTTTTCTCGGAAAAATGGCGGCTAATTGTTTGTCCATGACGTCAGTCGGCGTTCGATGGGGATTAAGTTCCTGTAAAGTCATTGGCATAATCATCATGGCCATACCTTGTCGGCCAACAACTGCAGCTGCAAGTGGATACGTCAAAGTTAATGGCTATATGGTTTTGGCGATTTAGATTCGGTTATATAGTTGCACGCGTGCTTTTCATACTCACCACGGACATCGATCATAAATCAGGCTGATAAGAGGGGGCCTAATGACATGGCTCGTAACACCAAAACATGCCCAAAGCGTGGCCGGGCCAATCTCGATGGCCTGACACTGCGGCGTCATCGCACCGGAACAGGTTAATAAATTTCCCAGCGGTCTAATCGCAGGCCAAGCAACTCATTTGGATATTTGGCATCTGGCCTGTGCACATATGGCCACAAGGAGGATATGCGGCTCGATTCGGTTTCGGTTCGCTTTTCCAGAAGACAAGTTCAGCTATAAATCATCATTGCGGGCAGGCGGTAGGCAAAATAAGGCTTACAAAAAAAGACACCAAATTAAACCTGCAGTTGGCCGGGCAAAAAAAAAAAGGAAAAAACACAAAATAAATACTAAAAACGAGGCACCCAACCAGTTTAGCCCACACCTACTCCACACACAAAGATACTAACTTCCCACCGAAAAAATGCATAAGCGAAAACATAAAAATAACCAAAGAAAACATTTTTGTAGTTGTTAGAGCGACCGAAAAAAAACCGAAAATATAACCAAAACAACAATAAAAAATGGAAAATCACGATTCTTATGCAGGTTTTCGGAGATTTTCCCACAACAAGTTTTCGTTTGGGGTTTTTTCATCTCTTTTAATTGATTCTGCGCATGAGAAAAACGCAGTGCAATGTGCACTTGAGATCCAGATGAACTTATGTGGCGTCAGATATCAGCAACTTGGCAACTTGGCCAACAACAATGGCAGTGCCAAGTAGAATCCACTAACTGGTAGCATAAATATGCATTTATAATTAGAAGTTGGCCAGAGGGCGACCAGCACAGTTGAAAGCCAAGAAGATTTACTGCCAAGACAAACGGCTGTCGTTTGTCCAGATGCGTAGTTGAGAATGAAATCTCTTGGGAGGCAAGTGGGTGGCATGCAAATGACCGAAAATCGCATCTGGATGGTTCACAAGTTAAGATAAATACAAATGCGGTGGGATTAATATTATTACAACAAATTTTAGACATTTTATAAAAGCAAACTTCAAAATTATTTTCTTGCTTATAACAAAGAAAGCAAAAGAAAGTGTTTTGTAAGCCATGATTTTAAAAATTAGAATCAAGTTTTTTCAAGAACTTGTTTAAATATCATGCAATTTTTAGGAAGAAATAGTTTGAAATCATTTAAAAGACATTATTATGCTGGAAAGTGAAGAAGAACTTGACTAAGCAATAGAATCATAGCACCATTGTTATCAGCTATTTTTAGCTACTTTTTGTTTAGCACTATTAATGTAACCACAACTGTTAGCAATTGCCTATTTGAACATCCACATGTGCGTATTTAAGTTACTATAATATACGAGGTGTGTTCAAAAAGTAAGGTGACTCTTCAAATTTCGCGAATTTCAAATTTTTCGATTATCGAAACCTTTTAGAAGTTATACGAGGTGTGTTCAAAAAGTAAGGTGACTTTTCAAATTTCAAATTTTTCAAATTTTTCGATTATCTTCAGTTTTGGGAACAAGAAAAAGTCACATGGGGCCAAATCCGGTGAATATGGTGGCTGAGGCATTATTGTGGTGTTGTTTTTGGCCAAAAAATCCAAATCCTTTGATCCATATTTTTCGATAGCAAAAAATCGCCGAGCTCGCAAAATAACTTGTAACTTTACGCCTCTCACAACCAAACAAAAGAGGATGTTCCATTGAAACTTGGTACAGATGTTAGGGAAGAGTGTACCAATATAACAAAACAAAAAAATCGATAATCGAAAAATTTGAAATTCGCGAAATTTGAAGAGTCACCTTACTTTTTGAACACACCTCGTATATATGAATGTGTATATAAGTACGCCGGGAAGAGTCGTAAAGAATGTTACTCGCTCTTCTGTCGCATCTTCAACTCTCTCTCCCGCTCTTTTTCTGTCTTTCTCTCTCGATGACACACTTTTCGACATATTTAAGTAGGTGAGCAAACGATCACCTGGGTGCATGTGTGAGTGTGGTTGTCTGCTAGTGTTTGTTTGTTTGCTGGCACTCCACGCCAAGCACAAACAAACATACGTTCTCCATTCTACGCTTCGCTGCATTGAAATTTCTTTTTTCGCTTTCTTTTCGATCAAAGCTCTTTCTCTTTTCCTCGCTCTCTGTCTGTCGTTTGTTCTGTGTTCCCTCTCTCTTTCTCTTTCCGTGATCCTCTCTCCATTGCTCTGCTGACGTCAGCAGCGACGGCGGTGTTATATGTTATATGGGTCACCGTGACTTTTGGGTTCTTGGAGAAAACTGGTAGTACGAGTCTTCTGCTTGTTCTTCTTCTGCCTTTCCTTCCTCTTCTTCTTCTTCGGGTTGAGGAAAGTGACGATCGATCGAAAGCGAATGCGTTTGTTTGTCTCCTTTGCTTGTTTTCTTCGCTCTCTCTTCGTGCCAGTTGAAAATTCTTGCGGTTCTTTTGGGGTCAGGTTCAGGCTATTTGAAAGGCATTTCTTTTTGGTCTATAATGCATTCGAACACTCACTTATTAAATTATGTAAAAGCATGACCAAAAAATGAGCTAAACAAACAAACAAACTACAATGTAAAGTCTAATGCGAAAGGTGAATGAAACTTAATGAATGCCAGCAACAACAATAAACAGGTGAGTCGCTGCATTGCTTAGTGATTTTCACTTGCTGCCGATTTTGTTGATGGTGTTGTTGTTGTTGCGAGCGTGCCTGTGGAATTCGCAAATTGTTATGAGTAAAACTACAACAAAAACAAAGCTCCACTGAAAGAGAAATAAGACAAAAATAAAGAAATACATACAAAGACGACGTAAAGATTACACAAGCGCAGCGTCGTCAATTTTAGAGAGGGGGTGTGTGGGGTGTTGGGCATTAGAAACAACACAGCACCACAACACTCTTCGCTGCAATCAAGAAAGCTCTCCCAAAAGCAGCGACTGCGACCGCGTCAAAGGCAGAGGCGGCGACTGCGCAAAGAGACACGATCAGCTGCAGAGGTTACACTAAACGAAACTTAAGTGACCTTTTCCTTCATAAGTTAAAAATAAAGTTAAGGTTTTTTTAACATTTCATTAGGACCCGGAAAATCATTTCCTAAACATTTAATTCATTTAATTAAACATTTCTTTCTTGAAATGAGAAGTAGACCTTAAAAAACTCATAGAACTGCCTATTTTTTCGCTTAACTGATGTTCGGAATTTTATACCAGCTAATTATTTGGTTTCCACTATTTTTTCTGTGTGTAGAGAAATTTATCATTTCACTGCAGTAAAACCGCTGCAGCAGCGACGTCTACATCGCTAGCGGCACCAAGCTCTCTCTCAACAGCTGCTGATCGCAGCGCTCTCTTGTTTTGGCAGCTCTCTCTCTGCTCATCGCTGCCGACATCGACGTCGACATCGCTGCCGTCCGAGGCCTGGCCACAAAAACAACACCACAGCTTTTCGAAATTAGTTCTAGTGAGTCTGTGAAAGTGTGAGCGACTGCGAGGCGCGATCAATTGGCAAACAACCGCAAGCGGATCAACTGCTCCACACGCCACGCCACGCCACTCCGAATATATCGCCGAATATAAGAAGCGGACTGCCTACAAGCTTAAAAACAACAGCAACAACCACATATCACGTGCAACATGTCACATCAGTGCAGCTGCGGTCGCGACCTCAACAATAACTATGTCTCGTACACGAACGCCTACGCCAATGCAAATGCCTCATTGGACCGGGAGGCAGCAACCAGCGGCAAGTCCGGCGGTCCACCGCGTGCCCAACTGACGGCCAAGGTGATGTTCGGTACGGTGGGCGCCATTAAGGAGCTGCGCGACAAGGAGCAGCAGCAACAGCAGCAGCGGCAAGCGACACGAGCGGGCGAAAGGCGCAACTGAGTGAGGAGCGGGGCGGTCCCAATGGGGCGGGGCGGGACGAACGGCCGCTGGAGCGGTCGAGTGCTGTGCTGTGGGTTGTCGGCGGGGGATCTCTGGCTGATCGGAGGAAGGATAACACGGAGATTTGGATTAAACATGAAGAATTCTCGAAGCTCCGAAGATCAAAGATGGATCATAACGAATTCGCGCAACTCCAACGATCCAGGTGATTTGGTTTAAGCAGTTAGGAATTCGTGTAGCTCCCGAGTTATTCTATGTTGGGTAATCCAAATAGTTTCAAATCGTTTGGGTACTGATGGATGATTGATGGATGACTCAAATGGGTGATGCCCGGATCACGTTAGAGGCTTCAATGTGTTGGCAGGGGACAGGGCAATCTGTGTAACGACATTCCTTCTCAACAAAAAACTATCCAAAAACAAAAAAAAACTAAGTACATCACATATTTATATACTTTTTTTGTCAGCCACACTATCTCTAACTCTGTCTTCTATCTCTTGTTAGCTTCAGCAGAACTCTAAATTTCAATGTATATTGTTTATTACATATATTTATACATATACTACATAGTGCAATACTTTAGCTATACTCAGAAACACACAGACACACACACACACACACATGTCTAGATGTAAGTTTGTTTTATTTTGTAAGTGCACACGCATACACTCACTCATTTTACAAAGTTGTTTAATTTTTGTTTTGTTGTTTACGCGCTCTGCGATTTTTGGGCTGCGAGTCTGGAAGTCTGGAAATCTGGAGACTTCCAGGTGGCTGGTGCAGCTCAAAACGCAAGGCACGTAGCCCACCCACACACCCACTCACACACACCAACACCATATAAACCATATAAATATAACTACACATATGCGTAATCTTTAATACCTATACTACTGTTATGACTTTTAATAATCATATTGTATGTGCCGCACGAGAAGAATTCGAAACGGAAAACTTAAAATTACTCCCCCAAATGGGTTCGGTGTTTGCTCAAGTGATTTGTACTAAAAATGGAAGCGAATGAATTTAATCGACAAACTTAAACTCAATTGAAGTGTGCTGTAAATGGCAAATGTTTCGAGAGAGCGAAAATTTAGTTTGGAAAGAGGCGGAGAGAGAGAGAGCTCGGAGCATCTACAATATATTTATTATACCTATAAAATAATATTAAAATGTATGTCTACTTGTACATCTATTTATAGAGCTAATCCCAACAAAGGCGAATAAAAATCGAACTTTTAATAAACTGAAAACGAAAACTTCGAACTTTCTGCAGATTGCCGATTTCAATTACTCCAACAATGGACTCCACATTGTGGAGTAGGCGGGGGCGGGGGCAAACCTTTTTCTTTGCCGGTCGTCTGCGTGTGAAAGTAAGAAATAAGAAGCACCGAAGAAAAAAAAATACAACATTCAAATAAATTATAAATTACAATAAAGCAAAAGGGGAAACGTAAAATATGCGAAACGAAAGCGAAGTCTCCGGCCAGAAGGCACAGCCAAAGGCAACCTCGTGTATTATATTATTCCAGCGATTCTTTTCGTATTCTGCCGCCGTCTCGCACTCTTTATCGCCCTCTCTTCTAATTATGAGGCACTCTGGGTCCAAGCGTTCTCGTGTGAGTGTGTGTGTGCGTAAGCGGAGAACACTCGCTGGTTCTTACGCTCGTAACAGTGACCCAGTCTCGGGCCCACAACAGCGTGGAAAGAGTCTCTATCCGGCACACTCCACTGTCATCATCGGCGGTCTGAAAATGTTCCATTTCATTTCCACTTGTCGCCCACGCCGCCCCCCACGCCACGCCCTTGGCTCAGTAGATCAAAGTCAGAGCTGTTTTGGGTTTCTTTTTTGGTATACGCTTTCAGAGGGTACTGGACCTTTCCAGACCTTTTAGGGTTTTCCACGAAGCCATTATCATACATTTAACACTCTATTCCCCATAAAACAAACTTGATTTATAGGAAAGTATAGATGCATAATCTTGATTATGATTATAAAGATGACATATAAATCAAAGTCTCCACTTTATGGTTTGTCCGTCCATAACAACAAGAGTATTCAGACTTCGTCTATTTGAACATCCTCCCTCGTTTTCGTTCTTATCCGCTTTTGGAGGGCGCTCACAGTTCAATTGAATCCAATTGACCAAGTGCGTGGCTCTTGTCAAGCAAATACATTTGCTTACGTATACTTAATTTACGAGGCGTATACGTAATGCAACGCCCACGAATGCACCGCTTCGCCGTTGTAGAAACTTAGACAGCCGTCGGAATGGGTATAGAAATGCTAATTGAACCCATTTAGAGTGCTCTCTCTCCTTTTCTGGCCGACTGCATTATATACATACACGTAGTTATATATTTTATTGCTTTTTAGCCGCTTACCTTTGACTTTGTCTCTTGGGAATTGCAGCTGCCGCGACGCAGTTGGTGATGATCCAACTCTACCGCTTACCCGGCTACTCAACCGATTTCATCACTGATTCCGATCTGATAACATTACGTGTAAGTGCAGCTAAAAGCATTCGAGCGACGTTGAGAATCGGGGCATTAGTCCAAAGTGTGCGGGGAATTTTATAACCATGAGTAAGCGACTTGGAATTCCTACATCTTAGTTTAAGAAATAAACTACGATCACATATTTGGTATTTATTTTTTGTATATTATTTTCCTATTCCTTTATTTACTCCTTATCAGCATCAAAAATAAAGTCGAAATGTTTTCCGGGAAATGAAAAGAACTAAAATTGCGTATTTATCGGATTATTTGAATGCCCACGCACATGCTTATTGTTTCTAATTAAAAATACGATCTCATACCATTTCAAATATAAGAAAATACCCAACAGTTTTAAATCTTTTGCAAAAATTTAAAGATTACAAAATGACTAAATGTAGGCAATGTTCCATTGATTCTATCTATATAACCCCCTATTCATCCCCTATAAAATTGTAATCTTCAAGTATATCCCCTTATAGTCCCTCAAGACACTCGACTATCGATGTCAAAACTTTTTGCCAACGGCACTATTTCCATTTCCATTTCTATTTTGAGACATTTTGCATTGCTGATGTCATTTGTTTTCTATGCATATTCTGCCTTTTTGTTCAGCTCAGTTCCATTCAGTTCAGGCCAGTCCAACACCAACTAGGTATAGTTTGGTTCGATTTCCACACTCCCAGGGCCCCCAATGGCGATTGTTATTGTTGTCACTTGCCGGGGTGATACATCAACTTCTTAATTTATGAGGTGCAATTTTTATGGCTGGCCTTTTTGATACTCAACGTGGCTAAGAGAGTAAAAGCATCTCTCGCCCGCCGGTAACAACATTTCTTTGTTGATTATTTTTATTTTTTGAGTGTGCTTCGGTGGGTTTTTTTCTTTCTGTATACTTTTTTTTCACTTTTTCTTGCATGCGCTTGTGGCAAGAACTTTCTCTTCTAATTGAAAGCAGTTCGATGGCGGCGGGCGATAAGCCAGCGGAGCGATCTGTGGGAGGGGAAGCGGTCTGCTAAGAAAAGCATCCAGCTGGGCATCTTTTTGATGAACCGGCTCCGGCGATGGATTGACGTCGATGTGGATGTGGATCTGGCTGTGAAGCTAGCTGTGGAGCTGGTTGGATGCCGAGGCCGATCCCATAGCTGATGCCTCAATCTGAATGGTCTTTCTTGGTGGAGTGGCCAGTGGACAGTTGCGAGTGGAGCGGATGAATGGCGATCGGCGCCTGGCAAGGCATTTCTTATGTTTCTGCTTTAATGGGAACTTTATGCAGCCGCAAGGCATTTTATCTCTTTCGTTTCGATTTGAATACGGAAAGAGGCGACGACGACGGTGGACGGCGGACGACGGAGGCGATAAGCGCCAGCAAGTTGAAAATAAATAATAAATATTTAAGAGTAGAAGCTCATGGGATGCTGGGGCGGGGTGTTGGAAATGAAAAAAAAAACTGCTACTACGCGGGCAGTGAATGAAAGCCATCGGAGAACTGGTCGCTTGCCTGGAAGACTTTTTGGTCTTTGGCGTTGGTGCTTTTTTTTATCTCCGAGTCGGTTTTTTACTCTTTTTTCTTACTTTTTTTTGGTGAAGCTGTGGCATGTCTCGGGCTTTGCGGCTCGGCATCTGTGTTTCTTTTGGCTTCTAATGGCAGCCGTGAGGTGAGAATCGATTTAGTTCGGTTTACGACGATCCCAGATACAAACGCGAAAAAGTTTCTTTTCGGTGTGTGTTGTGCGGTGGATCCGAAAAAAAGAAGATCGCCAGGAGTCGCCACCAGGGAAATAGGAACTGCCAGACAGCCTAAAGAATACGAAACAACAAACTGCTCGTGAAAGTTCCCGGCTAATTGAGGCAGGTGTTAATCACGGCAATTACGAACTACAAATTGCACACCGCACTTGGGGTAAATCAATTTCCGTTTTTGCGCAAAAGATCATCCAACAAATTGATTATTATTAATGGCCGGAGTGCCACAGTTGACTAAGTGAGCGTGTCTTGAAGTTACAGCCTAAAACCAGCCAAAGCCGGTGGTCTGTAAAATTTCTCTAAGCCAGCGATTTCCTGGCGGCTATTATATGTTCGTAGGAGGTATGGACCCTTGAACGAGGAAGAGAAACAAGGCCTTATGCAAGCCTAAAGTCTTGAGCCTAATTGCATAATTTTGTGAAAAACTAAGTGCAATGTACGAAGTGCTAGCTGAAATGGGTCTATGGATAATTCGCATAAATATCATAATTACTTTTAGATCTGCATTTAGATTTTGATTTTCATAAGCTTTTAATGCGCATTTTTGGTTTAAATAGCTTAGAGTTAACTTAGTGTTGGGTACCATCTCAATCCCCTTCTTCAAACACACCTCCGCATGGTGTCCATCTGGTCAGCAAGACCATTAACATTATTGGAATGGCAAAGGCAGTTTATGAATTGTAGGTAGTAGTTAACCGCTATAAAAAATTTATTACATAGACCTCTGGCAATCTTGACGCCTGTTATGCGGTCATTCAAGCGATTAAAGTACTCCGCATTGCAGCCAAATAAATAAATTATAATGAAAAGAAATAACAAATAATAATAGAAGGAATAAACAACATGAACTAGTACAGAGATTTGCTTTTAGTACAATGACCTCAAAGTTGAAGAACTTCGGCTTTAGGTTGCCTATTTCTTATCGCTTAATAGTAAATATTTAAAATTATTTAATATTTTCTATATTTAGAAAAGTCAATCAACTGTGGGCTAGAAAGTGTATTCAAATAACAACCAGCTCTGAAATCACTCGGCCAAAACCAAATCGGACTGCAGAAAAAGTACAAAAAAAAAACTCAGAAAAAAAGAGAATAATATGGTTAGGCGATAATAAGCTGCAGTTGAAGTTAATTTTTTATTATTGTAATTAGCTGTGGGCAGCTTAAAAAAGGCTAAATTAAATAATGGCAAGCTTTTCGTTGGCTGCTTTTTTCCTGCCCCTGCTGCTGCCATTTTCGATGTTGTATGTTTGCAGTTGCTGTGGCTGATGTAATCGCAACGTTTGAATCACGAAAGAAGCAACAGCAGCCATTATGCATCGATATTGGCGACGTAACATTATGGATAATTATATATACCAGGTCGAAAATGTTTTTTCTTTGCAACATATACAGCTGAGGGGCAGATTAAGCGCGTTGAGGCTTATGAGGGGTCAAGCAATGGGCAACCAAATAACTCATTTGCCAAGTTTAAAGACACCGATTTATGTATATACAATATACAATCCCTACTTAATAGTTTTGTATGACACTGAAAAATCTTCGAGATTTTTCTCCTTGAGAAACCCTAAGACTTTGAGACCCCTAAAACCAAAGACAGCATTCCGCCTTCCACTAGATTCCTGGGCAACCTTTGCTCACACTGAACTTGACAGCGAATAAACCATTCCAGAAGTCGCCGCTGGAATGTTGCAGCCATCACTTCTGGTGGCGTTGCTGCTCTTGCTGGTGCACTTGGAAAATGCCAGCGGCAAACCGCCCACCAAGGAGCTGCCCCGTCCGCTGATCCCGTTCCATGGACATGAGGAGGAGGACCTGTACACGGAACTGGAGGCTAAGGCAACATTCCAAACGATACGAAATGGACGCTCGCGGCGTCCCACCCTGATGGATGTGGCCTTGCAACAGAGTGTGCGACAGGGACTCGATGCCATGGCCGAGCTGTACGGTCGCATTCAGCCGGAGATGCTGCGCAATGGTGGGTACTACGACCGCAATGCCACTTTCTTCTAACCTTGAATCAATTCCACGAAATCCTCGAAATACCTCGCAAAAGGCCAAACCCTGCAGGACAATCATCCGGCCGCGATGTTGTCCCGATTCAATGCCCCCACCACGGACTCAGAACGTCGGGAGATGGCCGCCTATGCCACCATCGCAGCAGCCAAGGCCTTTCGCAAAAAGTAAGTTCCGGGGCGAATATGTGGTGTATGGCTTGGGTGTAGAGGTGGAATTGGATATTCGCTTGTGCAGATTGTGGCGGGCCATAAGTTCATCAGCCGCAAATATGTGGCTATGACATATGAAAAAAGTTATTGGCAAAAGCGATGGGCATGATTAAAAATCAAAGTGGTTTGGAGGGTGGGACAAGAAGTTGGCTTCGTTGGGATTGACTCATTTAATACCCTAAAAGAAACAAAATATAATAATAAAAATAAGAACAAGATTTCATATTTATCATTTAGAAATATGCTCAGAAATATAAAGTCAGTTTAAGGTTTATCCTCGCATTAGTATATCATTTTCATCATTATTGGGAACCTCATCTACTATTTTTTAAAGTATTTTACTGTAGGAAAACTTAATGGTACCCATATTAACTTAAGTCTTTTATTTTTATTAATCTCTTTAATGTCTTTTCCTCTGAAAACCATATAGCTATTTGGCAAATATTGATTAAGATGAAGATTGGGGAATTTCTGTGATTCTTGGAAAATGGTTTACCAACTTTGCCAACAAAAATAGCACCCCTCGCCCCTGAATCACCCACGATGAGTGGGCATGGCCACTCTCGAGTTTCTTCCCCCTAGGCAATCTAATGCATAAATAGCAACAACCATGCAAAAAATATATAGAAAAAAAGTAACGCAAAAGACAAAGGCAAAAAAGTAAGCAATATTATTGAGTTGAGGATGCCTCCCCCCCAACGGGGTGCCCCTGCAACACACCCTCCGTTTCCACAATTACCGCCGGCAACTTTCTCGCTTGATTAACGAGTTCTACGGCATCCATGGCAGCAGCTTCACCGGCAGTCGAGCTAATGAGTTGGAGCTGGGAATCCGAATGGCCTGGAAGTTGGCGGCTCAAGTGGAAGTGACCACCCCGCGATATCCCCTTGCAAAACATATCGAATCGTAGCCAAAAAGCAGTTGGACTCCCAACTGCGATTGCTCATGACTAAGAGTCAACTTTCACTTTGACATTGAAATGCCGCATAATTGGCAGGCAAGACCAAGAGACACCAACGCCGAATCCAATCCTAAATCCAAAACCAATACCATATCAGTTCGTATTAAGTGCACTGAAAGAAAAAGTGGCTAAAAATGTATATAAAAAGCTGAATATTTCATTAGGGAAAGGGTAAATAAATCGGAAATACCCGAGAAACTATAGAATTCTGAATGGTGAAGTCAATTTGAACATTTAACAGACTTGATTAATTGTTTTGAAGGCTTCTGACTAGCTAAAAATAAAAGTTTTTCCTCTGTGTAATGACAAGTCAAGGTATAAATACAGATTGGGGATGGGGTGAAGGTAAATAAAAACGGCCCGGGTTAAACGACCTCTTTGGTCGGCCAACGGAAATGGCAGACGCCACAAACTCCGATTCCAACTACATTTCCATCTCCGTTTTCATCGCCGATTGTTTGCAGTTTTTCCAGTTTTTCCGCTAGCAGAGTTTTCACTTTTCACAATCTGTGAAAATCCATGCGATTTTCCACACATATACACTCATACCACAGAAAAACGCGTTGAGCTGAGAACTTTCACCCAGGGGGCAGCCGAAAAGGCAATTTACTCAGGTGAATTCGACTCAGGTGCAATGAGCTCTGACCGCGTCGAATGCAAAGCTGCCCGAAATCGCATTTATGTAATTGCAATCAATGGGCCGACACACAAGACGACACAAGACGACATCGTCCCCAAACAGACAGACAATTGCCAGACAAAAGATGCTGATGATGATGGCCATTAATGGAAAATGCTTTTTGGTCCACTCCAAGCGATGTCCACAATCAAATTACGAAATGGCCAACATGTTTGGTTTAATTAAATATCAACAAATGCCGTCCAGTTGTCAACTGGCGATGATGATGATGATGATCGCTGTCGATGGGGCTCGTTAATGGTACCAAAAGCAGCATTTAGCAAAATTAGAAGCCAAAGAAAGCGACAGCTTTAGAAAAATATCACATACTCTTGTCGCATATATAACCAGCACGTCTCTCTCTCTATCGCACATCTGTTAGAGCTTCAGCTTCGGATTTGGCATTCGCAATTTGATTTAATCAAAACAGGGAAAGGCAAAGCTTCAGCTGCTGCTGCTGCTGCGACGTCGACTGAGGCAGCGGCGGTACAACTGATACGCTGGCTAAGAAAAATGGGAAAAAAACCGAAACTGAAACACAAACATGAGGCGACTTTCGTTTTCTACCAGCCAATTCGGCCTTAAGCTCCCCAAGACATACGAAAGTTTTTGTATTGTGTTTTTTTTTCTTCTGCTGCCGTTTCACAGGGCAATGAACTCTCAACGCTGTTAACAAAACAACAAAATAAAGTGTCCAACGTTGCGGCTGCGCTCTGCGTCTAGATTGCGTATACGCCGCGTGAACTCAAGTCAAAGGGCGACTGCACCTTTAATGGGCTTTTCTTTGAATAAAACAAGTGGTTAATAGGAAAATTGTGCAGAGCAATGACAAAAGCAAATACAAAGCGCACAAAGGCTGGGAAAATATGCATTTCCACTTTCACCTGCTGAAAAGCTGACGACAACCTGGAAAACTGGAAAAACGTGCCGAAACGATTATACACTTGCTCATCCCCTTGACGGCCAGCGAAAATGGCATTCAATCGTGGCTAATTTAGTCTGATATTCGTGTGTAGAAAAGTGAAACTCCTAGAAGATTGATAGAAAGATCGCAGGAAATTATATGCTAGGCAGGAAGTCGAGTTGGCTAACTCATGTGATCTAGCCAAGAGAAAGTAGAAAAAGCAATTGAGTCTTTTCATCTTAGATCGATTGGTGGGAAGCTACAGAAATTATACCTATTAAATGTAATTAAAAACTGCACACATTTTTGCTCAAACATGCTTAGGCTTAAAGACTATAAAATTATTGAAACTGCTAGTCTTTTTATATGGAATATAAAATTTTTCTTGCCTTGAACCTTGAATTCAACTTTGACATCTAGTTCAAAATTTTAGGGAATGTCTTTAATAGATTATTCTTTTCGTTGATTCGAATTTAATAAGCTAATAATATGCTAAATAATCCCTAACTTTAGACAAATTCAGACCTAAGAACACCTTAGACACATTTTCGCGTTCATAAAATCGTAGAAAAAACTTTAAATTTCACCCACCCTATTCCATAGTAAAAAGCCCAAAGAAACTTATAAAAACTAACCCTATACCGACTTCTACTTATTCATAAGCACACATGAAAACATGACATGTTTCATGACCAAGTCATTATACCTCTCGAGCTTGAAACGAAATGAAAATTGACGAAAAAAGTCGCTAATAAACGCGGCAAATGGAAAGCAAAAGCGGTTAAATTAAACCCAGCGGCTGCTCACCGATTTCTTATGCGTTTTCCCGCCTCAATCTCGCACAACGGCAGTGGGTTTAATTCGATGGTGGATCCCATTTGGAGTCACCACCGAGTGGCGAACTCGTTTCCACAAACCTCGCAGTCGAGCGTTTTATAAATAGACGATGGCGGCTCGAGCAGTCGTCACTCGATCACAAAATTTGAGCGCAACCATGTCGTGTGGGCCTCACTAGCTATCGGGATGATGGTACCGGGAGGTCCTGGCACCATCATCCTACTGCACACTATCCATCCGCTTCGATCTCTCTTTACTCGGCAGCTTCCAACACATCGATGAGCTTGCCCGCCAGTCACACGCGCAGCGGATCTCACTACGGCGTACTGCATTGGAGGGCCTCTGTCCACCACGGGATCCACCGCCATGCATGCCGGCCTCGGAAAGATATCGCACCCACGACGGCACATGCAACAACAAACGCCGACCGAGATGGGGAGCCGCCCAGATGCCCTTCAATCGCTTCCTGCCACCAGAATACGGCGATGGCGTCGACACGGTCCGGAGTTCTGCCGATGGCAGCACCTTATCCTCGTCCCGGTTCGTCAGCCTGTTGGTGCATGGAGCTCGGGAAGGAGAAGCCCCGCTCACTCTGATGATCGCTCAATGGGGTCAGATGCTCGACCACGACATGACCTCCACAGCTCAGCCACGGTAAAAATCATTGCCCCTTATGAAATAATTATCTTAATATCATAATAAGTTGAGAACTAATTCAGGACAATTTCGACTCCATTCCAGCTCTATAAATGGTTCTATACCCAGTTGCTGTGGCGGCAAGGACTTCCATCCTTCCTGCTTTCCCATTAAAGTGCCTTTAGACGATCCTTGGCTGGCTCCGCTCAAGGTGCGTTGTTTGGAGTTCCTGCGCTCTGCTCCTGCCCAGAGACGTGACTGCGTGTTGTCCTGGCGGGAGCAGACCAATCAGGTCACCTCCTACATCGACGCCTCACCCATTTACTCGAACAGCGCTAAGTCTTCGGACAATGCCAGAGTTTTTCGGCACGGTTTGCTCGTCTATGGACGTGGTGATCCGGCCGAGGATGTGTGTCAAAGGGGAGCAATAGCCACCAAGTGCATTCGATCTGGAGACGGACGAAGTGGCGAGCAACCTGGCCTGCTGGCCATGCACCATGTCTGGGTGGGCGAACACAATCGGATCGCCCTCGAGCTAAGTGAATTGAATCCTCACTGGAGCGATGAGAAGGTGTACCAGGAAACACGGCGGATTGTGGGTGCCATGTTTCAGCACATCACTTTCCGGGAGTTCCTGCCTGTCATTCTGGGCAGGGAGGTGGCCAAACTGTTCGACCTAGAACTGATGCCATCGGGCTACTACGAACGATATAGTTCCAAGGTGAATCCGACGGTGGCCAATGCCTTTGCAGCTGCTGCCTTCCGTTTCGGACACTCGCTGGTTCAGAATTCCTATTCGAGATGCGATCGCCATCACAATGTGATAAATAATAGTTAGTTTGTTATAATATTCTATGATCTTTTTATAACTTTCTTCTCCCTTATTCAGATGTCAGTCTGCACGAGGAATTCCAGCGCGGTGATATTGGTTCGGCTGGATCACTGCATCGTCTTCTACGTGGCTTGGCCTCCCAGCGGGCTCTGAAGAGGGATGAGTTCATCACCCCCGAGTTGACCAATCACCTTTTCCAGACTCCTGGTTTTCCTTTCGGTTTGGACCTGGCTGCCATTAACATCCAGAGGGGCAGGGACCATGGTATTGCTCCTTACAGTGCTTGGAGGGTACCCTGTGGTCTCAGCCCCATCCTCAGTTGGGATGACTTTGGTAAGTTTAGAACAAGAGAGAAGTTATGGGATTTTCTTTACTAATTTAATTTAATTTTCTTTTTAGCCAACGTTGTGGGCCCAGAATCCGCCAAACGTATTGGCCACGCCTACCGCAGCGTCCATGACATCGACCTGTTTGTGGGCGGAATTGCAGAACGTCCTGTGGTAGGAGGCTTAGTGGGACCGACCTTTGCCTGCATCATAGCCCAACAGTTCAGTAACGCCCGGCGAGGGGATCGCTTTTGGTATGAGAATGGTGGATTCGAGAGCTCCTTCACGCCAGCGCAACTACACTCCCTGCGACGAGTGTCCTTGGCCCAAGTTCTTTGCCGCACTGTGGGTGGTGGCACTCTCCAGCCCCACATCTTTATCCCAGCCGAGTTTGAGGACAATGAGCGACAGACCTGCGGAACTGGCAGTCTAAGCCCTATTGATCTAAGTCCCTGGTTGGAGCAAGATCCCTTCCACAACCAACAGGTGCCCGACCAGGTGTTTACCATTGGGCAACCAGAATTGGGCTCAGTTCAGGTCATCAAGGAGGACAAGGCGGGCTTCTCTAACCGAGTGAAACCCATAAAACCGCATGTGGAAATCAGTTCCCCTTCAGTCAGCGGGTTCCATAGACCCACCAACGGAAACTCGACCAAAGTTAGTGACAAACTTGACATCAGACGAAAGACGGTGGCGAACAAGAACACGAACAACAACCGACAGACTACCCCCACTCGCAAGCCCGTAAGTGGTGTCAACAACAAACTGGACAAATCACCAAAGATTACGATTAACATCAAGAGCGTAAATGTTAGAAGACCAGAGGGTCCCAAGAGAAGGGTTATCATCAACAATGTGCCCGTAGAGCTACGAAGTTCAGGGGGTAATGCTACTGACGCGGAAACAGATACAGGAACTTTGACTGCAGACGAAAACGATGACGAGTTTAACGAGGACGAAGAAATGGACATGGAAGATATAGAAGAGGTGAGAGCTAATAGGGATGACCCTTTAACAAAAACCAAGACGCATCCGATCACGACTGAAACTGACTCTAAGACAGGGACAGTTGACAAGGACGAAAAAGACACCTCGAACAAACGTATTGGACTGTCAACAGAAGACCCAAAAACCGAAAGACGTGACGCCAGAAATAGTGAACAGCAGGAGACAACGACAGAGGACGGGACAGCGGACTCTCAAATATTCTACTTAAACCGAATTCTTAAAACTACCACAGAGGACCACAAGACTAGGCAGAAAAATGCATCCGAGATCAGTGAGCTTACTAAAATGACTGTCGAACGTACACAATACCAGGACAGATCTATTTACGAAACACCCCAGAATGTGGTGGTGATCGGACCGAATACCGACCAAGAAATTGGGACAAACATAGGACATGCCAAACAGAACCAAATTGTAACTAAAACTGAGACTCAGACTGATAAGAACGAAAGGGAAAGCTGCAACGAACGAGTTAGGCAACCAACAGAAGCCACCAAAACTGACGAACTCGACAATAGAAAGTCGAAAGATCAACAGGAAGCAAGGACCCTGGACGAAACAATGAACTCTCGACTACTAAACATTCAAACTACTACATACGGAACTACTCCGACAATTATGTTAGAACGCTTAACTAGACAGACAAAAGAACCTAAAATCGGACCGAATACGGACCAAACTCAAACTGAAACTGAGACTGAAACTAACTCAGAGACAACGACAGCTAATAGCAACGAAGCAACCAAAGCTGAAAGACGTAACACCAGAAAGCTGGAAACTGAGCAAGAGAGCCTGGACACACTACTGGACTCACGACTACTGCTTTTAGAACGCAATGCTACCACTAGACCAAAGGACTACGATACTAGTTCCACAGTTATGATGGAACGCTTCACTCAAAATACAGGACCACCTAAGATCGGACTAAATTTCGATCAAGACGAGAGAGAAACAAACTACCGACAGACAAAAAATAACCAAACTAAAACTGAGACTGAAACTGACTTGAAGACTACGACTTTTAGTAAGACTTTAACAGATACCTTAATTAAACCACTTGTACAGTCAACAGAATCTACAGAAACTGAAAAACGTGACACCAGAAAACTGGAATCCCAGAAAGAGTCGAAGACTCTGGACAAGACAGCGGACCCTCGACTACTTCACTTACAACGAAATCGTACGACGACCACAAAGGACTACGAGACTAGTTCCACAATTAGTTTGGAACGCTTTACGCGACAAACAAAAGCACCCAAGATCAGTAAGCCCACGAAAAGGGCCGTTGAACTGAGACAGTACCAGAACAGACCGCTCTACGAACGACCCCAGAAGGTGGTGGTCAACGGACCGAATGCCGACCAGTACGAGATTGAGATAAACATACGACAGACGAACAAGAATCCCGGATCAAGACCCTCGACAGCTGACTATGCTGAATACACGACTGTCAACAAACCGTACTACGACTCAAACTACGCACCGCACTACGTGGACTACGCTAGTACTACTCCCATTCCCTTGCCAAGCTATGGGTACCATCAACCTCTTTCGGAGATCAGTACTCAGGGACAGAGGACTAAGCCACCGACCATAATATATCTGAACGACAATGACGACAGACGGACCACGACACGAGCACCGAACATTTTTCAGAACTTTTTGACCTTTGCCACGAACACCTTTAACCCTTTGGGTAATCGACGGCCAATGCCTACGACACCATCTCCCATATCCCAGAGCCACACGGACAGACCTCAGTTCGAGAACAATGTTGTTCACAGTCCGATCAGTAACTCTCATATATTGACAGGAGTTTCATCCTCCTATTCACCACGACCGCAATCAGTGCACTCATATCCCGTGGCCACTAGTTCTCAGATTAGCGCTAATCCCGGATCCGGTTTTCTACACGCCTCGAGCAGTGCAGTGAGTGCGGGAAACTTTGGCAGTATATCGGGAGTGGCCACAGCCAATGGAGCGGATAGCACTTTCAGCTTCAATATAAGGCCACGTCCTAGTCCTGAATTGGGCTCGGTTGTGAGCTCTTACCCAAGACCTGCTCCAAATCAAGGGGTAGTGGGAGGAGGAGGATCATATGGAATCTTGGGGCAACCTTCGTACAGACCAGACTATGCACCCCCACAAAGCGAACTGTACTACGACAGAGAACTAAGCACTGACCGAAATACCAGTCCGTTCTCCGGATCTAGTTCCATATACAGACCGCAGTTACAGGCACAGACTTTTTACGGACGGGCACCAGAACTCAAGGAGGTGGGAAACAACAGCAACGAACTAACACAGACAGAGCAAAAACTTTACTTACAGGACTACGACTACGTGAGTAGGACGCTTTCCAACTTGACCACGGACGAAAGTCATCTCACTGAAGAGGATGCAGACTATGTGTACGACGAAGACTTTCCTAGCAATGACCTGGACAAAACGGAGACCCGGAAAGAGACAGACGTAACCGAATTGTCCACTAAAAAATTTGACAAAGACGGATACATGCGACCTCAACTGATGCGAAACTCGACCCAGAACTCTACTGGAACCAACGTGACCTCACTGGACGACAACTACGTAATGCCCATGTTGGACAACAAGACGCGCGCTAGCTACGTGACCGAGGTTCCCAAGCCCATGCTATCCACCTCCAGTCGGAGTGTCACAAACAGTAAGGTCACCGTTTTCCCGGACAGTGTGGGCAAACAGTTGGGCAACGACATACTCGCAGACGAGACGGACGACTACGTGGATGGTAACTCGGAGGCACGACTGAAGGCGCAGAGACTGAAGCAACTGGCCAGTGTGGCTTTCGCACCAATTACCGTATTAACTAAACCGGACAGACCGGACAACTGGGTGATCTATAACAAGGCCAGTGAGGAGCCTCCATTACCACAGCCACCGGCGATCAATATGGATGTAGCACCCACAGGAGAGGTACCCACTCCTATTAAGAACTTCAATAATGGTTGGCTAAAGCAAGATCTAAAGGTTCAGCCGGAAGGATCGATAACTAAATCGGAGGATGTGCCAATAAGATCTGATCCCACTGAGATGGCGAGGAAGAAAACGACTGTGGCAGCAGCGGACAGTAACTAGAAATGCCAAATTTGCCCTAGATTACTTATTTATTTATCTAAACTTTAAAAGCCGAATTAAAATTCAACTCTCATTCAATGATTTTATAGTTTTAAATGGAAGGTTTCTCATGTAAGGTGAGGGACATCAAAACTAACTAACTATCTAACTAAACTAAAGATCGTCAAAGGTTTCTTCCGGACACATAGCTCTTTGACTTCATATATATATTTCAGAGTGCCAAAAATGTGACAATTCTTGGTTTGTACTTTATTATAATGCAGACTAAAACTAGTTTATCCACTCAGAGAACACACACACGAATGCTTAACTAAGTAAGTGCCTCCCGACCTTGAGGGAGGGGCGACCCTGTTTTCGATATAAATTTCTAATTCGGTATGTCCAGTTTTGTGGTAATTTGTTTGGCGCAAACATTGCTGTGCTTAATAGTGTAAAAGTAATTGGGCTACCAAATGTAATCAACATTATTATCAACATCATCATCATCATCATCAATTACGTACAAGTACAAGTATAGTTATGTATATAATAAATTAGGCTTGTAACCGATCGGCCTCTATGCGTGTTAGGTATAAAACGACTAAGTATAACAAAAATAATGTACATTTTTTAAGCTACAACACTTTGGGGTATTTGCATATTTAATTGCGTTTCTTGAACATCCTAGCCACAAGCATATTGACGCTCTACTAAAAGTACATACTCGAGGCTTCCGTCTTCTATGATTTAATATTTCGCTATCGTTTGCAATTCAACTAATTAACCTGTGCTCCTCGGCTCCTTTCTTCTTAACCTTTGTTATTTACAATCGTGAGCGAATCTCCTCCGGTTCTGGTGGTTCTCAGTACGTCGCGTAAATGCAGTTTTGAGTTGGTTTCAGTTTGGCTGGGGGATTGTGCGTTCTTTACCAGCGGATCTGGTGCTTATACTGCTCGTCCACAGCAATCCGCTTGATGGTCTCGTAACCTAGGATAATGCTGAATGAGAAGGCCGCCGACTGCACCAGGCGGGCGGACAGGCCCTTGAAGAAGCAATTCAGTTTCTCCTCCTGCCACAGTTCCCGGAAAGCGACGCTCATCGAGTCCAAACGGTGGACCTGGGGTAAGATAACATTATAAAGATTACGTATGAATGACGAGCACTTTTAAGCTTTTGAGATAAGAGTTCCTGATATTACGACATCTTTAATAAAAATTGCTATAAAGAAATGGTTTACAAAGCAATACTCTAGAGTCTAGACAGATTTTGATTACTCATAAGATGTTCTTTAATTATCAAATATATTCGATAATTATCAAATATATTGATATAATTATCAAATATATATTCAATCTATAGTTACAATCTAGCAAAACTCACCTGCAAACGGGCTCGCACTATATCTAATGGATTGGTTAGTATTGTCGTTGTGAAGCCACCCAGGCTGCCGGCCACGCACTGGATAAACAGATGGGACACCCAAACCGGGCTGATGCGGAACAGTTCGTCTGCGAATAGGGTCCGAAATTAATATAATCTAATCTCGCTCATAAGCGGAAGACTTACCCTGATAGAGGTGATAGAAGGCCCACCACATGGCCGAATTAGGTACGTAGGCCATTAGGCTGGCGGTATAGCCTCGATAGAAGCCCCGGAAGCCATCTCGTCGCATTATCTCCCTGCCAATATCCATGGATATATGCAAGCGACTGCGTCCGGGCCATGACTTGATGCCCAGGGGATTGATATCGCCTTTGGCGCCGGCATGCGCTGCCATACCGAGCACCATGGCGTGTTGCGATATCACGTCGAAAGGAACTATGATGGTCTGGCCCACCAGGGAGGCACAGCCGCCGCCGGCGAGAGCCTTCATTCGATGTCCGGCACCCAGATCATTGAGCACATGGCGCACGCCCTCGTATGTGCTGATGTAAAAGACGCCGGACACTATTTGCACGGATGAGATCCAGAAACCTCTATACAGACCGGGCACTCCTTCCGATCGGTAGATCTTCATAGCACAATCCACCATGCCCTTGTAGACATCGCTCTTGTGCTGCACCTGCAACTGCGTCTTGATCACGGTGAGCGGGAAAAGACAGCATCGCACCGAGAATGAGCTGAGCATGGAGAGCGGAAAGAACTTTGTCTTGTTCATCATGTCCCATTCAATGGTGCGTATGTATGGCAATCCGTCGGGTGTTCCTACCCCGCTGGGTGCCTCCGTGAGGCGGGATGTGGAGCTACTACCGCTTTCCGCCATAGCTGCTACCTGTTGAAGGTGTTGCTACTGCTCCAACGACTCCTGGTGGACTGAGTGCGTCCGGGAAGGATTGTTCGCATGCGTAGAAGCTTCGAGGGGATGGGGGCTTCCTTCACAGCCTGGTATGCTGTTGTCTCTGGAGGCATTCGACCTGCATGACTCTAGATGGGTTCCTTTGTGCTCCGCTTATTGTTGCCGTGTATTTACATATATATCTGTGAAAAAACAAAGATAATCAGTTCATTGACGCAACTCGGACGCATACGCACGAAAATCATTCCCAAGGTCGCGAGACAGATACGGATTTCGAGGGTCCGCCCGTGACCTTTGCTCCTACGCCACGGTCAAGGGAATCCGGCGTAGAGCCTCACGGTTTAACGACTATCTAATCTATATATAGCTTGGCGCCTCATCCAATTTGGAGTTGTTATTATATAATGCGCAGACACCTGACTGATTGGCCTTCATCCCCCTGCCCATGCAAAAAGCTCACTCGGACGTAAACAAACTCTTCAAACGGAGTCTGGATAGGTTTTCTTTGGTTTTTATTACTGGCTGAGCAATTTCTGGTATTCCCGGTGGTTTCTTGGTCACTTACCTATGCCAGTATGTTTGTTTGGATATTAGCTTTGTACATATCACATAATAAATCTGATGAGAATGAAAAATTGCTATAAGAGAGATTTTTGGGAGTGTAAAGTGTGACCAGCATAATATAAAGAATGCATCTAAATATGCTATTAAGTAAAGGTGCGGTACGTGGATACTTGGCTAGCTTGGACTCTAACCGGTTGGAAACCGTTAGATGTCCCAATCAGAACATTTCAACTTACTTTGAAAAAGTATGATGTATCCAATAAGAATGCTTTTCAATTCTTTTGATTAATTTAATGTTAAAACTCAAATATTATTCTTTTACCAACATAAAAAATTCTTTAAAGTGTACAAGATTCTAAGCTCTTCTAATTTATAACATATATTAAAAAACAACAACTTCAATGCATACAAAATAATATTTTTAAATATTCTGTATGTATTTATGACTTAATATTACAATTTTTAAGTTATAATGTTTCCTATAAGAGACGTACCATCTTCACTTCTTTTCCTTTAACTGCAATTTTCATTCAAGTTTTCCCAAACTTCAAATAACTTTCAAACAAATAATGTTTAAAAGTAACCCCTATTACAAATTTAAATGATTTCCATAAAACGTTCAAATCTCTGGACTTTTGACATTTCCACCTAATTGCCGCCCACTCCCATCACTCATTGGTCCTTCCCCTTTAAAACAAATCAACCAATCAAACGAAAGCGTAGGCGTGACGCGCCTGCGCAGTGCATCCTGTCCAGCATCCCGAAGCATCAACCCTTAAAAGTTGACTCCGTCCGCATCCTGGTATTCCTGAACAGGTACCTTTAACCAGTCACCACGGAAACTTGAAACCAACTGCACGCCGGCAACGGAATGCGCGCTGATCATCGACAAGTGAAAGCCATCGAGCTCTGAATTATTCAGGACTATTGATGTGCAGCAGCCAGGTGAAATCCTATTAGTGAAAATCCAACAAGTTCAAGAGTGTGTCCGGACTCCGGACCAGCGATCGATCCATGGATACAGCCAAACTGGTAAGATTCGCTTAAAGCTTTTATTTCTGCTGCATCAGACATAAATAGGAGGCTTAAACTAGGAGTCCACGCAGTGGAGTGGTACTAGCCATAGCTTAGGGTATAGCCCATGTTCTCCATCAGGGTCTCCTTGATGGCTGGCTGAAGGGCTCGCTGCATGTAGGTGGTTAGAAGACCACGGACGCCCATGGAGAAGAGCTTCTCCAGCTCATGGGACATGGCCTCGCCCACGAGCTCCTCCCGGTCTCCACTGAGACTTGAGCCACTCCCGCTAAAAATATCCGCAAAGGCCCGGGCATCCGGCTCCACCAGCTGCTGCAGCTGGTCGTCCTCGAAGTGAAGGACATCCTCGCTGAAGTTCATCTGGTCCTCAAAGTTATCCTTGGCAAAACGCCGCCGGCGTCTCCTCTTTTTGCTGAATTGCCGCCGGTAGAAGTTGTCGCCATTCACATCGATGAACTCACCCGAATCCTGGGCTTGGCTATCGCTGCCCAGCTCCAGACTGTGATCACGCTGGGCATTCTGGCCCCGCCGGATATCATATCCCGCTGGCTGTTGAGGTTCCTGATGATGGTATTTGCCCCATCTTTGCGGTCTACTGCTGCCCATTATCACATGCGGTTCACCGAGTTCTACATCCGGAGCACTTCCGAATCTCCGTTTAGAGTTTTGGCGCAGGCGAATGCCACTGGGTCCCTGGCATCCATGGGCAAACACAGATATAAACCCGGGCTCTGCAAAATGGGAATCCGTTCGCACCGAGGCTGCTCCCAATCTCCTGGATTGCTCGTAGTTGGAGGATTGCCCCGGTCCAGAATCATAGCCCAGTGGAACGGTTCGGAACTCGATGCCCGCATGTCGTAGTCTCAAAATCATGTGACACTTTCCGCCCATCGGTTGCATTACGACCTTCCCACTTAGTGTAAGATCCGGAAAAATCAGGCGAGTGTCCAGAGTAGAGTTCTCCGTACTGAACTTACACTTGTCGATCTCCACCCAACGACTGGCAGATTTTGCCGGCGGCACTCTCACCTTCAGATCCTCCACATCCACCCGGGAAATAGCCAGTTTGTGTGGCTGTCTATGCTGCTGCTTCTGTTGGTTCACCGACAGCAAATCCTCCAGCTCCAGTGCGCTACTAGAATCGGAAAATGGGTAAGCTTGGCCATTCCTATGAAGCAGCTTGGCATGATAGCCACGACCCGTGTTGTAGGCACTACCACCCACATTATAGAAATCATCCTCCGGATCGCTGTGCTGTCCATAGAAACTGTGATACAACTGGTAGGGACTCTGCGGTGGTGGCTCCCACATGGCTCTTGAGGTGGAAGAGGTCTTGGTCTGCACACTGCGGCGTCGCATGTGCTCCAATGCGTTCTCTAGCCGGTTTGAGCAGCGGTGGGGCAACTGATACGGCTGACAGAGAGTCACTAAAGGGCGTGGATTAGTAGGATTGGCTAGGATGGGGGGCTGATGTTACTTACTCTGCAGCAGAGCCCACATAGTGAGCAAAAAGTGCAGCCAATTTAAGTGCCGGCTCACGTATCCTGACATGGCGGTGTAAGAAACATGGAGCGGGGTGCTGTTCTAATCAAAATATAGAGGTTGTCCTTAGGATCTGTTCCTCGGAGTATTTTAAGCAATCTCACAGCTTCACTTTCAATGTATCATAAAACGGTTAAACGTCCTCAGTAAGAATCCTTAACAAAACTTTCGAAAGATTTCTAGGATAGTATGCAATTCTGTTATTTCAATACCGATCCTTCGGAAAGATATCAGTAGTAATGATAATCTTTAGTATTTGAATTCTTCAAGAAATCTTAAAGGCTTATTCCGTCACTGTAGTATAAAACCTCAAATTTTCCGGTGAGGTATATACGCTGGTTTTATGTTCCTTAGATTGGGCAATAAGTTGATAAGTTTCTATAAAAGAATCCCTTAGCTGTCTGAAAACACCTCCGAACTAGCCCGCAGCTGAACCGAAAATGCGAGGCCCAAGCGGAGCGAGAAACTGGCTTGGTCGCGCTTCCATTGCCACCAAAAACAGCACCCACAAGAAGACGGAGAAGAGAAGCCATCGCCATCGTGATGGTGACGACCGTGTCACTGCCTCATCATGTGCAGTGAAAGTGTTTTCCACGACGGATCCAGAGGCAGACTCGAATAAGAGACAGATTCGGAGTCCGAATCAGCCAAGCCAAGCCAAGTCACCACACGACGCACCTCGTCGTGGAGGCGAAAAACAAAAGAAAAAAGACCCAAGCTAAAACAATTTGAAAAAAGAAAAGCATTGTCTTCTGCGGGCCTCATGGGCCCTGCCTCCCATCCGCCCAACCAACCTCTCTGGGCTGCTGCAAAGTAGATCAGTACATATACATATATAATATATAGATATATACTGTACCGAAAAGTAAACACACGAGAAAAGTTTCGTAATGTCAGTTGCGGGCGCGCATGCGTCGTAATCTCTCTCATTGTTCGCCAGGGTTCAAAGTTGATCAATCCGTCGGATGAGTCACTCACCCACCGCCACAGTTTGTTTTCCCAATTGCACTTGTAATTGGCACCAATTGTGCATACAAATTAGGCCCTAATGGCAGGGCCCATAGGGTTTATAATGTACTGAAGGGTATTTACCCTATGAAAGATCGTTGGTTAATCAGATTTGCATGGTACATGAGTATTATGCAAAAATGCAATAATGATTAAAGTTAATTCATCATATTTAGTATTTCATTTTAATGTATATAAAGGTTTATATCTTAAAAGAAAATGTTATAGAATTATCTTCATATTTTTAAGGGCATGTGTTATATGCCTTTATTTACAAAAATCAATAGTTAAGTTCGATTCTCTTGATGTTTATAATATCATATAATCGTGTAATAATTTTGTAGAAATATAGAAATATTTCATTCATTTATTATAAGACCTTGATGAACAAGATAATATATTATGTTTGGAACTTACAGAGTACTCATCCGTCGAAGTTTCCGTTCCAAAAAGTAATCCCCTGTTGCACCTGCGCACGTGTGGCAGGTGACAACGCTTGGCTGGCTGCCGATGAATTTTTTTTAAGCTGCTTGCACATGACAGTTACACTAAATAACTGCCGTAATTTGATTTGACAAATTGTCTGCTTGCACTTAGCAAACGCAATTCGGCGACATATTTTGCAATTTATCAAAAATTTGTGCCAGCAAAAAGCGGAAGAGGAGTTCGTTATGGATTGCCAAACGCCAGCTCTTCATCTTTTTAGTTTTTATTTTTGCCCATAGGTACCAGTTGAATGTATCGTGGCTGAGATTTACATAACCCCCGATTACAGGGGGGAGAAAGTCGAGCATTCTGCTTCTTCTTCTGTAGAAAAACGAAGGGACGGTGCCGCTTTCTGCGTTTCCATCTGAAGTTTATTTTTGGTTTGCTTTTTTTCCTTAACTTGAAGTTTGGCGGCACACTGCCGATAGAGCCGAACCAAACCGGCAACGATTACGGGCATGTAATTAGGGGTAACTATCGTACAAATGGTTCTCGGATGCGACGGAGCACATCAACTGAGCACTAGGCACTGCATCGTATCGCATCGCTTGCTGCTCCAGTTTCCAAATGTCAAGCAAGGGATACGAAATGGGGGCAGCACTGGATGCACTTTGGGATAGTGGCCCGATTAGGTGGGTTCCCAAAAAAAGCAAACAATGGGAGTCAGTCAACGATCCAGATACATTTAAACGGGAACTTTAAAGATACAGTATTTCTTTTGTTGGCCAAATTGGTGTTGAATTTGTTTTAGATATTCAAAGTAATCACCTAGAGGTTGACCTACATCTTAAAGTGGGAACTAGAAAAGTCTGTAGCTGATTGCGTTTATAGGAAGTTCAAAATCTAAAACCAAACTAATCATATTCTAGTTTAGCAAAATAGATCAATTTTAGTTAACCTATTCAAAAGGCTATCATCTTTATTAGCCTCTTCAAGAAATATTTAAGATCTTGAAACATTGACTAGATAGCCAATGAATTTCCCCCATGAAAAAGTGAAATCCCTGCCGGCTTTAATGAGCCCCACGAGCAGGGTGATATGATAACCCGGAGAGAGCGAGAGTGCGACCATAAACAAAGGTTAACCTCGGAGTAGCGCTCATTAAATGTACAAGTGTCAATAAACCGCATTTGGAGTTGGCAGATACCTATGCCAAACACTAGCCACATATCACACCATATCATGAGGGTCCAGTTCCACTGGTAGCTGTCGACGACAATGGCTCATTACTTAATGGCCAAGAACAAGAGAACCCGGCCAATTGACACCCTGGCAGAGGCAAAAGCAAAAGCAAAAGAAGCTGTTAAACTAATTGCCACAACTTCCACTTGACTATGTCAATGTGACGAGTTGGCCATCCCATTGTGGCCATTCAGTCCATTGTCTCTGCAACCTGTTAACAGCGGGTGGCAGTCGATACTCTCGGCAGGTGGCTTTAAAGTGTGTGGCTGGCTTAAAGCCCACGGCTAACCAAGGGATCCCCCAACAAACCATGGCAAATTGACAACTAATTTGGCCAAGACGAAATCGAAATCCCACCCGAAAAAGAGCCAGACTCATGACAATTTCCTGGCGCGCCTTGTCTCATTTCCTTATTCCGCAGAGCGACTACGGCGAGGCCAAGACGCACTTGGAGCAGCTGCAGCAGACACTCACGCATCTGGACCACCCGCACCATCATCACCACCATTTGGGGCTCTATCATGGCGCCCTGCCCAGCACATCCACCATAACCACTGATTCGGTGGTTTCCTGTGTGAGTTCTACACTGCCGGCGGTGGCCAAGGCCATTTCCGCATCCTCGAACTGCGATGGCTTGCAGGTGGAACGCAAGAAATGCCATTCAAGCGATGTGGATTCAGATGGCCATGGTCATGGCCTCATGGAGGCCATCTGCATTGGCCAAAAGACATCGCCGGTTCCCCCGCCGCCACCACCTTGCTGCTTGGCATTGGGAGAAAGTCCCTCCTCACCTAATCCCATCGCCACGGCCGCCCTGATGAACGTCTCTTCCGGATCCTCTAGCACGGGCGGAGCAAGTGCCTCTCTTTGCAACGGTCAGTATTAGTCATTTATACTTATTTATATTTTAAGATATCCATATAAGTTATTATAACGACTTTTCCAATCAACTGTAACATAAAAAAACCCTTCTTTTATCCTCCTACCCTGCAGATCTCACGCGAGAATCCTCCTGGTACGCCCACCATCATCACCACCACCATCACCATCATCACCAGTTAGCCGATGAGCTGGTCATGTATGCCACGCCCACACCCACGCCAGCAATTGGAAAATTCGGACTGGACACTTCCACCGAGGGTTACTTGAACGCAAGGTACAATGGTAAGCGTCCTCGTCCACGTCCACTGTCAAGTCCGGATGCAGCCTGCTCCTCTTTCCTCCTCTCCTGACCCGCCACCCACTGTATCCACTTTCTGTTTGCCTTTGCTATTTACACGTTCGCTTGTTTATTAATTTTCCATTATGAGTTCAGAGAACTGAGTGGGGGGAGTGCTGTGGGATGGGAAATGGTTGTTCTCTGGGAATGGGCCAGGGATTTTGGGCTGCTTGCCTTTCGCTGCCCGAAGGCTTTGTTTCAGCTTAGATTGTTTTTTTAAGTTTTATTTTTATTAAGAAAACATGACTGAAGTTGGCGCGTGCCGAGGCCCAAAGGAAGATAAATAAATTTGGAGTTCGGAGATAACTTAGCTGGAGTCGAGAATCATAAGTTAATCGGGGGGAAATTATTTTATTTTTTGAGTTATCTTCAAGGCTAGTTTATGGTTGAAGCGGAAAACGTCATAGTTTTGTTTTCACAAGGAAAAACTCAGACGAACTGATTTATTAATCATAGCAAATATTTCTTAAGTTAAACACTCTTTAATCTCCAGACCCTTATACCATTTTTAGTTATCTTATTTAGTCTTTAACTTTTGTTGGCATTCGATTATGGGCAAGTCAAGTGCATGTGACAAGCTCGATTTGTGGCCTCAAAGACATCCCATTGCGAGCGTTAATATGAAATATTATCTAACAAAAAGTCGAGGCCAACTCGATTGACTAAGACATACTACATACTTTGCCAAGGGACCATCTTCCTTGGCATTTATGAGTGGTAAAAAAGTAACCTGGACTTGTTCTTTACCTTTATTTTTACCACCCATTTCTACTCCGGACATCTGCAGTGAATGTCAAAGGCGTGCGGCATGAAAGAACATCGAGTTTCTTTGACATACCCGCTGTGACGCACCCACACCCGCATCCGCATCCACATCCGCACTCGCACCCGCATCCGCACCCGTACTGCTACAGGTAAGACGAAATCCCGGGGATTGAACTTTACGCTGACAAGACAAGTCAACTTTAAGTCAATCAGCAGAGTCTCTAGCTCCTCGAATTTATTCGCATTCTATATATATTTTTGATTTATGCTCCATACAGATTTCCATCATCGCCACCCGCGGGCATTCTGAAAAAGAGCGACGAAGGTAAGTCCCCTAAGATAAGGAAAAATGAAAGGAAAATGATTAAAGCCGTGCGTTCATCATTTATTCAAATTATTGTGCGCGATATGCATACCTATCAGTGGGTAAACTCAATTTGCTGCCTCTTCTTAGTGGCCGCCAATATTTTTTCAAATAAAATGCAAGAAATCGCGCGCATAATTTACAATAACAATATCGCCGGTGTTAGTAACCGCTAATCCAATTGGCGGCGGCACAAGCGAGCAATTCAATTTTCAGAGGGGCAGATATAGTTGGCCTCCGGTGGGCGTTGATGTGGGCGTGTACGGAATACGCCGCCCATCGAACAAACAGCTCAATCACGGGCACGGTGCCGTTGAGTGGTTTGTGTTAGCTACACCGTCACCCACCCCAAATACTTTATCTAGCCACCCTCTGCACTTAGGAAAATGTTGACTTCAGTTACTTACTTTTCCTTAAAGATATATTAATTATTTTAGCTATTAAAGCAATATCTTTCTTAGTAAAGAAGTTAAACTACAAACCGGTATTTAGGATAAGTTTAAGATGTCAAACTATGTTATTCTATATTATGTTATTGAATCTGAAATGAAGATTCTTGATTCTAGGATTGCCAACATTTTGAAACTTTATATTTTAATTTAAAGTAAATATATTTTCCTGAGTGCACTGGTGCACTGGCACACACCCACTCCCACCCATCCGAAACCCTCACCCCTGGGCAGTAGCAGGAACAGCAGCAGGGCCAACAGGTCTCCAGGTTTTCCATCAGCATCAGCATCACCATCGCCTCGTTTGTTGTTATCGACAATGATGTTTTTACTTGTCGACACTTGCTCATGGATTATGCAAAGGTATCTCCTGAATTTTTAATTCGCCCAGCGTCGAGTCGCGATGGAGGGATGGCTGAAGGGTGGCGGGCTGGGGACTGATGGGAGTTATAGAGTAACTACCTAATGAAAAGGGCAAACTCGAGTGGTGTTGCGGGTGGGGTGTGTTTTGCTCCCCCCGGTTAAATTGCAGCATATTGAGCATTTTGCAGCGACTGATGGGAGTGGGTTGCTTAAATAATTAATTCCTGCTAAATACCCTGGCCATTTAGAAGAGGCAAGAGAGCCACAGAAACAAAGCAAAACAATGTAAAAGAGTTTTTAATGGCCATAGAGAAGGTGGAGTGCTCTTTAGTAAGGGAAATCCAGCTGAAAATAAGCATAATTATTATGGAAAATGTGAAAAATTGGTTATAGATGATAGAATTTATATATAAAGATCTTAAAGATTGAAATTATTTCAATTCTTAAATGATTTTTGTATTTATTTAGTAATGATATATACCACACCGAAAGAGATAGATACTCTCTTCTCTGCCGAAAACAATGACAGCACCGTCCTACCCCCTGTAACAAAAGGGTATATGGAATACCCATGTAATTAGTGCCCGTTCCCTCGACACCAGGACACATTGCTCAAACGTGCATGAAAGCGGCTTTCATCCAGCTCCTTTTTCGAATCCTTTTTTTCAGAAACGGCCGCAGCCGCTGCCGCAGCATCAGCAGCAGTCTACTGCAGCGACGTATCCTCCGGCCAGCACTTTCAGCATCACACAAAGATCGAGCATGCGGACTCTACAACAACGGCGGCCCAACAGCAGCAACAGCAACAGCAGCAGCAGCAACAACAACAGCAGCAGCAACACCATCAGCAGCAATTGCAACACGCTGCTGCACTGCATCCGCACCATCATCATCATCATGGACACCACCACCAGCAAACAGAGCAGCAGGCTCTCACTCACTTGACACCACTACATGCCGCCTCCGCCTTTAAGTTTAGTCACACGGCGGTTATATCCAGTTCGGCGGTATATGCCACGCCTTCCCACTACGCCCACCAGCAGCAGTCTCAGTCGCAATCCGTTTATCGAGAACTTTCACCCACATCTTTGGCGGCTGTTAGTGATGCGGATCTGAAGTACGACAGTGGTCCCTACAACGCCACCATCTCATCCACCTATCCATCTGCCCTGCGGCCCAATGTGGTGGACTCCACCACCTCCAGCGATGCGGAACTGCGTTTGGATCAGTTCTATGCCAGCAATGGCATCTCCACCAGCAGTAACGGGCAGACGATCAGCCAGCGAAGAGGCTCTCTGCAGCTGTGGCAGTTCCTGGTGGCCCTCTTGGATGAACCCACGACCAGGTGAGTTCTAGTTTAAACATTTCAACGTTTGAAACCCTTCTCAGTCCATGTACATGATCATATCTTCTTCCAGTGCCAGCTGCATCGCCTGGACTGGTCGGGGAATGGAGTTCAAGCTGATCGAACCGGAGGAAGTGGCACGGCGTTGGGGTCTCCAGAAGAACCGCCCTGCTATGAACTATGACAAGCTTTCCCGTAGTCTTCGCTACTACTACGAAAAGGGCATCATGCAGAAGGTGAACGGAGAGCGTTACGTCTATCGTTTTGTCTGCGATCCGGATGCCCTGTTTAACATGGCTTATGGCCACCTAACCACCGGATCCGGTTCAGGAAAAGGTGACCAGCACCAATTGACGCTGTCATTGGCCAAGACGCCACCAACATCCGGCGATTCTCAGACACAATCCCCTCGCGTGGCCAAGTCGGAGTATTACGATACAGCCGGATTGCATAAATATTAGCTGTGTGTGTGTGTATCCACATGTGGGCGGAGCGTGGGAATGCGGCCAAGTGTGCGTGGTCAGGTCCCGTGTACATTGTGTAATCTAGTTGCGTGTGTATGTGCGTGGGGTAACGAATTTGAAATGAAGGTTTCGTTATGATGAGCTAAGTTTGGGAATATTTGGTAGTAGAAGTCTATAAATCGGGTTTACCAAAAGCTGTCTTTGAGTTTATATTTTAATATTATTAAACTGAACAATAGAAGATTAAAATGTATTAAAAAATAATCACAAATACAGCTGACAAGATGGTTTCATGTACTTTTATTTTTCTCAGTAAAAAATTGTCAAACATTTCGAGGCACATTTTTCACGACTTTTTATGTGACACTACCATATAGGGTTATTGATTCCAAGGACTAGGCTCATCAGAACGACAAACAACAAATGGTATTATACGATATTTACATATAGCATATCTAAACGCCTATGTATACATACATAAATATATATATCTGTGTATATAGGGGGGATACCAAAAAATAACAAATATGTGTCCACCACTAATCGTAGATCTGCGTTGAGGTTGAGTTACTTAAATAAACTATTAACCGTGTTTCCGATTTCGAAACCCATTGTAATTTGGCAAGTTAGGAATCGATTCAATTTCGGTTCTTCAAAATAACGTTAAAACCAAAATTGTTAAATTTCCACCAAATTGAATCGGTTGGAAACCGGAAACAGGGATGTATGAACCGTTTCTGTTCGTTAATCAAATGGCAGCAGAGTGTTGTTTTCAATTATTCCCGATTCACTCCTCCTTCTTCTTCTTCTTTTTGGGCTTATCTTCCTCGTCGGAATCCTGGCTAGTGCTACTGGAATCGTTGGCACTACTGCTGCTCTCCGCCTTGCGCTTCTCCGGTGACTTCTTGGCCAGCTTTTCAATGTATTGCTTCAGCTTGTCCGGCTGTGGACTGTAGGCCCAGTGGATCAGCTGCAGGTGGAGATCAGTGGGTTCTCCAGTTTCCGCATCGAAGAGCTTAGCCTCCTCGCTCTTGATCTGTTCCAGCAACTTGGTCAACTGACGGTTGCGTACAATGTCCCAGCTGGTCTTATCATCCGCCTTCGGGAACATGGTTCGCAGGTGCTTGTAGTTGCCCTTGGCCTTGGAGCCGCCATAGGCTTCCAAGAATTCGCTGGCCAACTCATCCTTGGGATCTGGCAGCTTGGTCACCACTGCAAGTGGTAGATAGGCGCGATTGTCTTTGATTCGGTTTTCTGCCTCGAACTTCTCCAGGAAATCCTCCAGCACCTGGACTCCCTCCTTAATGGCAGTGATCTTGTCCTCGTTCTTGGTGCCGGATAACACACGCTTAGAGCTCCCAATCAATCCCTTGATAGCCAACCTCTGGTAGTCCGGATCTCGCTCAGCCAAAATGCTACAAATTGAGATGCATATATAAATATTTTGGATACAGGCAAACTGCGGAATGCGGCGATATAGTCATGTAAATATTGGGGTGGATCGCTTGTTAAAATTCATTCAGTTTAAAATTGTTAAGGTATATGATATATCTAAAAAGTATTTTAGTTATAAGTAGATAAAAGTTAAGGAATTTATATAAATATATAAATAAATTCCTTAACAATAAATAGAAAACTATTTTCAGATTGTTTACTTTTGAAGAGCATTCCAAAGAAGATACATATATCAAAATCTTTGGAAATCAAAGAAATTAATGAAAATGTCTGATTAATTACTTAAGTCGATATGTTATGTTAAACAATATATCAAGTTTACAGATTAACATAATCGATCCACCCTAATATACATCCAATAGGGAGAGCAACAAATAGGAAGAGCGTACTGCCCGCTCTATCAACTTAATGAGACTTCCGAGTTCGACACTCTAAAACTGTGCCATGACATCATTTGACGTTGTCGTCGTCGCTGGTTGCCTGGGCTGAAGGTCTCCAGCTCATTTGCATGCCAGCGAAGATGACCTGGACTCTTACCTCAGTGTCGCCTCCGCAGCTACCTTGTCCTTGAATCCCAGTCCTGGCACAGTCTCCACCTTGTCCTCGCTGTCGGTCTTGGCATTCTTACTGGAAGCTCCACCACCATTCTCCTCCAGCCACTTCTCAAAGACACCAATGGCTGCATTGATGTTCTTCAGCTTATCCTCTGCTTTGGTCACTAAAATACAAAGAGTTAGTCCTGGAACGGAGGCTTCTTTCTCCAGGAGAACTTACTTGTTAGGACTCTCTTGGCCCTGCCTAGCAAACCTCGTACTGTCAACTTGCGGTACTGCATATCATGGCTCTCCAGCAACTTCAAAGTCTCCAGAGCCTTCTCCATATCCTTAAAACCAAACTTCGATTCGCCCTCCGACATAATTGATCCTTTGGTTGCTAATACTTGGGTATCTGATAAATAGCGTCTGTAATCTGCAAGCGCCGAAATACGACTGATTTTTTCGTAGTCAGATTCCCGAACTCGATGGCATATGGAATTTAATTATAGGCTTATGGGAAAAATGAGCGCCACTGAGAGGCACTGAGCACCGCTGAGCAGGCCAATTAGATAAGCACCACAAAATAACTGGGTGACTCTATGCTTGGGAACCGGTTTGTTGTCGTATCGGAGGAGCAAAACAAAACCCACGAAAAATAAACCAAACCTAGCGTTGCCATGACGTCACCGCCACGATAAACTGATAACAAACAACATATGCGAACACAGGGGCGGATACGTGACATTGAGAGGGAATAAACGGTTACAAAACGTTTAAAATTAATTACATACTGTGCTACATGCATACTTTGAATGTGTGGCACTAAAGATTTCATTTATGTCCAATCCGAATAAATGAAAATAATATATATATTTTGGCAAAAAACTCGTTAAAAGTTGTTTTTTAGCCATCCATAAAAAAAAAGAACATTGGTTTCTCCTATTTTCCTCCTCAAGGTGTCCACAGCTAAGTCAATAGTGGTCTGAATATAGAATGTCATATCTCGTTGAGTTTGTTTTATAATTCCTAGTCGAACTGCATAAACAGATTAAGATGTACAAATTTTGGCATTTTTCGAAAAAAAAGGATGATTATTAAAAATGCCGATTTTTTTTCATAAAAATGGTAACGTTTTGACCAGTGCGAAAGTGATGGGCCCAGTCCCTTTCTGTTGTGGGATTTGATTTGACAAAAATATAACCCAAAACCGATAAAATATTGGAACAAAAAATCATAAAAACACTGAAATCGGGCAAAACAAAAAAATGCGGTCTGCTTAGTTAATACAAACATGTTTTGTAATTTGTTTCTTTTGTTTATAAACATGGAACTCGAAACACTTTGGGCTTAAAATATTACGATTAGCTAGTTGCAGCTCCGCCGTATTTGAAGTACGTCGTCGACCATAAAATTGCGAAGGTGGCATAAAGCCTGCACCACATTGCCTTGGTCACGGAGATTTGGTCCGATCCATTGCTCAGGTAGTGGCGCCTTGGCCACGACTTGTGCCGGTGTGACATGCGTTAGTGCCCGCCGCCAGTTGTTGTTACAGGTGGCCACGTTCAAGTGGCTACCCGTGTGCAGGCTTTCTATGTATTTAATGTACGCCTCTGAGTGTATGACGCGAGTGGTACGCGGTGGCACTGTGACGAACATTGGCTCTGGCGGAGGTCCTAAGACGATCTGTTGCTGTTGCAATTGGTGCACATTATGCTGCTGTTGTTGTTGCTGGAGCTGAACTGCCTCGAGATTGCTTGGTGCGCGCGGCGATTGCGCAAGGCTGGGAGGAATGGGAACCGTTGTGGCCAGTGGGGCATTCTTTTGGCGACGCGGCACAAAGTTCTTACTACGATCTGCCATAGACACGGACTTGCCACACTTGCTAAGATGAACTTCGCGCACGTGCTTGATAAGGCGAAGAACATTTGGAAAGGCCTGGATTGATTTCTTTATCCGCGGGCAGTTGCGCCACAGGCAGACATACTCCATCTCTACGCCCGCCTGTGGATGGCGCTGAATATGACCAGTGGCATCAGACATGCAATGTTCCGTGCAATCGCCCAGTTCCTCGAATTGAAAATCGCACTTGTCCCACTGACACTCGAAGGTTAGCACCTGGCCGAAGGCATCCTGTGACATCTGAGGCAAGGGGCTGGCGCTGTTTTGAGCGTCGTCTAACTCACGGCGCATGGCCGCTGTCTCCTCGTTCTGACGGCTGGCCCGATCCTCCCAGCTTTGCTTCACGCTGGCCGGGAGATTCTTCCATTCGGTGCCCACCATGCGGGATATGTCGCCAAAAGTGGCTTCCGGATTACTCTGGCAAATGCCTAAAAAAGAAAATGTTAAATTAATAAATGTTATTCGTACATAGTAAGGTGCCTTCTTACCTTTCCTTACTTCACTAGAGTAGAGAATGTAACCGGTAAGACATTTCTTGGCCGATTTTGCTGCCTTAAATTTGGAGGTCAGTGGTGTGGAGTTCACTGAAGGAGCCGGCGAAGACATTGCCGCAATATCTGAACTTAGCGAGGGAGTATCCCCATCCATTGAATCCTCCAACATGGCTAGCTCGTTCAACTCGTTCTTAACGTCCTTGGAGGGCTTAATAGGAGTTTTAAAATAGAATATCTCATCTTCGGTAACGGCAGGACTATGCTTAAACTTGCGCATATTGCCGGGAGACAGCTTTCGGAGAGCCTTCTTCAGCTCGTCGTAGACGGAGTCACAAATATACACATCGCTTTCCGATATCTCCGTGGGCCGTGAGGTGATAAATTCGGCATATTCAAGGACGGCGCAACGACCCACAATACCCACTACCGGGCTGACCTCTTCGACGGTGCTCAGCAACAGTTCCTGGCGGAAGAATTGCTTTCCCAAGCCAGGAGTCGTCTCGCTGGGGGGGAGCAACCATGGACCCTTAAAGTAGGATTTACCATTTTCCTCCCAGATCTGATGCACCTGAGCCACCGACTGTTTTCCTGTTTGGGTGGCTACATATACGAAGTCCCCAGTTTTTATGGCCCCGCTACAGACCGTGTTGTACTGCTGGTAGTATGTGCTGGTGCTCTCAGAATTTTGCGGTGGATCGCAAGACACATTTGGCTTCTCCTTCTCGACCAGGGTCTCTTGGAGTTTCAGCTCCTCCAGTTCTCCTTTATGCTTCTCCAAACGCTCTTTAAACACGGACATCACTCGCTTTAGCTCCAATGGCTGCTCACGCGGAACAAATTTTACAGAGCTGCCTTCGCGAATCGGCGGCCAGCTTTTCAGCTTCTTAAAACAACGACCATGGATGTTGTAGCGAGATTCGCAGACGAAGACATCCTTTTCGGGCAGTCTGTCCGGCCGCATCTTAATATAATCCTTTATATTCATCACATAGCACATTCCCAGCACCTTGTCCATTGAAATAGTTTGCGAAAGACTGCTCTTGAACACTTCCTTTTCGAGGAACTTTCGAGTGGTTACATGGTAGGTTTCGTGTGGACGCACAAAGATCGAAGCCTGCATTAGCTTCTCGTTAGTAGGAGACGTCCACAGGCGCTCAATGCAGCATATGGAAGGAATCTTGTTTTCCGGCATTTGCACGTACACGTAATCGCCGGGGGAAAATACCTGTTGGTTTATAGTCATGCTCTCCCCCTTGGCGGCGTTGAACTCATCCTTCTCCTTGTCCTGCTCCTGATCCTGTTCTTCCTGTTGCACCTTCTGCTGTCGACTAACCTCTACATCAGCTAGAAGGCGCTCAAGAGTAAAGCTTAGAGCAGGTGAGCTTAGTGTATCCTTGCATAACTCGTCCCGCTTTCGGATGAAGTAGGTTTGCAGTTCGATAGAGTCCTGAAAGAATATGGTTTATGGTTATTATAGAATTTCATTTATGATATGTTTGTCTACCCACCTGAAAAATATCTGAATCTGTGCGCGATAATTTTCTTGCACGCTCCAAACAGGCGAATATATCCTCCTGGTATATATCAAGCCGCTTGTAAGCTCCCTTGTCCAACCTTCGCTTCACAAGATCTAGTGATATGCCGCGCACCTTGGGTCCTTCACCTATCTCATCGTACTCAGGCAGTTCAGCCAGGGAATCGGAGTAGCAACGACCCTCTTCGTCCTGGTGATTGTAAAGAGTAGTGAACAGGGAAAGGAATAGTTCCTGAACAGCCAGAGGAACATCAGGAAGTGAATCGCGCTCGGTGCGTAGCTGTTGCTTCAGCTGCAGTGTCAACTGCTGTAGAACCAGAGCGTCTTTGTATATCTGCGAGTCTGGTTCGTTGTATTTGCAGGCATTCTCCAACATCAGCAGAAAATCAGCAGCCAAGTCATCTAAACTCTCGTAAGCGCCCTGTTTTAGTTTTTGAGCTATCCGGTCCATGTCAATTGGTTCTTTAATGATGTCATAGTAGTCCGGATATTCGTTCTTTGACGGCAGTTTGGTAAATATCAGCGATAGCTGCCTCTTGCCCTTCGGTTCCTGATACTCCTTTACAGTTTCATAGAACTGCCACAGGCGATCAGTGATCAGAGCTGTTTTTAACTTCCTGCCCACTTTGTTGTACTTTTGCTGGGTTTTTTTGCCCTCTGACAGACCTGGAAACTCCTTGAGCTTTTCGTTAAGGGCTCGTTCCAAGATGTTAGCGTCCTCGTATATGTTAGAACCTTCCTCGTTATACTGCCGGCAATTGGAAAACATAAGTCGGTAGTCGGATACCACGTCCTCTACGGCGGCATAACGATCGGTGCGTATGTTGTGCTCAATGGTGTTCATGTCAATAGGATTCTGGATGATATCGTAGTAGTCCGGATAAATCTTACGTGGCGGCTTCTCCATAAACATCTCGATAGGTCGCCGATTCCCCAAAGAATAGTCCACCAGATATTTTTGTATGCTTAGAATCTTCTTCTTAATTGCCGCATTAATGGCAATACGATTGGATTTGGGTGAGTTCGAGTTGTTTGGCGTATGGGAGGCATTCGAGTTGGAATTAGAGTTGATACGCGGCCTGCCCGGTTTGCGCTTTTCCGGCTGCGAGCTAGGCGTAAATACCTCTGCGTCCATCTCGTCTGCTTCTTCCTCATCTAGATCGCTACCCTCCTCCAGGGATTCCTCCACTAGCTTTGCGTTCATAAGCTTTAGCATTTTCAAAGCATCTTTGTGTGTGCGATGGGAAAGCGGAAACGCCTTTTTGGCATTGTCCAGCATGAGATACAAATCGGCCGTGAGATCACTGATGTTCGCATAGTCTCCCTTCTTCAGCTTTGTGTGGATCTGGCTCATGGATATCGGTCGTTTGATTAACTCAAAGTATTCCGGATGAAAGCGGCGCACTGGCAGTTTCCAAAGGGAGTTGCCCAAAGGGGGACCAGTCACACCAGGATGCTCTGAAGTTCCTGGTGCGTTATATAAATGATCGAATAATGCCCACATGGGTCCCTCTCCCTTTTTGCTAGTCTCCTCGTCGTCCGAGCTGTCTACCTCTTCTTTTAGTGCTAGAAAAAGTAAACATGTAGAATAGGGTAAACATTCTTAAAGCTGTAATCCTTACCCGCAATTGCCGCACTCGAAAGACTTTTGATCCTCTTAGCGAGCTTGCCCTTGCCCGTCTCTAGCTCAATACGCCTCTGCGTAAAGATGCGTTTTAGGGCCTTGGCGTCCTTGTAGATCTGAGAACCGGGTTCATTGAATAGGCATGCGTTCTTCGTCATCTGCAGCAAATCCCGCTCCATCTCCACTAGCGAGGAGTATGCGTTCATTTGGATTTTGGTCGCAATCAGCCGCAGATCAATGGGATGCTCAATGACATCATAGTAGTCAGGGTAGATCTTCTTTGAGGGAAGCAATTGAAACATACGGTGCATGGCCCGGTCGCCCACAGGATCTGAGGCAGTCATAACTGAGGCGAAGAGCTCCTCGTACTGATTGTACTCGTCATCAGCTGCTCCGTCGCCACCCGGTTCCGTGCTGGTAGTCATGCGGCGCACCTGCCGCGAAATGCGTCGAGCACGCGGCTCCTCCTCCGCTAATCCGTTGGCCTCCATGATACGCTGCCTCTGCGACTGGATTTGCTGCCACAAGGATACCGCATCTTGATACTCGAAGCTGTCGGATTTATAAAAAGCCTTCGCATTCCCAATGAGTAGCTCCAGGTCTGCCATTAGATCATCCAGATCGTCGTATGAGTCTGTTTTCAGTTTCTGCTGCACCTTGAGCAGATCGATGGGATTCACCACCACGTCATAGTAGGAAGGCTCCTGCCGACGCTTCGGAACCCGAATAAAAGTGTCACAAAGCATGGATCCATCCTCCTTCTTGATATTTCTAATGGAATCGTACAACTGCTGGCATAGTTCTGTGGGATCGAGACGGCGCTTTTTTCGCGCCGATTGTGTCGTTGTCTGCTGCACCGGCGACTGCTCGGGCGTCGAGTCGTCTAGCTGCAACGGATCCTCGTCCTGTCGACTGGATATGCTGCTCGCCCGTCTCTTGCGGCTCAGCATCGCTTTATTCTTGCGTTTAATTCAATTAAAATCTAATAATCTGACAATAAGACGCCACCACACCACACAAAAAATGCTACAAAAATGGAGATGAGCGAAAAACTAGAGATGGGCACAATGTGCGATAGTTGCCGGTCTATATATCGTTCGATGGCCGTCACTAGTGTGGTGAGTTATCGCAATAGAATTGGCGAGTGGTGAAAAAGAATTTTAAAGTGTTAAATAAGTTTTGTATTTTGTTTTATTGTAATTTGAAGTTTTTAAATAAACATCATGAAAATATTATTACTTAAACTCTTTATTTATTCTTATAGCTTCTTTTATCTTGTATTTTAAGTCAGTAAATCACAGCAACATTGTAGGTAGTTTCCTTCAACACTGAAGCCTATCCTCAGTGCTGAGGCATTCAAGCCAAAAGGAAGAGCGAAGTTAAACTGAAATAAAAGTAAAACGAGATAATCTTTCAGTAAAACGGCAGGAAAGCAATAGCGCGTAAGTAAAAAGCCATGAAATGCTTGTTAATTTAGTAAAATGCTTTGTTTATTATATTTTATCACATAAGTTTTAGACGCTTGTTATTGTGTGATCATGTGAATATTGGGTTACAGATTTGAGTATGCAGTAAAATGAAATGAAGGCGCCTTAGTCGATGCGCTACTTAAGGAACATTGTTAAAATCTTATATAATAAACTCGAAAATACATTGATAAATAGCGAAAAACATGTATGAAATGGGATTCAACACTTGACTTGGAACGACAAGAAATTGAGTGAAATACATGAAACTCTAGTCTACGTCTACTGCAAACGGTTGACTGTGGCTTATGTTGCACTATAGCATTCTCTATTTACACGTTAATTATTGGCGAGATTTCTGCGTATACATATATCTTGGTACACAAGTGCCACAGATTAACTGGCGGCATGGTGATATGCTGGTCCCCTTGGAGGACTCTGTATATAAAGTACAACAATTAAGCACAACAGTTAACAGCGCAACATTTAAATATTAGTATCAGTTCTGCACAACTAAACGTGATCATATAACATATGTAAAGGTATATTATATATGTTTCAGCTGCCCATCTCCCATGGTTTGCTTATTTCTCAACAGTTCATTTCGTTTGCCTTGCGACTAGCGGTGGTATTGCGACTGCTCTTACGACTAAGATTACGATACTTGGTATAGAAACTTGTTAGGCTCTTTAGCGGCGACTCGACAAGGCATCTCACTAGATGTTGGTGTACATAAAACGCATTGTCGTGTCGCTTGCGCCAATATCAGTTGATGAAGCTCATGTAGTTAGTAAAGAGCACATAGTTCTCCACTAACCGGGCTCTGAGTTCCCGGCGCACAGTGGCCGTGAACTTGTTGGCCAGACACAGGGCCGTTGTGGTTCCAAAAACCAAATTGTAGAGCAGTACAATTTGGAAGTTGCCAAGCCACTCGATGGCCCCAAAGTCGCCCAGCAGGTCAAAGTTCGTGATGCCTAAAAGGAACACAACATTTATTTTAAAATATATATTACATAAGTAATTTGTTACTGCTTACCTATGATCCTGCTGAGAAGCGGCAGCGCCGAGGACAAAACCAGCATGAAGCCACAGTTTAGCATTAGTTGTGGCAGTGATGTCTGGCGCCGCTTGGGGCAGACGTTTCGCATGAAGGGCATGCTGTAGAAGCCCACTACTGAGGTGGCGCCCAAGTAGAATATTAGACAAACCTCCAGGCCGGCACCAAATGGCCCCAGCTTCGAGAGCGATGAGATGCCCAACGTAAATTGCTAAATATAAATAACGAAATTAATACTCTATCATTTACAAAACTCTAAAATTTATTAAACTTACTCTAGTGCTAAGCGGAAGTGCCTTGATGCCTATAAGCAGCTCCAGGGTGTTCTGCACCACCAACAGAATGGTGACACCTGTGCAAAAGAGCAGCAACAGCATGGCCAGCGGATAGACAAAGGTTCTCTGAAAGGTGCTAGACTTGCGCAGCTTGTCCAGTTCCTTGCGCTCAGAATCCAGCACTCTCAGTCTCTCGTTAAGCTCACCCACGTCAGAGCCCATCGCCTTGCGCTGGTAGAGATGTGCCTGCGACTGCTGTAACAGCGGCTGCGGAAAGAAGGTGCGGCCACGTCCCGGTCCAATCCCATTTCCCAGTCGACCGCCGTTGGCAGCATCTGAGATGCTAACATTATGCAGCTCGATGTGGGCCAGCTTTCGCTTCACACTTGCCTCCTCCATGTAGAAGGCGCTGAACTCCTCGTTAACGTCGCGCAGCAGCATGGGTCGCACCAGCACCTGGTTAACAACGCCAAACAGACGCACAAAGCCGTAGGGGGTGCAAACTGCAAGCAAACAAGAGAATTTCCATGGTTACTACATTTAAATTTAAAACTAGTTTCTGTTTCTATGACATCTTAGTAAACTTAGAACTACTAGTCTTTTCTAAACAGTCAGAGCCTAATCATTCCAGCCAGTAACTCGACTACATTTGTATCTTTTAAACCATTAAAATGGCAAGTGAAGAAGGTAAAGATATCGACCAACTCAAGGCAACTTTCCAGAACTGCAATTTGAACACCAAGGATGTCGATGATTTCGCTGAATTTGAGGCTACTCTTGCAAAGATCGATAGTATATTGAAAAATGAAAAGCCTCTTGAAGACGATGCAGCGGAAGGCGCAGTTGGTGGTGTCAAGGAGAAAATCAACTTTGACAACCTGGACGTGGATAATGTCCGTCTCAAGGTGCGCCAAAATCGCACATTGATCAATAAGAAATCTACTGAGGAGGAGACTGAGAAGAACATCAAGACCATGAACCAGCAGAGTTTTATGGAACAAGTGGAGCGGGATGCTAATGATCGTGCAGAGGCACGTGCCAAAGCCGAGTATGAGGCTGAGTCACAAAGAATGTAAGTACAGTGGATTTCTAAACTTATTGTTATTAAATATAAAATTCTTTTTAGCCAGGGAAACGAAGCTTTTCGCGATCAAAAATACGAAAAAGCCATTCTACACTACGGCAAGGCTATTATAAAAATCAAGGATAGCGCTATTACGTACAACAACCGTGCCTTGTGCTATATCAAGTGAGTTTTTAGAGATAAAGAATACCACAAATGTGTCCAATTATTCTATTTTACAGACTCCGAAACTACAAACGCGCTCTCCAGGATTGCCAGTACGTGCTAGAGAAGCTGGAAAAGTCCAATCTGCGTGCCTTGCTTTACCAGGCCAATGCTTATAAGCGCTTGAAACAAGACGACAAGTTTGAGGAGAGCGTGGCCCAGGCACGTGAACATAATCCTAAACAGCTGGCCTACATTGACAAGTTCATTAAGCAGTTGGAGGACGAGGCTTAAAACATTTTCATTAAGTTAGTTATACATATTATACTTACTCAGCATCAGCATCACGCCCAGAAAAGAGACACAGGAATAAAGAAACGGCAGGTGAACACTGCCTAAATCTGTGAAGCATAAAAAGCGGAAATTAGAAATGCATTGTAAACTATAACCAAACCCATTTCGGGGATGGGCTTGTCACGGGCTGGGAATCGCAATTGACATTGAAATTGCTCTCTTCCGCAGACGTACATATAGTATTACCATTACTCACTTAGAAACCAAAAGAATTGAAACTTTTCAATGCCAAAGACTGCACTTAGGACAGCAGTTAGTACCAGGACAATAACGGCCATCAGCATGAATACTGTAAAGGTTTCGTAGACGCGCGGCAGAATGCCCTTCTTGTGGCCCACGAATCCCGTGGACTCGGAGAACAAATAAACGAATGGCAGGAAGATGAACAGTGACAGATTGGAGAACAGAAATACATGGTTCCACAGTCCTATTTAGGAATAAAATACATGGATTAAAAGGAAGTTTCTTTGATAGAAAAATTCAATGTAAGGGGGAAGTGCCCCTTTGCTAAGTACTTACCTTGTATAAGGGAACTGTTTAGCCATTTCACATAGTAACTGTTGGGATACAAGAGCAGCACCTCGTTGCTGGCTATAGAAACGGGCAGCAGCATGGCAGCCCCTTCGGCAACGGCCAGTGTGAATGTGCATAGCCAAAAGCTGTGGGGTTGTGTGTAAACAAAAAATAAACCATTCATTACTGCGAATGTGCAACTCAAGTGACTCGGCAATTAGCAGCGGTACAGGTTGTTGACCACTGGAATACCTTACCTTATGCGATAGACCAGCACCTCATCCTCGTCATTCGAATAGAGATCGTCACGGTCGCGGCGCCGAAAACGTGAGACAACCACATAAGAGCTGAAGTACAGCAAGATGATCAGTAGCAGGAATATCTGAAAAGAAGCCACAACAAGTTAGCTAAGAATAAGCTTTATTTATCGGAGAAGCAATCTTTAAGTTGAAGAGAAACACCTGCATCTTGGGTATTACCCATTTGCTTTGTTTTAATACAGCTACACAGAAATGTGCGTTTTTTAATTAAGTTGAGTTATTTGATTACTTTTTTGCGTCATTTTTGAGGGATTTTATATTCCTCTATTTACTTAGCTGCTTTTACGAAATGAATATTGAAACCAAGGTAAATATAGACGTGTTGGTTTTAATTTTTCTTGCCAAAAATTTAATTCAATACCCCTGTACCCCTGCAACTGATGCTTTGTTATGTTTTATTGTTGGTTTCATAACACATTTCCCCACATTTTCTTGTGTTTAAACAAATGTCAAAAAGTAAACAGAGACACCCACGCATTACTTTTTCCTTTGTTTTATAAATATTTCTGATTCTGTTTGCAACCAACTGTGTGTATATTAGCTACAAACATTTTCAAAAGACTAAATTAGAAAGATCTGTATTAATTTAGCTGCGCTGATAGTTTTATGTGATTCAATGAAGTGTCAAAGTCTGGGAATTCAAGTGCTTCAGGGTCTTATCTCCAAAACTATTGCCACAATGATTTCAACCTTTTGTGTGTAGACGACGACAAGGGTACATATGTTTTCAGTTTCCGGTTGAATGTATTTTTAAAATAAGTTCTATTGAATTAAGAACATGCCTCTTAATAAAACCATTGAAAGTACTTACAACCTGTGAAAATATATCACCATAAACACAAAGCAATCAATGATTAATTATGACCACCAATTGAGCCCATATAGCTACTTTTCGTCTGCGTGCAAAGGTCAAATAGAAATCTTATCAGTGGCCGACGACAAAACCCGAAACATTTGATAGCAACTACACCGATAGCGGTCATTTAAAGCCCAATGAATGTCAGCAACTCAAACACTATATGATTATCCGGCCACTTGATTGTTAAACGAAATCTGAATCTGCATCGGTGATTATCCAAACATTGGACCCACGAACTGTTGGTCATCTATATATTTATGGCCACGAAATAGATGCCAATCATATGGCACACGTCATATCTGCGCTGTTGTGGTTATGTGAAAACCGAAAACAAAACAAAGCACAAATAGATAGTCACACAAAAGTCTAGGCACACAAATAAATCATTAACTAAAGATACTTTTCATGTTCTAGCTGACGAAAAAAAAAAGTAGAGAGAGAAATAAACAATTAATTTATACTCACGTCCCTGCTTTGTTTTGTTATTCTTTGTTTGGTATTCGAGATTTTTTCACTGGTATCTGTGAGGTACTCTTAAGCGTTATACAACGCGAATTTCAATTAACTTTTAACTTCATTCTGCCTGCATTTGATCAGATCAATTAAATCAAATTATCTTTATCTTTCATTTTAAAACTCCAATCTTTTATCTTGCTACTTTAAGTGACCTTATTTAAGCTCTTTATATATCCTTGTCAATATTTAAACAGTTTTCTTTGCCAGTCCGCCAGAAATATTGTTAAATATTTAAAATTAAATATAGAGACGTAAATCGCTCGCTATCAACAGTGTGCGGTGGCGTTGTTTATTTTTAGAATCCCAGTGTAGATCGTGGAAAAATGTATACACTCGAAGTCAAAACTGGAAGGTTATAAGAAAACTATCTGGACATTCCGACATGTTAAAGCTAAAAGAGTTTTTATTGGAAATTTAATGATTGTATGGTGAGGTTTTAATTTGTCATTAAACTCTTATATAAGTACATTTAATTTGACCTGCTTTCTGTCCTTCTGTTATGAAATGCACTGTACTTTATAGACTGTGACGTGTTGAACTTGAAATACGTAGTCGACGAATACCAAGTGATATGAGCATCTTAGTACCTATAGTATATATGTATGTGCATCAGGAATTCTTGAATGACAACAAATTGAAGCCAGCGATCTTCAAGCTTAGTTTAGTGCTTGTAAGCTGGGAAAACGTGCAAGTGCACTGTGCAACAAGCCGCATTTGTCACGCTCCAAACGATTTGGCCAAACTAAACGATCTCTTGCCTCGGAATTAGCCGCACTGAGATATCGTCGTAGGTGAACAGCGGCGAGTCAATGACTTGACATGAACTCGTGGGGGATACAACAACACGCCCATTAAATGTGGACGACGACGACGACTTGGCTAAATATAGCAGCAACGCCCAAAATGCACCAAGAAGCAGGCGAAAACGACGACATAGTGGCCAAAAGGAGGAGGCGGGAGGTTTCCCCGTCGGACGGGTTTTGGCTTGTTTTCTAGACAACTTTGCCGGTGAATGGGCTGCAAAATATTTATATTTTTTCTATACCCAATAGTTGTACGGAACTGGGGTATATTGGATGGTTTAAGCTTAACTTATTGATAAAGTTTAATAGTTCCCCTTTAACATGAACATTTATAAACATAAGTCTACTATTGTCTACTATTTTTGTGTTTCACTTCAAAAGTCTGAATAAGTTTTTAAACCTTCTTAGAATAGAAGCAACTGTCTGAACCGAAGTCAGACACTAGATATGAGTCGCCCCAATTGTTTTAATTACTCGAAGTGAAATGTGTTTTCTAACGAGGGCGTTGGGAAATAGAGGAACTGCATTAACCGGGCTTTTGACTCTGTTTGTCTTGATAAAGACTCTATAGAAAATAACTTAGAACATAAGTCTAGTGTTACATAACCAGTACTCAAGTAATTTTCCCCATTCTGCAATCACAACCTCCCTTAGCTAGTAGTGGTTTTGGTTTTAGATTCCTGAATAATTTATAAGTGCTTTGGCTTGTTTACATTTAAATACATATTATATGGATTCGCATTGGGCGGATCCCACAACGTCACGTACTCGGGCGGTTGACCCACATTCGACGACGAATTATTCAATTTTCGGCACTGCGACGCGATGCAACCAGAACCAACTAACAGAACCGGTTTCCATTTCCTGGACCAGTTCCACAGTTCCACTAAGCCAAACCATCCTATACAGAGTGTTTTTCAATAGAAGAAATGTGTATTTATAGAGGGAAAAGTCACCGGTGGCAAACACAAAGGAAAAAAAAACAACCTATGCAAGCTCAAACAGTTTCAATTGTATTTAACGCCTTGTCTGCCATTGTTTAAACAAAATCCAACAGCTGGTCGCGACAGCAGACACTTTCAAAGTCCCAGACGAAATAGAATCGTGACCACTAGCCGTGCACTTGAAATTTGGTCTACAAATGTAGTCTGGTCTACACTTTACCAAATGTTTTCACAAAAGGAAATTAATGCCTTGCGCAATCTAATGAATATTTCTGTTTTTATATGCTGCACTTTGTTGTTTACATAAATCTCTGGTTTCGGTTATTACACGCCCAAAAAATTTCTATAAATAGTAGCTCAAGTGAAACACTTTCACTTGTTGCTTTTTTTTTCTTTCAACCGTTTAATTTTCGATTTGCCTTGTAAGTTCTGACCGCTGAACTCTTCTTTAGTGTATTTTATGGTAATTGGTATGGATTAAATGAAGTTCATTGTTTAACCTATCGATTTTTTTTACTTCTAGTTTCCCTCTCATTCTTCTAATATCAAATCAATACATTAACTTTAGTAGGAATCAATATAGCATTGGAAGCTCTATGGACCAATTAACTTGAGTGTTTTATTGTTAAAACTGATGTAATGTGATCTGTAGTAGGAGGGCGCAGACTGCACCTGATTCTTACATTATCTTATATCTTTATGTACATTGCACCGATAAGGACTTAGTCACCATTGTTTTAAGAACCTTTGTAGTTAAGTTTTTGTTATTAGATTTATCTTTATAAATATGCCATATAAATATATTTTCGTTTATTAAATTATGATTATCGTAGAAATTATATCTTTTAATGATTAATTAGCTGAATAAAACAATTTTATCAACTGAGTAACCGATAGTTTGTATGCTGTACATGCGATTAAATTTAAATTTAAAACTCACTCCCTCTTTAATTTACTTTAACTATCTATCATTTTTACCAATCTTCGAATCTTCGATTATGTTTTAACTTTCTGATTAACAACAGGTGTCCGTGTGGGTATCTTTTCGTGTGTCTGCGTGATAATTTTCGCAACCCAAATAGAAAGTGCAAGAAGAGAGTGGACGGTCGCTATCGCCTCCACTTCCTCCCCCGATATTTATATACATATACAAAACCCAAACGCAGGCGCTAAAAATGCTGACTAGTGTAGTTCGAAACCGATAAGAAAACCATAAACAAATAAATTTCTTGAGACGTCCAGCTGAACTGTTTTTATTAAATGGCAAAGTGTTTGTAATGTAATTCAAGAACATATTAAGCCAAGCCACATGTACAGTTAGAAGAATAACAAAGGGACAGCTGCGCCCTGATTTGTTGTTGTTTTTGGTTAGGTAGTGGGGTGGAAAGTTAGGTGGAAAGGGGATGAAGATAGAACAAAAATAAGAGCCACTTACAATGTGCTCGCGTACTGTATTGTGGAACAATTGCAGCTTCAGATCCGTGACCTCCTCTTCCTCCTCATCATCCATGCCCACAAAAAAAGTGGACAATTTATCGCTGGTAGCCAGTTTTCCTGTTTTTTTTTTTCAACTAAAGCACGATTCACTTAAAAATTTAACATATATTTTTGACAGTCGCCAGGCAGGGGAATTCCTATGGGAAATTTCCCTCAAAAACTAGAACTCTTGGGGGGCTTATTTCCTAAATTAAAAACTTTGAGGCGCCACACTGCCTGGTTTCGCACGGTAATTGCGATTCAATTAGTTATCTATTTGCTGCCGCATTTCGTTCTGTCGCGATTTGCACTAGCCACTACTTTTCTACAGTTACCCGCCGACTTACGACCGAAACGTTAAAAAATTTCTATAAACTGGCATCAGAGTGACCATCTCATATAGTGGTGGGAAAAAGACGATAAGTCAATAGAAATCGATGTTAAAAGAAATTCCAATAAATATAAAAATATACTTTAAAAAAATACCGGCAAGCGGCAGTCCGGCAACATTGTCCCTACAGCTGTTACTATACAAAAATGTCCAATTTGCGGCGCCAGGTGAAATAACATTAAATCATAAATACAAAATAAATTTATAATATAATTGATCTTGCAGGTGCTTAGTGCTTTTAAGAAGCTCCATCGCACTCGGCAATATGTATTTCAAGGGGACATTAATGCTCTGGTGGCAGGACGAATAAAAATAAACGAGTCTTTTCTGCAAAACCGCAATGAAACCAGTGAGGATGAGATTCAGAAGGTTTGCTCATATTTTGTAGGTCCTATAATATTTCTTAAAAATTGATACTTTACAGATGATTAAACTTGCGCAGGACGTGGATCTGGAGCTGCGCACCAATGTGATCCAAGCTGAGAAAAAGGAGGATGGTGTTTATGGTCAGTGTGGCATGGGCATTATATAAACGTCAGTTGAAAATTTAATTTTTGGAAATATTGTATTCACAGAACTGAGGATTACACCGGAGACTACGCGCCTGGACAATGTAGTCTTCAATCCCGATGCAGTCATAGAAAAACCGCGCAGACGACGGGGCGATAAGAACACGGATGGCTGCTGCGGGGGAGCAGCGATGGCGGCACTGGAATCCGAGATTCAGGCCCAAAACAAATAAAGCCAAAAAATTTTTTAGTTGAATTTTTGTTTTCATCAAAAACTTAAAAACTTTAAATCTTTATTTCCTATGCTTTTTCTTCTTTGATTTGTGACTGCTTTTCGATTTGTTCTTCTGCTTGGACTTCTTGCTTCTTTTACGCTTGCTGCGCTCGTCTGATGATGAGGAACTGCTGGAGCTGTCCTCAGAACTATCTGAAGATATGGAGTCTGAATCACTCTCGGATTCCGACGAACTTATGCTGGAGTCTGAGCTACTGCTAGCTGCATGTTTTGATTTCTTTCTATCTGGTTTTTTGCTCTTTTCCACTGAAAGTTTGCGCTTCCTCTCAGGACTCGACATTTTGTCTAGTCTGTGTTCATTTCGATCTCTTGATTGCCATCTGTAAAAAGATTTCGGTGTAAGAGATGATAAAGAAACATATTTTAAAAGAATTACCTTCGGTTTGGAGAAACTTTTTGGTTTCTAACTGTTTCCCTATACGAACCACCTCCATTTTCTATGCGCCTTCTCTCTTGAGGGGAGCCGATCCGCCTAGCATCATGGCGATCTCTGAATTGAGGTTGCTTCTTTTCTGTTGGATCTCTGGATCTGGAACGTAGTCTTTCAATGTGATCCCTTGGTTGAGACCGTCTTCTCTCGTGCTGGTCTCTTGACCGCGAACGCCTCCTATATGTTTGCTCTCTAGATCTGGAAGGTCTTCGTTCTGCTATATCCCGTGATCTAGAACGTCTTCTTTGTGTCAGATCCGTTGACCTTGAAGTTCGTTTCTCATCCCGTTTTCTATCGTAATCGTTAAGGCGTTTTCGATCTGAGTTTTTCCTGGTTCGTTCAAGGCCGTGATCTCTTGACCTGGAGTGTCGTCGGTCTCTTTGCTCCCTGGATCCTGAGCCCTTTCTCGCAATCTTTTCATCATCTCTTTCCTTCTGATCTTGGTGCCTCTGTTCCCTCGCTGTTCTTCGCTCTGCAGAGCTCATCCTACTTCTGGGATTGTCAGACCTATTGCGATCTCTGCGGTCCTCCGTTCTGCCCCGGCCGTTGTTGGGTTTTTTGCGATCGTTGTTGTCCCGTAAGTTGTCAAAGTCTAGCCTGCCCTCGTCACCAACAACACCTCTTCCTTTTCCGCGCCAGGTGACTTTCGAAACGGACTGTGAGAAGTCCACATGAATGCGACGATCGTCGATAAGAACATTATCCATTTTAAAATACGCGGCCTCACAAGACTTCTGGTCTTCGAACTCTACGAAGGCATACTGCAGGGAGTCACCCGTTTTGCGATCGCGAATAACCTCGCATCCTTTGACTACACCAAAGCGACTAAAAATTATTTCCAGATCATCGTCTGTGGTAACGGGATTGAGTTTGCAGACGAACAGGACGTTTTCTGGTGGGGCCATGTCCGCATCCGGAAGATCCCCGACAATCTCAAGGATTGTGGCTCGTGCCTTGGCCTCTCGTTCAGCTAGCATCTCCTGTAGCTCCTCCATGGTCATGCCATCCGTGTCATCTATGTCCTCGTCAGCAGCTATGCGTCCATTCTGCAGGCGCTCCGCACTTGGTGACGGTGAACGACTGGGAGCCTGAAGGCCGCGGGGATTGGGATATGGATCTTCCAGCACTACAGTATGCGTAATACGTATATCCTGGTATGGGCGAAAGCTATCGTCCACAATTGCGTCGTTAAGCTTTCGCAGCACTTCATGACCCTCCACGACCTCACCAATAACGCAATGGCTCCCATCCAGTGATGAAAGGTTTTCCCCCAGTGTGAAGAAGAACTGGGAGCCCACCAGATTTTTACCTGCACTAACCAAAGACAGCATTCCTGCGCTGGAATGGTGGATCTTGGGAAGATACTCCGCCTCGAAGAATCGCTTCTGCATACCCTCGACCACTCCCCAAACGGAGCAACCACCATCTCCGGCGCCGCTGGGATCGCCGGTTTGAGCGATGAAACCTTGCTGCACTGTGTGAAAAAGATTGAAGTTGTAGTACTTTAGCCGGCACAGTTTCAGAAAGTTCATGCAAGCGATAGGCCGTTCTCTGGTGAACAGGTCGACAGTAATGTCACCTAGCGTGGTTTCTATCACCACCGACATGGCGAGAAATCAGTAATTATTGTAAAAATTAGCGAATAAACAAGACAGTCCGAGCACAAGAAGGCGGTTTTTAGGGATGGCACCAAATAACTTTCTAGAGATGGGGGTATTTCAAAATATACCACGGGTTGCCATTAGGACTTATAAAACTTTTAAAAATAAAACGATTATTCTGTAGCCGTACTCTAAGATATTTTAGATCAGCACAGTGTCCAAAATACAAATTTAATAAAATCTTTTATATTTCCTTACAGAGTATGTGAGTCTGTTAATTTAATTTTATTATGTAAAAGAAGATCAATAAAATGTTTTTTAATTCAATTTACAAAATATTAAATTTTAAAAGTTATGAATACGATATAATCGATTCGGTGTTTGACCGTTGGTTCGATACTTCAAAAACTTAGTAAGCGCCATTTTCGATTGACATATCGATATTTGTGTATGTATCAGTGAATCTTGACAAGGAATTTTCACACGTTTCGAGACGGGAAGAAAAGAGCACTGAAAATTTTTATTCCCGTGTTAAAAAAGCAACCAATTTTTAGTTAAGCAATCGAGAACTTACCCAGTGATTGTTAACAATATATAATGTCAGAAGCCGGAAAGAAAATAGCGGAGTTGCGCGTGTGCGACCTAAAGTCTGAGTTGGAAAAGCGCAAATTAGAGACGGTAGGCCCAAAAGCGGTGCTCATTGAACGTCTCGAACAGGTAAATCTACCTATATATTATCATGCATAAGCAATTATCATGCTTTAAGCAAGCATCAATTCCTCTGGTATATAGAAACAAATATAATTGTGCAATTATTGGCACTGTATATAATAATCACTGTGTGTTTGCATTTTCTAGGCGCTGAAAGACGAGGGGTTAGACCCGGCCGTCCACTTTATCGTGCCAGGCTCGAAAGCCAAGAAACCGTTTGCCATGCCCATGAAAGATCCCCATATAGATGTGCAAATCAAGGAAGAACCGATCGAAGTCGAGGACGAGCAGCACGATACTTATGGGAATGGAGACGATTTCTCCCATCATGCCGACGACGATGGTCATGAAATTGACCAGGTGGGCGATGTGGACGATGAGTGCGTGATTCTTGATGACGACGATGAAGACGATGAGGAGGATCAGGAATACGACGATGAGCACCAAAATGGCGAGGTCGAAGCCGAGGGAGATGCTCAAGATGGTGAGGAGGAGAACAATGGCGATGGTGAGGCCATAAATGACATTCACGGTGAAGAGGAGAACACCGGGGACACCGGAAACTTGGACAACGACGAGTCCATCAACTTAACTATAGGTGAAGATGAGCAGAAGCTACTGCACGACGAGGTAAATTCTATCATCCCCTCTTCAATTTTTGCATTCTAATTCAATTCGTATCGTTTTCAGGCCCCTGACGACAAGTCTATTAAATCTGGTGAGTAAGCTGACAGTACATCTTTAAAACATTAGGGTCTTATATTCAGACGTCTTTGATTACTAACAGCAAATATATTTATATCCGTTGCTCGTTACATTTTAATTCTCGATTACTTCGGTGGAATATAAATTTAAATAAGCTGAAGTCGGTATCTTTATAACATTCATCCAATGCTCTTTAGCTATAAATCCTTACATAGTTTAAATAATTGATAGACTGATATAAACCGTAATGATTTACAGTGAAACCGGCAAACAAATCCGATAAGTCCAACTCAAAGGATGCCGACAATAAGAATGACAAGAAGCGAGATGATAAATCGTCTGACAAAAAGGACTCAAGGTAAACAAAATCTTATTCGTTTTTTGCACCTTCTATATGGATTCTTTTTTTCTTAACATTGCGTCACATGAACATTTCACGAACTATCATGGAAAATAGCGATCAAAAGTCGACTGGAAAATCGTCCAATCAAAAGGATGAAAAAGGTAATTTAAGTTACAATTTTAGCATGGATAAGTTTGGTGTGTTCGAAAGTTCTTGCGTTGGGAATGATCAGACCAAGCATGAACCCAGTAAAGGTCGAAAAACGACGAAAGTTGAGTTAAACCATTGAGGAACATGTATCTAAGACTTAGCAAGAGAGTGTGAATTTGGTTGGGACATGGACATGGGACGTGGACCATCAAGGATTCGGTTTTGCGGCGATGCATCTTTAAAATCCAGCAATAGCAGTTAAACTAACATTGTTTGTTCCAGTTTACTTCAGTGGAAACTTTTGTGGTACTAATTCAGCATGCATCCTGATGTTCCCTACGGAGTTTTCTTAGGCATATATGCAGATACTACACAGAGGGTTAAGAGACCCAATACCCGGACGTCTACATTTAAGTCTCCAAAATAAATGGAAGGATAATTTTCCTTGCAGCTGGAAGTAGCAAACACTTATTATTCTTCGCAGGTAACTCCTGCTGAGGGATAAGTCCACTCGCTCTGATGGATATCTGAAATACATAACAACTAAACTGGAGGACTTCAATCTTTAATGGAGTTAAACGCCGTGGATCCTGGATCTTGACCTGGACCAATCCTCTTATCATTCCCATCTATCCTGGACCCTTCCACCAAAAGCGGACCTGTAGCAGCGGCAAATCTTCATCAGCAACCCAATCAAATTCATACTCTCTTAGCTCCGTTAGGTGACGTTTGTCGGTAAACTTGCGATTGTGCTCTAAACTCCAACATCTGCAGCAGCTACAAAATGTGTGCGTTCACAACATGCTTCCCTTAAAAAAGTATCATAAACAAAAACAGTTAACCAGTTAAGCCCACTCAAAGCTCTGACCATATCTCTCTTCCAATATTATTATTTACATGGAACTTGCAGAGAAATCGACAGCAGCAGCTGGTGCCACATCCTCTACTGCATCGAGTGCCGCTGGCAACAAGTCCGGATCCGGTTCGAGTACTGGCAATGGTACCGGTGCCAATTCGAACAACAAGCAGGCGACGCTGTCGCGAAATCTCTGGGTTTCCGGGCTATCCACTTTAACCCGTGCCAGTGACCTCAAGGCAATCTTCTCCAAATTTGGCAAGGTGATAGGCGCCAAGGTGGTCACCAACACGCGTACTCCGGGCACCCGCTGCTACGGATACGTGACCATGTCTTCTTCAGCGGATGCGTCACGTTGCATCGAGAATCTGCACCGCACCGAGCTGCATGGACGCATCATTTCGGTGGAGCGCACCAAGAACGAGATTGGCGGCAGCATAAACTCTAAGGATGCTAAGGGCAAGATTACGGGCGACGCTGGAAACAAGAAGAAGGACGACGAAGGCAAGAAACCCGGAAGCGGCAAGGGCTCCAGCACCAACGGTGGTGATGACAAGAAGGGCGGCGATGGAAGCGGCGACAATAAGTCCACTGGCGGCGATTCCAAGCGTGATGGCAAGGAGAGCAACAGGGACCGAAACCAGCGGCGCATCGATGACAGGGGCAAGTCGTCTGCTAGCCAGGATAGACCGCGTCACGATCGCGAGCGATCCAGTGGTCAAAAGGGGCCGGGTAATCAGGATCATCGTCAGCGCAATCCGCGCGACGTCGACCGTGAAATCCAGCAGCGCCAGAGAGAGCGAGAGCGCCGCCAGCGGGAGATGTTGTCCTACCAGAAGATACGTGAGGAGCGCGAACGCCAGCGCCTCCGCGAGCGGGAGCGTGAGCTGCGTGAGGAAGAGCGTCGACGTCGGGAGGCGCGTGAGCGGCAGCGCATCGAAGAGGAGCGCCTGCAGGAGGAGCGGCGCAAGCTTGCCATCGAGCGTGAACGGCTCGAGCGGGAGAAGGCCGAGCTTCTACGGATGGAGCGCGAGCGTCAGAAGCTGGAACGAGAAAAAATCGAGCTGGAGCGCCTCGAGCTGAAGCGACAACAGATGAAGTATGCTAAAAAAAAATCAAAACAGGCCGTAATGCGTTGCCCTCGTGCCAACGCAGAGGCAACAACACAGATAAACCAAAATATTTATTTTATTATCTCTTGGAAAGCATTTGTCCTTGTGATTAGTGTGTTAAGTTGCAGCCTCCACGTTGTTTCTTCAACTTAAATTGTTTTAAACGGAACTTTGATAGGCAAATGCATCCTAGTCTAAAGTCTTTGTGTGATACCCCTATCTTCTTCAAACAGCCTTTACTAGCATTACTAACTAAACTTTTTTGTCTCTTCCATCTTTCTTTCTTTCACTCTTGCCGAACAGGATCATGGAGTCTCGCGATGATACTGGCAAGCGCGGGGTAAGCAAGCGCACTGACGACCGCTACGGAGATGTTTCCGATCGCAAGCGTGCTGCTATTTTTGATGCCCCGCCACCACCAAGATTTGACGCGAATCTAGTTAGCTCGCGCAGGTAAGATTTAGTATAAAAATTTCGACTTCCTCTTCCGGTTTTTAAGTATATTTTTATATATGTAAATTATTTTCTATATGTGTTACAGCACCTATGACAAAAAACATGATGACTACGGATCCTCGTCGTCCAACAAGCGTGTGCTGGATGACTACTCCAGCTCCAACAAGCGCATCGATTACTCTAGCAAGCGCAATGACTACAGCTCTTCTTCGGGATCCAAACGTGGTGCTGTCGATGATTACTCTTCTGTGCCCAGCAAACGCTCAAACGATTATAGCGGTTCCTCGTCCAGCAAGCGTGATGATTACAAGCGCGATGTGGAAGTGCGTCACTTGCCACTTTCGGGAACTGTTGGAGGCGGTTCGAGCAGCTCGTACCTGCACAAGAACAACACAAGCGGAGGCACTGGGTCCTACGTACACAAGAACAACACTGCCGGCACAGGAGGACGCTATAACGATTCGGATCGCACAAATACCTCGAGCTATAGACGCGATGACTCCCACAGCCTGTAAATGATACGAAAACAACATTAAACAGCCTGAGAAGTGTTCTAACGTTTATTTTTCTAATAATTATAGGGGCAACAAACGTTATGACAACTCCAGCGGAGGCGGTGGAGGCTATGGTAGCAGCTCAAACAGCGTAAACATTTGGGCTTCGTCATCCGGCGGCGGAAGCTCCCACTTGGGCAGCAGCAGTGGCACAGGCAACCCAATGAAGACATACGGCAACAATGGCATGTCCTCAAATATCCACAGCACCAATTCCTGGCAGAAGTCGGCTCCGGTCGAGGATAACAACTGGCGTCAGATGCCCGGTCGCTTTGATCGCGGCTACAATGATCGTTCGACCGGCTACCAAGGCCAAAGTGGTGGGGGAGGAACTGGCGGAATGTACGGACCCAGCCGTCCCGCCCAGGATCGTTATAGCGGACCGGTGTCGCGCTATTAGAAAGATTGCATTTCACAAGAGGCAATTCAAAACATGATCACCCGCATCCTAATTAAGTTCTCCCTCCTGAATGACCTTTCCCACAGCGTTTAGGAGCGCTGCTTCTATTTTAACTCGGTTTAGTTGTAGTTTTAACACTTTAAAATTACATTTGGTAACTAATAAATACATTACCAAAACATGTGACAAATATGCACATAATCATATATTTTATTTTTGTATGATTTATTTAATCTAAATTTGTGGGTAGTCACCTTCGTAGGAGGATATTAAAGGCGTGGTGGTGTCCACCAACACTAAAACGCTGTGGGCCAAAGGATAAACATCATGCACCTGGACGTAATACCCTCTGTCGCACTGTTCCTTGAAGGAATAGAGACTGCAGAGGATGTTATTATATTCAAACTGCGTCTCAAAAGATTACTTACGCCAATATATCCACTGGTTCCAATATCAATTCTGACTTGTAAACCGAGGCCAGAAAGTTTGTAAACGCCGCCGTGTTGTTACCGAGCTCCAGTTCGGTGTTGGGAGTGCATACCTCCAGACCCAATCCACTGTTGCTCGAGCCAATCCCAGGTAAACCATTGCGAGTGCCCCAAACAGTAATGATATTATCTTCCGAGGCAACAATAGTACACTGATCGCTGCAGTTTGCCTTCTACAGTAGACAAGTTTTAGGAAAATTCTCAACTTGCACAGAGTACTGTTGTACCACACACCACAATATATCGCGCCTTTACAGAATCCACCAGGGTTGGATGATCGACAGAGTTGCAGTGCCTGATCCCACGCTGACCCTCCGCATTTCGACCCATGGTGTAGACATAGCCGCCCTCCACCAGGAACACGGAATGAGTGGACGAAAAGCAGGCTTGAATCACCTTATGAGGGAGTTGGACTTTTTTCTACGAAGAAGGACTGTTAGGTATGGATATATAATTTTTGTTTTTGGTACATACAAAAGCTGTAATCTTCGCTGGACGCTGGAAACCAAGTTTATTGTAGTCATTGCTGCCACAGACATGGATTTCTCCATTGGTAAACAGCACAGCAGAGGTATCGGGTCCACAGTAAATCTTTGACGGTTTGGTTTTCACATGCGAGAGCAAAATCTTTTGGGGAAATTTCCTGTAAGTACATATTAAGAAAATAGAGGCATATATTTTGAAAAGGATATCTATAAATATGTTTATTATTTTATCATTGACCATATCTTTCGTAAAACTCACTGTTGTTGCTGGTAATTGCCAAGTCCTAAAGCACCACAGGTGCTGGTGCCCCATACGTAGACTGCGCCCTCTCGGCTCAAGGCCACGACGTGGTGGAGTCCAGCCGCCACTTGTTCTATGCGCACATCCGCAAGTCGGCCGACTAGCTTAGGGCTGTGGTAATTACGCTGCTCGTCCTGCCCCAAAGCCAAATGGACATTACTGCCGCAGCTAAGCAGACTTCCCGCCTGCGTGACCAGGACGGTAAAGCCATCGCCTGCGCAGGCACCTACAACATGATAGTTCCGCACACTCTCCATCCGACTAGGGTAGTGCTTCCATGCCTCCAGGGCAGTGAGGCCCAGCTGACCGTGAGTACCCTCGCCCCAGGCGTACGCCGATCCATCCTCGTTGACCACTACGAAATGGGAGTCCGACATGGCCACGCTGACAATAACGGCCTTGGGTGGAAGCTGGATGGGCGCCATGCTAAAGCAGGTGCCGAAGGCCTTCAGCTGGTACAGCACGGATCTGCAGATGGACTTCTGGATTAGAGCGTCGTACTGGACTAAGCCATTACCGTTTTTCGAGGACCTCGTGTGGTGCCGCCGTTTCCGCACTCATCAGCTGCTTTGTCTCCGTCTGTGCAGTGGGAAGTTCCAGCTCTATTGAAACATTACTGTGTGCAGTAGCGGGATCAGGAGCAGTCAGTTGGTTACCACTGCTGCTTCCTACATCATCTTCATAAGAGTAACTGGAAGGTAAAAAGGTTAATAAGAAATCGGATCTTATTTTTCAGTAATTTTGTTTACCCCTTATTTTTACCAAGGCTACGGAATATTAGTGGAATCCAATACACCAACACCTCGGAGGCTGTTGGTCTCCTGGCAGCCTCCACTTGAAGCAGGTTAGCCATAAGACTACGCAGTCCAGAGGTGTAACCCGAGGGCACAGGTGTGTAGTTTCCCGCCATGATTTTGGTGACCAGTTCGGAGAGGTTGGAGGCAGCGAAGGTCTTCTTCAGGCAACACATCTCTCCCAGAATGCAGCCCAGTGCCCAAATGTCACTCTTGTTGTCGTATTCCTTTCCTTCACACTAAAAAAAAAAGGAAAAGATTAAGATATAGTATAGGATTATATCTGAAAAATCATTACCATCTCCGGACTGAAATAGTAAGGGGTACCCAAAACAGTTTGGGCATGAATCTTTGTGTTCATTATCTTGGAAATGCCAAAATCTCCTATTTTCACAATGCCTCGACGGTTGAGGAAGACGTTAGCTGTCTTTAAATCCCTGAAATCATCATAAAGTTAGGTTATTCTTTAAAAAATAATAAGCTGCACTAAAATTTTTAGCCTTCTCACCGATGCAATATGTTTTCGGAGTGCATATAGTTTATAGCACTGGAGATCTGTTCAAATACGGCTATTATATAACGCTCCGGAAAGTGCAACTTTCCCTGTCTCTCAGCAATGATGTGGGCCAGCGTACCCCCGTCTGCGTATTCCATCTCGATGAGCAGTGTGTTGTCCTTAATGAAGCTTCCAAGGTAGCTGACAATGTTCGGATGATGTAATTTCGAAAAGACATCCACCTCGTTCATAGCCAAATCCCGACCAGGCGGCGTTAGTTCACTAAGGTTTATCTGCTTAAAGACGATCTGATGGCCGTCGGATTTTCGTCTATATAGGATGGCGATGCCAAACGACCCCTGCCCTACCACCCTCACCTTCTCGTAGTTGGCCAATTCCGGCCCTACCACACCCATTGGATCCTCGCGTGGAACACTTAGCTGGAGAAGGTTCTCCTGCCGAGATGAAGGCAACTGAGCCTTGCTGCTGGACATGGCCTCCGCTAAAGATGTACTGGCTGCACCGGTCGTACCGTCCGTAATGGTAAAAACCGTTGGCAAAGCCCTGCTGCGGATGGATTGCTTTCTCGGAGGCGCCGGACCAAAAGGTAACTGCAACGATGTGGTGGTCAGCGTGGTGGCGTCAGTTATCCGACCGTTGAAAATGGGCAGGGAGCTGGCCTTGGCGCGGAACTTCTTCATCTCCTTCGAGCGGGCACAACCTACGTCCTGGTCGCTCAAAATCGAACCGTGTCCTGTCTATTGTATAATTGTCCTTTGGCATGCTCGAATTAAAGTTGTGGTCAATGCGGTTGCTAGGTAAAGTGGGTGACACTGCGACTGGGTGGTTGGTCCTGAGCTTACGTTATCAGTCGGCTTGCTAATTGGACAACCAATCGAGCAGGGGATATCATCATAGGCAATTGGAATTGGAAAAAGAACCAATATTTGCAGGGCCACGGTTCCCCCACAATCGATGATAATCTCACGGATGAAAGTTGTTGTATGAGTTGACCAACTTACATATAGAAGGACAATTATAGGGTAAACATGATTTGTTTTCCCATAAGTCCGCGAAATTTAAAAACAATAATTGGACATTCACATTTCACCAATATAAAAAGTCATTATTTGTTTTCTTATGAGTATAAATGTATTTAGCATTAGATTATAATTATTGGAATCGAGACAATATGCATGTATAATCGACCGTTATGTATTTGCAGGAATATGCTAAAATATTTATGCTATCTTCTCTTGGACTAAATGTACCTTAAAATGCACAATCTGAACGCTTTACATACATAATGTAGAATGCAATGCAGGCAGCCCCTCAACTGGTTTGCATTTAAATGTTGGCCTATTCACGAACTTGGCTACAATGCTACAACGCTCAAATAGCTTTGGACAACTTGTTCAGGTTTTGCGGTTTGCGGTTGCGATCGCATCATATAATCCATCGATGAGTATTTAGCAAGTGCAGCGATTCTCGCCGGAAAGACTGCCGAGACTGAAGGTTCCTAAGCCATTGGAGCCAGGTGATTTCTTGTCTTTGCTCTCGTCGTTGTCGAAGTTGTCACCCTGAAAGATAAAACATTAAATAAAATATGATATTTTTAATTGTTTAGGGCTGGAACATAATTTATAGACATCTCTGAGCAGTAGAGCGTTCCTTATTTGGCATAAAGTTGCCTAATGCCACCCTAGGGGTATATCTATACGAAACTACTTACCCGCCGCTCTCTTTGTTCTCGGATTTTGCGGGCCAGTGACAAAAATGCATCTTCAATATTTATGTTCGATTTGCAAGACACCTCAAAGAAGGGCATATCAAAGTTTTCGGCAATCTGGAAAATAATTTCGTTATAAGTAGTGGTCATTACTAGATCAGTAACTTACCTTTTCACCCCTTTCCTTGTCCACCATGCGTTGGGTGGTGGAGCACTCGCATTTGTTGCCTGCCAGCACCTTGACCACGTCCGGCGAGGCATTCTCCTGGATGTTGCGCAACCAATATGACAGATTGTTGTAGCTCTCCAGGTTGGTCACGTCGTACATGAGAAGAATGCCCATGGCACCTCTATAGTATGCCGTGGTCAGTGTCCGGAATCTCTCCTGGCCTGCCGTGTCCCAAATTTGCAACTTTATAGGCACGCCATCGAGGTTAATCAGTTTTTGCTTGAAGTCTATGCCTGGGGGAAGATAAAATAGGATGATAGTGATGGTGATAGGGATGTTGTACATATATATCAGCTTATAGCTGAGGTTAGAATTTTGGTTTAGTAAAAGCAAGCATCTTTCATAAGTGATTCAAAATGTTCATATGTGAAATGTATAAGACACTACACATAATTAATTTATAGGTATCCATAGAATACATTTGACTCTTATTAATTAACTAGGAAACCAATGAAGGAATTTTTTCTCAATCTGTAAACGTTATGGTTATCTTAAAACTTTTACTTTTGCTAAAACAATGTAGCTGTGGGCCCACTCACCTATGGTGGAGATGTATGTGTCGTAGTATTTCTCATCGCAATATCTGTGCACTATGCAGGTCTTGCCCACATTTGAGTCGCCCAGCACCAGAACCTTATAGGTAGCCACAAAGTCCAGTGCCATGTTGACGGAGCTAGCGGATTTCGTTAGGAATAGTAATATTAACTGCGGAGGTTTTCGGTTACAGATGGGCTGCCGTTGTTGTTATTGGTGGTTGGGTGGTGCAAGTAGTGGTGGTGGTGGTTCGGTATTGGCTCCGAGGGGTTGTAGCGGGTTGCAGCTTGTTTATGTATCCGCTGGCCTGGCTTGTTTGTTGCTGCTCGCAGCTGTTCTACCTCGAATTGCAGCGGCGTCACACGGGTTTGTTGTAAAATTTCACAGTTTCCACAACAAAAACAATACGGAATTTATGCTAATTGACAAGTGGCATCTGGTGTAAGTCGTACGTTTTAACCTTTATTTGATTTTTATTTTAATGTAATATATATAAGTGTTAGGTGTGCATAGTGTGCCACTTCGGAGGCGGAGTCGAATTACGCCGTTCGCGTGAATCAACCTCGAAGCACTGACTGCGAAACAAACCAGCCCGTGGATGCGGAGTGGAGTCAACTAATCAATAGACCTGCGCATGCGCAGCAGCAACATTTGACTGCAGAATAATCGAAATCGAAATTCAAATCGAGGGTGTTCGCGGGCGCTGTCTGGCTTATCAATAGTAATAATATTAGACATAGGTGTACACAATAGATATGAAGTTACATGATCAAAAATATACTTGTTCCTTGCTTAACTTAGTGCGGATGGGTAGGAAGTGGAAGTCGAATCCAGAGCCGCTTACATCACAAAGACCTTTTCGACCTTGGGATTAAAGAACTTGGTATTGGTCACTGGACAAGTTACGGTGCCATCTTCTTTGGTGATGTCCGGCAGAGCCATTTGACCAAAAATCTGGCCATTGGGCAGCATCATCGGTTGATTGTGTTCGTTCAGCGGTAATCCCGTCACGCGGCAGATGAGGCGGCTCTGCACGCAGTGCGAGTATGGCAACTTGAGGGCGATACGGTTGAGATCGTCCTGACAGACAGGGCAGTTGAGGTTTCGGCAGGTCTGGGCATAGCAGTGGGGCGTCTTTAGGGCCGACAAACCTGCCTGCACGGCCGCCGAGAACACAGACGTGCTGGACAACTGGAACAGGCGGTAGTTCTCATGGCGGAAGTCCAATACCAGCTTCTGCCAGCGTTGGGGATCCATATACTTGCGGTAGTGGTCTGCCTGAGCATCGGCCGAATAGGCTAGCAGGGCCATTACATGACAGATTTCGTTGAGCTGCGTCTTTTCATAGGCGGGGAAGTACCGGCGAGAATGCTTCACTGCTTCAAACCGCTGATTCTGACGCACAAGCTCGATGAACTCCTGAACTCGAAGACTGAATTCAATGGTCGAGTTTATTTTGCGCAGCTTAGACTTGTTGTCAATGCACCACAGAACGCATTTCGTGGTGCTGTGGCTAGCAAGGTCGTCCTCAACCTCGCGCGACGTTTGAAAGATGTCCAGGTTGGTCAGGTGGCGCACATCGGATTTGGCAGCGAGTTCTTCAGCTGTTTCATAGTAGCCCATGCGCAGCAGGTGTTCAATAACCAAGCGGTCCAGTCGGATGCGCTTCCACTGGTCCACAGATCCCTGCCATAAGTCGCCAGTCACGCTGTTTGGTGGAGTAATGCCCTTCAGATGATCCAGCTTACGCTTGCAGATCTGTGTGACGCTCAACTCGTCGTTGATGCTCTCCTCAGCCTTGCGCTTGAGCACCTGTAGCTTCTGGGCTACGTTGTCTACCAGCTTGGTAACCTCAGCCAGAATTGGGCCCTCCTCAGCCTCCAAGGCTCTTTCCACCTGACGCGATACATTGGTCACCTGGTCTACCTCACGGTCAATGATCTTCTGCGCCGAGCGAAAGCGCTTGTTTAACATCTCGTATGGCACTTTCAGGGTGGCGTGCTCTAACGCCTTGATCTCCGACATTTTTGCTTTTCGTTTGGCGATGCAAATTGGTTTTATCCTCTTGTTCGAGACGCAATTGCGTTTTCTTCTCTTCCTAGCCTTGCTTTGTTTTGCTTTTGTGGCCAGCGGGTTGCCAGATATCTTTGCAGTCAGCTTATCGAGCGGACGGAGTTGTTCAGCTAGACGATTTTCCCGCTAAATATTTGTTTCTGAATATATATCTATTTCTGAATTTATACAAATATTTATATTATAACGGTTATAAAAAACTTATAGCTTAATAAGGACTCGATTTTAGTTTTCCTAGACCCATGTTTCATAATAATTTTCATAAAATTTTGCTTTATTCTAATGATTTTTTCCGCTAAATTTCAATAGATAAACTGGCAACTCCACCAAAACCAACACCATGTTATCACTAAGCTGTTAAAGTATAACAGCTGATTGACGCCCAGTAAACATAAATAAATATTCTGAAAGTACAAACAATTTAAAAGGGAAAAAGAAACTATTTTTAAGATTTAAGTTTCTCGTAATAATAATACATTTACCTGAATATTTACAGAAGAAAATTTACTAAAGTAAGCTATCTTAACTTATTATTGAAAATAAGTTGATTTTCTAACTATAACTTATCATTTAATCCAGATGGTCAAAGCAAGTAACAAAGGATCAAGCTTAAATGTAACAACTAAAGGGATAAAAGCAACAATTAAAGGCACAAAGGATAACTCCAAACGATATCGCGAGAAAATTAAAAAAGATCCGATCAAGTTTCAGGAATATCGCGTTAGAGAAGCCGAAAGAAGTAGAATATATCGCAAGAAACTCAAGGAAGTTGTCAAAAAGAATAAAAAAGTTTTGAAAACCAAAAGAGAAACTGATCGGGTTAGACAGCAAAGATATAGGGAAAAAAAGAAGGAAGAACTTGCTAGTCAAAAGTCGATGGAGGAAATTTTGAAGAAAATCGAACGGGCACTACCTGCCAAGGTGTCTCAAAAGATTGAAGTCATTAAGCTACTATATAGCAAATATATTGAACCGGAAGACATCGAAACCTAAGATCTCAACATAGTATTAGTTTTTTTTCATATATATATTATAAATATTTTTAGGCTCGACTGTTTAATGTCCCGAGAAAATACATATAAATAAATTTAAAATATTTTTGAAGGCCCAAATTTGAAATAAATTGATATTTACCAGAACCAAAAGTCTTAAAACTAATCATATATGATTCATTTTGGATTTTAACAAATCGGACCACTCTAATATCTTGTAATTAGCATTACGCTCGGTTGGAGCTGGACTGTTGACCTAATGTACTCCGCTATGTAATTAATACGTCTGCTAGAAGGAAAGTAATCACGAGTCCGTGCAAAATTGCATAGAATTAACCTCCTTTTATGGTACATTGACTTTCGCCAACGTTTAACTTGCTCTGATAATTAGTCATAGATTAGGTGGACCCACGTTCAATGCACAAGTGTTAGTGCGAAAATTGAAAATCCATGAAAATATGACTCCCATGCCATAGGCTCGGACTTTGGTAAGTAATTTTTCATTCCCGAGAACGGATGTTACTCATTTCAAGTAAATTCGGGACACGTGCCGCGATAAAACGCGAAAACAAACAAATAAACATTTTGCTGGAACTTATGGTCTAGGTGGAAGGTGGAACTGGTTGGCACAGCATAGTTATTGGGGCTTTTAGATAGAATTTGTTTGGTGTCTTGTGGTTAACTCTAATTGAACATTTATATTCACATTTCACTTGGGCATACATATTTGTTTTTACTGCAATAAAAAATAAATAGATGAAATCAAAATATGAACATTTTTTACTATACGATCTGAACCTCGAAACTATTTAAATTAAATTTATATAATAATTGCCCATTTTATAATTTTTAGCTAATCCTATCCTAGAATGATAAAATTTTTACCAAAAAAGAAGACTTTTTGGTTTCTAAAATTCGGTTTACCTGCCTCAGTAAACTATACCCTTCCAGACAACCTTAGGATTTTCTGACACTCCGGATGAAGACGATCATTAAAAATCCATTGCCTACGTCTCCTTCGCTAAGCGAGAGTGATTGTTGGCAAAAGGTCATTCATTTACATTGAGATTGCCCTAATGACAAACAATTGGAAATTGCATGTCCGACCAGGAAGTCCTAGCGGGACTGGACGAACAAGAAGGACCGGTTCCGTAAAAATTGCATTTTAATAATACAACCAGTGAGAAAGCGATTAAATGCAGGCACTTTTTAATTTGAATTCCAATTACGGAATGTCACCCAAGTCGACTGACTTACACACTACAAAGAAAGAACAAGTTCAGTGCTCTTGAGGGAAGTTAAAAAACTAACTTAGAATTTTTTAGTAAGGTGCATTGAAATTGCCATGGTTTTTGTGTTGTCCAGTTGGTGTCAAGTAGATGCCCATGGAGAGCCCACTTTTGGGAAAGGGGGCTCAGCACTCAATATAATTGCGGGTCAGTTGGGGAGGTGCATTTTTTGGAGAACTAAAAACCAACTAGAATTCGGAGGAAAAGCCGAACGAGAGCCGACGACCATTCTGGTGATGTCATGGATTGCGTGCAACGAAGCCGTCATCAATGGTCGTCTCCCTTTGGGCCTGCGACTTGGGCAATTTTGTTGTAGAGGTTTTCGGCGCTTTTGGGTTACCATAAGAAATGGTCGTAACCCATAATCAGAGCGGTTTCATCGTGTTCCACTGGCGGGGAGCCTATACACCTCCAAGCCCCAAAGCTAGAAGGCATCTCCATCGCCGTCCGGTCCAAATTGCTTCGCTGGCCTGCATTGATTTTTTTCGGTTTCGTAGGAGTACTTCATTCCTGCGTTTTCAGGTTTTATGGTCAACTCTAGAACTTTCACTTTTTGATGTGCGTAAATTTGCATATTTGTCGGACCGCACACAGGGTCTGTGCCCTGGCCGTTCCCTAATTCCTAAACTTTGGATGAATAATGAATAACGTCCGATGATGATGACGCCTCGGATAATGAGTTTTTGCTTTAGCATTTAGATAGGTCACAGAAACCGTCATGTTCTAGTAAAAATTAAATGGATTTTTCTTTATTTTATTTACCACGTAATTTGTAGTTGAATTTATACTAGAAAGCCCATTGCTGTACTCCTGCAATTTCATGCCACTTGTGAGAAGCTACATGTTAGGAAGCTAGTTTAATGGTCTCATAAAAGGGAATTTTATGATCCCTAAGTTCATATGCATTTAGAAAGCTTCGTTTAATACGGTGAGCCATTTGTTGAAGTTATTGGATATGACTAGAAAAATAATTAGGCCTGGGTACTTGCTAATTTATGAGATATTTTATAATATTTTCTTATGTCTTTAACAAGGTGTACTGACATATAGTGAATCAGATTTCATGCAAATAACTTCATAATTTTACTAGTAAGACCAATTTATTTAAACCTTGTGATTAGAAATGGGATATACATATTCTTTCAACTGCTTTTCCGTTAAACTCACTAGTTTTTCTTAAGGTATAATCCTCCTCCTAAGGATTCGCAACCTTTGGCAATGACGTCTTAACTTAACCACGCATGAGTTATTGTAATAAGTTCGTGAGCTTTAGCATTTCGTAGTTATTTTTATGTTTTCAGTAGTCCTGGCCAACATGACATGCGAATCGTTGTGTTCTTGGAGGGGCAGACCTTAGTGACCAAGTCGCAAGACCCCCAAAAGTGTCGCACCATTGCTAAAATCAAGGTGTGCATTAAAAAATGAACTTGAAATAATCGTTATACGCTTTTGGTTTACTTATATACTCGTATTTAGCATGCATTTACCTGCATTTAGTTGGCAATGTGGAGTGTGATAAATTGGGAAAGTCATGGAAAGGTTATTTGGTCAAGACTTTAGCCAAGAAGAGACAAGGCTACAACAAGTAGTGGCTATCGACGCTCTCTCGCCTTGCCACACATGCAACATTTGGCGGCACGATGTGGAGGTCTAAGGACTATGGACTGCTTTGGGGTGGTTCGGTGGTGTGTGCATGTCCAGGAACGCACGAAAACAAACTTGCATGCAGTGTGGAGCTCCATGGATATGTGTGTGAGTGGTCGCAATTAGACGTGGTCATAATATGGAATTAAGTCCCTTAAATTGGCATTCTTTCAAGAGCCTAATGCGGCATGGGGTTTTGAACCCGGAGTTATAATCAGCAGTAATATGATGACCTCTAGGCATGAGTACACCCCAATGAGATTTCGTGAGAAAATTATATATCGCTGAGTTGGCGGCCTAGACGGCCCCTAGAAATTCTACAGTCGCACTAATTAATCATCAGTTAAGACCAAAACATGACGCCCAAATTGTTGAAAGCGAATTAGTTCTTTAATTACAGTGGTCTTTCGGTTTACTTTCTCAAAGAGAAAGTACGACGGCGGCGCCTCCAATTCGTTGCAGTCTCTGATTTGGTAAAAAGATTTCGTGAGTTTTCCATATAATTTTCCTGCTTGTTTTTCCGTTTTTATTTTCCTTGTGGCCAACAACATTTATCAATAATGTCAAGAAATAAATATCCGAAATAAATTTCGTTCTTTGCCGCAATGGAGAATTAAATGGAGTGGCCAGTGGACGGCCGGCTTCTCTGAATAATAATTAAAGGAATTTATTTTTACATATAAATATAAATATTTCCCATTTCGTCTGAGGCGGTGCGGTTGGATTTGCGTAAATGCTGAAAGTACAATGGAATAAATCATTGTCAAGTCGTGAATGATGTTAAAATGGTTTCAGGAAATCTCAAAGAAGTAGCCACTCATGTACAGAGTACAGAGTTTTGGTGGTAAAGGTTTCACAGTTATACTCAAACATTCAGAAAATCGTAAATTTCGCTTTTTAAATTGCAAATAAGAAAGTTAAGCAACTTTTACTATTCTCTCTTAAGATTAGTCAAATCCATTCCATCGTTCTTGAACCTAAACAGAATCGTGTCCTAATTAGTTATATCCACCGATTTTCTTGAATATTTTCTGGAAAGCCTTTACATTTGATGTGCGTGTGGCAAATGAATTCGCTGCGATGCCATGCGTTTAGTTAAGGGAAAATTGTTTATGCTGTCGCAGCGATTAAAACAATCGTTTATAAGGCGATCGAGGCGGCAGATAAGGATTTTTGGGGCTTGACATTTTCCGCAATCGGAAGAGGGCCAAAAATAAACGAAAAGAATAATGGAATTTGTGTAAGCAAATTGGCCAAGTGTTCTCATGTCCAAATTGACCTCAAAGTGTTCCTTTTCGGTGTAAATTATTGACTCGCTTTGAAAAGGGCTAACACCTACCTGGTGTTATGTAGGCGTTACGCTAGACAATGGCAGCAGACATGGCCGAAAGTTTCGCATCCGTTTTCCTGGCTGTTCGATATGCGCCTAAATGGTGATTTGCCAAATTGGGGCTAAGGGGGTGTGGCCTGCAACCTTTTTTGGTGGCCTGCAGTTTGAAATGTTTGCCAGTTGAAAGTTAAAAAGCAACAAGCAACCAGAAAGCCACTCATCTGGGCAATTCAGAAAACGTAATTAGGGCCATGCACCGCCCGAAAAACGTAAGAAAAATAATCATAAACAACGGCCAGAAATGTGAGTGAGAGCGGCTAAGAATAATGGCCAAAATAACTATTTGCCTTTGACTAACCAGTTTTTTGTTGTTTCTGGTGCGTGCTAATGTTACACTTTATTGTTGTGGCTGTTGCCCCAAAAAGTAGGCTATGCAATGGCTCTGCGCCTCTAATGCCTTCGTCATTATAATAGTTCCCACAACCACACACACAAACACCAATTCATAGACGAACACCTAGGACGAGGTCGCCCCTGCCAGCAGCTACAATAAAAGCAAATGCACGAAGGTGAGGCAACTACAAAAATCCATCTTCGTTAACAAAACTCGCTCACGAAACAAAAACAACGAAGCAGTTACAAGTGCGTTGGAGCTTACTTACCATATACACTATATATATATATATATATAAGTACGGCCCACAACTATTCCCATACCACATATAACGAAATCTGCCCGGAGATTCCATTCCATCCACCTCCTTCGCAGCGGAACATTAATGTAGTGGAATACCCTTCACTGACTCCGGGGATCTCTTAATTATGCATGCAGGTGTCTGTCCTCCTGGAATCGCATTTTATGGATGCCCTGATATCTGTTAAATTACTTAAGCTCACCTGGATAGTGAAAGTGCAAGTAGACAGGAAATGTTGATTGGATTTTACAATGCCTTATTATTAGCGAAAATAAATAGGTGTTTTGTTTAGCCAATTTTTGTTTTGCGTCAAAGATTTGATTACATTTTGAATATTCATTTAACCTGTTTCTCTTTTTCTTTTTCATTTAACCTGTTTCTATTAACAGCTTAATTTTTTGCAAGATTTATTAGCCAAGTCAGGTCGACCACAACAACAAGTTAAAAAAATTACAGACATTCTTTTAACACTTTCCTTCCATAACAAACCATCATGTTTGGTAATAGAATTTACCTTTCAGACTTGTATCAAAATATATATTAATAAAATAAACTGGTTCACTTATTCTTTTACTAAAGAGTATCTAGAAATCGTCTTCGATTTACCTCCAATCTGAGAAAGGGGTTCGCTTCTTTGACGAGCAGGTAAGCGGGTTTTTTGGCGGTAGTGGGTGATTGGGGTGGTGGATGAGGGGCAGATGGATAGTGGGGGCCAGGAGGCAGGTGGGAGCTAGCAAGTGACGCCGATGTGCGCGAGCGCCAAGTAGCCAGCAAGTCAGCGAGTCAGCAGCGACGTCGAACTAACTTAAGGTCCGTGTGCGCCGAGAATTCTTCACTTGCATTTCAAACGCGCAGGCGACTGGTTGGAGCTTTACACCTGGTGGCCAAGACTCAATCGAGAAGTTGAAGTTGAAGTACCGAGTATCCGATTTACCCAAAAGTATAGGAGATTTTTTGGAGTGACGCCTCTCGTGCGGTTTTGTTTTGCTTTGGACTTTCCACCACAACGGAAACAATTTCGGTGTGAAAATTTGCATAAAATTACCTACGCGAAACCGTCAAAGAAAACCGAAAACGTTAAGGAAAACGATTTAAAGCCTTTTGGTTTGGGCAGTTTTTCAAGCTTGCAAAGTGCGTGTGAAACTGGTCGCGGTCCTGTGGATTTACATAACACCCGAAAGGACCGTCTTCGGTGCTTAGTGGCTCAATATCAATCTAAGGCTTTGTTTCGATCCGAAATTCGATAAATCTCGACTCCAGAATGCAGCCCCTCAAGCGCTTCACACAATGCGGCAGCCTGACCATGCTCTTTGGCATCTTTATCATCCTGTTCGGGGTCAGTTCCACGGCACTGACCACTTTTGGCAAGACCAACAACCAACCGCCGCCCACACACGTCCCCATTGGTAAGAGCACCTCGGGGGGTTGGTAATAAAAACCTTAATCAAAGTCGCTGGCAAGGTCAAGTTGAGTTTCTTGTAGAGATTGGGAATGAAATATAGTTTCAGTCCGTCCGAGTAGTTAATGTAGCTTATATTATATCACGATTCTTGACTTCGAACCATTTCCTTAAATTGAGGAATGAAAAAAATAAAAGCATACAAAGCATGGGAACAAGAAATGTGTTTCTTAAAAAGTGTTTTGTTTCTAATTTTTAATAGTTTTTTAACAATTCTTCGCATAAGATGTTGATTTATTAAAACATAAATATTCTAAAAGGTCTAAAGGAGGTCTTAACAATCCGTCGGTTCTGAGTTGTCTTGGAAGAAAACGTCTTTGAACTTTGGATTAACTTTTTAAAAATTCTTAGGACAAAGTTCAAATTGGTGGGTTGCTACAGATTTCTATGACTTTTCTGATAAAGACACAGTAAACCTCTTCCATTGACTTTGAATAATAGCCAATTAATCGCTTATTAAGACACCCTAATAGTTGGCCATACAAATGGAATACAAATAAAGTTTGTCTGATCCAATCATTTGTCATTCGATTGGCTTTGTAGTCAGCCATAAATAAATGGAATAATAATGATGGCAAAGAGCCAGCGATTGAATGACACGACACAGAGCACAGAGACCCTAGCACAGAGCACAAAGCAGTACTAACACACAAATCGAGAATTGATCAAACAAGTCACTCAAGTGCAATGACAACCCACGCTCCCCAAATCGCTGACATTAGGAGTGTGGGTGGAGTGGGGAGTCGGAGGAGTTGTAATGGGCCTGTGATTGGAGTTGGCAAACAAGATGGATATAGATAGATATAGATAGAAGCCGACAAAGCGATGATTGGTGTTAGTAGGGGACCAGGGCAATAATCACACAATTAGTGGGCAATTAGCTGAGTAAACTAACAACTAATTTCCCTCCTATTGACTTGATTTATTTGCTTATTTCTGTTTGTAGTAAAAGGACGAGAGTGCACTGCCCACGATGATTGCACGGCGATAGATCGGACCAGCTGCGTCAAGGATCCAAATGACTACAAGTTGCGTTGCCTCTGTGGTGATGACTCCCCTCCTTCGGGTAGTAACTGTCCGGATGTCCTTAAAGGTAATAATTAGTAAAATAGCACGTTCGATATATTATTTGTAGAGAAAGAAACTATTTAACTATAATAACTATTATTTTGGTCGTGAATTTAATTAGAAAGAAAGTTTCTATTCTCATAAATCAGGATTAGCCTCTGTTAGCTTACAGCTTTCTTACAATCCTTTAGCTAGATCCTAGAAATAGAACAGCCAACAAAAACGTCAACTAATTGCTAAGACATGCACATTACATTTATTATTTAAGAGGCAGCAGCTGCCTTCTTGGAGGCCTCCTCTGTGATGTGCCTCGAGTGGCATACAGAAGAAGGTGATGTGTCCAAGGCGCCACCTAAATGAGAATTAAACAAAGCATCCTGCTAGATGGATACCCCACTACCACTCTCCTTTGCTATTTGCCTGCTTATTTATTTAGTTTTCGTGCGCAATTCACACTTGCTTCCAGGATCCTTGGGATCCTTGTGCCCACCATTGTTGGCCCTCCTCCTTTAGTCCTTCTCTTACAACATGCAGGACATTCTTCTTTAGCTGGGTCAAAAAAGGACCGAAAGGCAATTGCGATGGCGGAGCAACTCGCTTTATGGCAGCGGCGCAATGTCGATGTCGGATTTATGTTAGGATGTCGTGACTGCCACTGGGAAGCCCAAACGAGGGCCCCAAATGAGAAGCAAATGGTAATGGGAATCGCCGCAGTGCCAATTTGTGACATGCACAGCCCAAAAGAAATGCCGTACTCGGATTCCAGCCATGCATATATCCTGAGATTGGCATTGGAAATTATTCTCCATGTGGCAGATCCACTTTTTGGAGGGAAAAATAAGCTTACTTTGTAGTATGTTGATTTTCAAAGTGTTCATAAGGCTATTATTAATACAAATTGTGGTTATTAGAGGGGAAATTCTTTGAAACTAAGAACTTCTTAAGGCTTTGTTTAGAATCATGCGAAACACATTTTTCTAATCACTAGACTCAAGTGGCTAGAGGAATAGAATGTTTATAAAACGTTTAGATTTTGTAAATGATTTTTAAACATATTTAGTTTGGAGATTTCTAGATTATGATATTCAGACTACTAAATCAAGTCTTCCATCCCATTAAAATATAAAATTGGTTGTTTACTTAACTTTCTATAATCTTCGGTGATTTTGCATTACTGCAGGCCTGCGACACAAGTGCAACAGCAACAACGACTGCGAGGATGGAATGGTCTGCCAGTATGAGAACAGCAACCGGACCATCGGAGTGGCCAAGTTCATGTCCAGCAAGACCAAGCTGTGCCTGTGCGACAACGATAACGGATATGTGGAGGACATCCTGCACGACATCTGCAGTGGCGGTAAAGATTATTATGATTTTAATTAATGTTATGACATTTGAAGTTTGTTTTTCTATTAAAAAGAGAATATTTTAAATTGATTGACAACATTTCGTTCAAATTTTCTTTTACTTCCTACCATCTTATCACCTTTGATACCATTTTAATAGAAGAAACCCAAGTCTAAAGAGTTTTATTTCATTTTACAGCCAATTTCCAAGTCCTGGTTAGCTTCTTGGCCTCGATATGTTCGCTTCTGGCGCCCTTTTTGGTATCCGCTCACATGCGAAAGCATTTCTAGAAGGCGACCGGAGGAGCTGGAAGTCGTAGTTTGGCCTATATCTCCCCTAGTGATCCATCAAATGTGCCTCAGTGAAACCAACAGAAACAAAAACTCATCGTACCCTCTCCCCCTCTCATATAAAATATAAAAAACGAAACAAAAAATGTAATATTCAAAATGAAAAAAATAAGGAAAAGCAAAGAAAGGAAGAATTATGAAAGTTAGATACTCGTCGCCATTAGCCCAAAGGTCGTTCTATTGTATAAGTTTCATATGTACCACCGTCAAATTTATTCGCTTCTCACGAAAAGTTGCGTTATATACAATATAAATAATTATATTATCTGATAAATGTTTTCTATAGATCCCCTATCGACTTTAGTCAATACTCCTTCTTACACTCGTCAACCCAGAAGTAACTTTAGAAACAAATGTTTGGCACCATTTTATTGTAATTTTATAAGTGTGTACGTGTGTCCAATAGTAACCAAAAAATAAAATTATAAAATATAAAATATAAAATATCTAAGGTTAGGCAACTTTTCAGCAGCACTGTGAATTCAGATCGCTTACATCGCAATTACAAATGTGAAACATTTTAATTTTTGTATGTATTCCAGATAAATAGCTTTACGAGCTCACAGCCCACAATCAAGTCAAGAAAACAAAATAATAATTAATAATAATAATTGATTACAAGAAAGAATATTCATATGTGAAATAATAAATGAGGCTGCTGCAACCTCTTGACCTCTTGTCTCGACTTCATCTCAAAGTTGCAGGGCCTGTTAAGAACTTCTCCCATTACAAACCGTTTTCTTCGTAGCTGTTATCTATACTATTTAATAAAAACCTAATAAAAACCCAAAAAAACTCGTGCCTATTATGTATTAATGAATAAAAAATATAACTTGGTTACAGCTCGATAGTTTTCATCACCCATCCAAATTGTCTCAATCATGTATCTTCCTTCTGGGAAGGGCAGGGTTTTTGGGAGACGGGTATTAACAATATCAGGGCTTAGCTTATCCACTATAAAATCATGCTAAATGGGGTTATAGAAAGGTAATCATATATATCTTAAAACCAATTAGTATCTTACATTATAAGGACAGGAGTGATTAAAGTTGCTGACATCCTTGAGAAGATCATTAAAGTATTTGGCAATGGGATTTGCCTTCTGGTTCTTCAGAAATTTGCAATAATCCACAGTTATATTATACAAAAAGGGCCTACATCCATTGATGAGTTGATAAAGACCTAAGTTAACCTGAAATACTGTTATTATAATCAAATAAATTGGGTAAGTATATGCCACCTTATACACCTTCACGCTTCTCACTGGTAACTTAAACACTTTTAACTTAGCGGAGACATAGCTGGAAGTTCGATTATTTTTATTCAGAATGCAGTACTCAAAGATAGCCAAATCCTTGGTTGATGATATGCACTTGAGTTTTGTAAATTCAATCCGTGAACAAATCTGTAATAAATCTGTAATTTTAAGTAAGATTTCTCACATATTTTTGGAACTGACCTTCTGGTTTAACACAGAAAATATTAACAGAAAACAAAACCAAAAATATTTTCCTAAATACATTTTAAACAATGAAAAATCGAAGTGAAACTGTTGGGAAACTTCACAGTTTTTGTAATTTTCCGGTTATTTATTTCGGCCAATTTTGGTAAATGTTACTTCTGTACTTATATATTTTTTGTTTATTTTCCAATTAAGTGATCAAGATTATTAAAGATTATTAAAAAACCAAAACCATTTGTGAATATAGGCAGCAATTAACTCAAGAGAATAATATACAGCTTGGTTCCCACTCGGATATTCTCATTGGCAATCCAATTCGTCTCGAACATATATCTTCCATCTGGAAAGGGGAGAGTTTTTGGAAGTTGGTCATTAACCATCTCATTGGAAAACTTCTCCACCATAAAATCATGCTGCAAGGTGATACAAAGGTAGTGGAATTGGCTCTAAGGACTCGCTTAAGCTCTTACATTATAAGGACATGAATGATTTAAGTTGCTGATGCTCTTAATAAGTCCATAAAAGTATTTGGCCACCGGATTGGACTTCTGGTTCTTCACAAATTTGCAAGCATCTAGGGTTACATTATACAGGAATGGTCGATATCCATTGTTGAGTTGGTGCATTCCAAATTGAACCTAAAACATTGTCATTAATAATAAAACATTAAGGCCATGTTAGCTTCTGGCACACCTTTATGCTCTTAACTGGATACCTGGAGACCTTTAACTTTGCTGATAAATACTTAGAGGTTTGATTAACTGACGTCAAGATGCAGTATTCAAAATCGGCCTTATCCTTATCCAGAGAGGTGCACTTAAAGTTCGTAAACTCAATTCGGGGACAGATCTATAATTTTACATTAAATTTTAAAGATAATAGTTTAGACTTCTTTAATGACTGACCTGATTTATAACAGATAAAATTAAAAGAAATCCAAAAAATTTCTCTGAACACATTTTAGTTCATGGAAATCCTGATTGAAACTAAAAGAACATTTTGCAATATTAGCCAACACCTTTAATTGTTATATTTTAGTCTATATCCGCGAATAAAAAGTTGTTTCTATTTTATTTTAAAAATAATTATAATTATGGTTTCTCTGCAATTAAGATAATCACTGCGTTTAGTTTAATTCCATGGACAGAATTTATTTTTAATAGCAAATTCAGACGATTAACTATATCCAGTAGACTAGAACACAAATATATATATATATGTAGAACAACCATTATAGCCAAAAGAAGTTAAATGACGCAACACCCTATTTGTATTTTTCATTTAAGTAAAAAAAATTACTACTTAAAAGAAAAGGCACACAAAGCTATTCCCGGACCATCACATTTATTTAACAAACCAACATTGAAATGATTATTCAGTTTATATATATTAAGATATCCATGTTCGTGAAAGAGTCAAGAATATCTGCAAGACCACGCGGGTTACGCCATAAGCAATCCACTGCATCTCCACCATGTAGTCACCTTCGGGAAAGGGTAAAACTTTCGTTAATCGATGATTCACAGTCATCGTGGAAAGCTTATCCATAATAAGATCGTGCTATAAAATATGATTACATATAAAAGAATTTCGAGGATTATATAAAATAGTTTTACATACATTGAAGGGACAGGAATGATTCATGTTAGTGATATCCTTGATAAAGTCAAAGTAATAGGAAAGGATGGGATTTATCTTTCTGTTCTTCATAAACTTGCAGCCATCAACTGTTACATTATAAAGAAAAGGGTGATAGCCGGTGAGTCGCTTGAAGACACCTAAGTTAAACTAAAATTCAAGCATTTAAAATTAGTATAAGCTTAATAATAATATATGAAACTACATACTGTCACTTTGGTAACTGGAATCTTTAAAAGTTTAATCTTGGTCCAGATGTATTTATAGGATCGATTAACAGCCTTCAGAGCGCATTCTACATCGGCGTATGACTTATCGAAAGTCTTGCACTTGAAGTTGGTAAACTCAACTCGACTGGAGATCTTTAAATATCCATGTTTTTGCAAAGCTAATAAAAAGATTTTTAGATCTTCATACTGACCAGTTTTAATATGGATAACATCACCACTACACGAATTAAAACAGCGCACATCATACTACTCTGTCGAAAACAAACGGGAACTGAGGGCTATTGGTTCACGGTATTTAAAATATATCTATTTATTATATATTAAATGGACTGACAACCACTTTTATATTAATATTACGCAGCCAATATATTTTTATAATAAGCCAACATTTTTACCAACATTGTTACTTAGGGGATGTGTGTTTAGGAATCCGTGTCTATGAAAGACTGAAATATATCTAAATGATCACGAGAGTTATATCATAAGCCTTCCAGTGCATCTCCACCATGCAGTCACCTTCAGGGAAAGGATAGAATGTTCGTCATTCCTGTGATTCATAGACAGCGTGGAAAGCTTATCCACAACAAGATCGTGCTAAAAAGATAATACAAATAAAAGTAGTTGAAGGAGTATATAAAATAGATTTACTTACATCGTAGGGACAGGTATGATTGACGTTAGTGATGTCCTTGATAAAGTCAAAGAAATAGGAAACGACGGGATTGATCTTTTGGTGTTTCATAAACTTACAGCCATAAATAGTTAAATTATAAAGAAAAGGTCTTTAACCGCTGATAAAATTCAAACATTTGAAATTAGTATAAGCTTAACAGTAATTGGTGAAACTACATACCGTTACTTTGGTAATAGGTACCTTATAAAGTTTAAACTTTCCGAGATGTATTTATAGGATTGATTAAGAACCTTGAGAGTGCAATATTCTACATCGGCGAATGGCTTATCCAAAGCATTGCACTTGAAGTTGGTAAACTCAACTCGAGTGGAAATCTTTAAATATTTTCTTTGTTTAATTTGTACAAATTTTTTCCGATCGCCATACTTACCAGTTTTAATATGGATAAAATCAGCACTAGACCAATTAGAAGAGCGCACATCATACTGTTTTGTCAAAAACAAACGAGAACTGAGGGCTATTGGTTCTTGGGTTCATGATATATTATCTAAAATATAGCCATTATTTCTATATATTGGTAAAGGTTTTTCAATTTATATCGATTGACAATTAGTAATTTTAAAAATATGTTAATAATGAGTTAAAACAAATCGTTTGAGTTAATAATGACTTAGTTCATATTTCGTGATAATGAACTTATTTTACAGTGGCCTAACGTATGGTTTCTTCCACTAGAAATTCTACAGAAAAAAGGAAATCATATTTTATTTTATTATTATTTAATGTTGGTTCTTATTACCAATTATTATTTTACATTGGTACTGAGAAAAGACTTCAGAAAATTACTTTTTACATTACTGTTCAGTGACCTACAAATAAGTAATACCGGATGTGATATCTATATCAACTACAAAGGATAAATTTCTCGCCGCATTTCATCTACTAACTATAAATTCCATTTAGATGCATTTGAAACTCGACCAAACTATCAGTTAGTTATTCAACCTTAATCGATTAAATGCACGACATTGATTACGAATAGATTGGTGTAGATTTAATGCAGCACAAAAGTTATCAATATGTTAACAAGTTGGGTGTATTTTGTAATGCTAACACCTTTCGCTGGCCCCCATTCGGCGGTGATTGCTTTCAGTCCCAAGAGAGAGAGAAAAAGACAAGCGGAGAAAGAGAGCGCAGAGAAATGGGGAAACGGTGCGAAAGCTCAGCGAACCCAAGCTCCAAAGCTTCACTCTCGGATCACAAAAACAAACAGCGCCACGCTTCCAAAACACAATTACTCGATCGCTTTCCGAGAGGTGACAACTTTCGAGGGCTTTCAAAAAACAAACCCGTCGACAAACGGTTTCGATCAAAAAGTATCTTAAGCAAACTGAAACAGCAGTTACTTTTATTTACCTAACCGATTCGGCTGTGCGATCCGCAAGATATTATCTTGGAAAATCCAATAAATTCAAAAATCGCGCGTGTGCTAATAAATTTGTGCTTGATTTTTATGGGCTGCATTTCGGCTGTGATTTGCATATAAAAACCTTTGGCATTCGCCAAAAAAAACTCTGAAACTAGTGCCATATTTTAATATTCACTGAATCGAAAATCAAACTATCTTTTATTAGAATGCACAAAACAATGAAGAACTGAAATTTGAGGTGTGCGACGCGCGCCAAAGTCAAAATCAAAATCAAAGCCAAAGCCAAAAAAAAAAACACATTTCCGGTGGCCACAAATCGTTTGAGCCAAATTCAATAGAGAATAGAGAAAAACGCCAGCCAGTGGCATTCCAATTGTAATTGGGCTATCTACGCCCCCTCCAAACCAACGACGGCAGAGGTAAGCCCAAACACATTTTTCTCCCCTGACATCAGAATGTGACACAGAGTTATACAGACACTGACATATAGTGGGATATATATATAGGGCAAGCAAAAAGATTTGGCAGTGAAAACTTAAATTGCGAAAGCTGTAAATCGTTTTGAGGCTTTTAGCATCTCTTTATCTTTTTTGGCCATCGCATTGACGCAATTTAAACGGTCGATTAACATTTAACACTCAGCGATTACTAATTTGTTTATGACTCCCTCACAGCCAACGCCACATGCTAATTGGCTTTGTGGGGTGGCCAAAAAAGAGTTGCTAATTTTATGATATCCTCAATGAAGTGTCAATTAAAACGAATTATTGGGAATTATTATTGATGTCAGCACATCTGCAAAAATAGCTTAGATCTTACCTGCCAAAAGGGAACAGTTTAGCTGTTAAAAGTGCATTCCAGAGATTGCAGTTATTTAAAGGCCAAGACATGCGAATGCGGCAGTGAAAATTCATCAATAGATTACGTGACTTAAACGTAAAAACGTGTTTAGGGCGGAGGTTCCCTAAATTAGACTCTTAACTAGTCTAAACTTGCAGTTTGTCTTTGGTATAAGGTGGGTGTTTAAGTACATTTCACTCTATATAAATCATTTTAGTTCTTGATTAATTCTGATTTATTTCTACATATTCTAAATTCCTCTCTATGCTAAAATTATCATAGATTGCAGTTTGAACTGGTTAAGTTCGGATATGATTAAATCCGACATGAGCGTCACATGCATATCTTAAACAAAAGATATAGAAAACTGAATGAAGTTAAAAATATACAGATGGATAGATAAGATTCCTCACAGATTCCGGTTGTGGTTTTCTTTGATGCGTAATCGTGGGGGAAACGCGTTTTGCATAAAAATCGCCAACTTATCAAAAAGCAGCGCACCATCAAATTATAAACAATCGAGTCATAAATATTCAAAACAAACAAAAGCCGGTAGCGAGTTCTACGCCTGGGACCATTAAACCTGAAAAGCGAATGGATAGTCCAAGTCTGATCGTCGTCTAATATAGATTATGAAACCCGTTCGCCAGAACTATAAATTTAATTTGGCTAACCAAGCGATTAATCACTCACTTAATCAAATAAAAATGAACAAGGAAATCGTAATTGTGATGCTTTTGCAAGAGTATTTCAGTGACTTCAGCTGAATTCGTTTGTTTAAGTTTTAGTGTGTCGAATAAGGCATCTTGCAAATGAACAATCCAACAGACTTACTGCAAATAGAGTTCTGAGTATTTAACAGTCTATTTTTGGACAGATCCATATCGCAGGCCTTCGACATTGACTTGAACAATAGACTCTTTTCACGAAAAGAAATTTAATAGCTTGAGTATACAATATGAGCTTATTTTTAGGTAGTTAACCATTGAAAGATGGCCAAAAAGAATTAACATCTTGCTACAAATTGGGATATTTTTAAGATCAACCTATTTGTTTTAGATCTTTAATTTTTTTGTTGAACTAAATGTTTACTGTTTTCTAGATGCATGATCACGTTTTGCTGTTCAAAGTAATATTTATAGGCCTTAAATAAACTTGGTTTACTTGGGCAAAACAAGCTAAAAGTAACTTAAATAATGTAACCTAAGGACTAGATTGCAATCTAACTCAAAACAACATGTTGTATACGTGATTTTCTTATTATTACTAACAAATGTGCAAAATCTAACCACATACCGAGTTAAATCCAGCTTTTGGGTGTAATTGAGTTACGAATAGAGCCAGAAACAGTCCAAGCCCAAAAACCAAAACAAACCAAAGGCATTTCATTGAAATGGGCGACAGTTTGTTGTTCAAATTCGATGTGATTGTACGGCGATCGACCACGCCCATTGCGCTGTACGCTGTTACGCCCTTTGTGGGGATTTGGAAGTCATGCGAAATGTATTTTGCAATTGGCCCTGTAATTTGAGTCGACGAATAAAAAACAAATCACTGGCAAAATAAAAAGGGAATAACAAAAACGAAAACGAAAACGAAAACATCAAATGTAATTGAACATTTGTGCTTCCTGTTTGTATAATGGGCTTGTTAACTTATTAACTGAAAGTTAACAAAATTTAGACAAATCTAATATGAATTGGGATCTCTAATAAACCAAAAGCAAAGCCACAACACTTGGGAAACGCATTTCTGATGGCAAAGGTCACACACCTGTTTGGGGCGCAAAGTTCGTGCACGTGTCAATGGGGCACAATATGTGCTTTTTTGCTTTAAGTGCGTATGAGCAAACTTTAATTAAATACAATTATTTTGTTGAGGAAGTTTTAATTTGAAATGCAATTAGCACAAATCTCACAGCCAGTTGACTTACACGCCCACAATTCGCTTACTTTCTAAATGTGTTCGTGTTTGCTTAAATAGTTTAAAAATAAACCCTGAGAAAAAGGGGAATGCCTCTTGGGGGAGTGCGTATATATGGAAGACTTTTATTATGCCAAGCGCCAGCCCGTTTGACATCATCCAAAATTAACTGAAATTTCAGCAGCTGGAGAATCCCCCAAGATCACAGTCTTCCACTCTTCCACGCCTCCAGCAGCAAGATCAGCTCATTGAGATCCAAATAACAAACCAGTTACCGGCGTCTTGACGTAGCTAAAAACAAAAAAAATTATACTATTTTGCCACCTGAATGATAGTATTCAAGTCATTGGACTGCGTTTAGGAAACGAAATGCACAACAAAAAAAGCCACAAAAAAAGCCCCAAACATAAAGTGGTTTGAAAACGTGTAAGGGAGTTGTTTCTGATACGTTAAGACTTGAAAAATACTCAGTAAAAATCTGAATTCTCATTAACACATATCTTACTAGTTTACTTCAAAACTACATTGCCGTAAAGCTAACTCTGTGATTGTTAAATGAAAAATAGAAAACACACAAAAAGTTAAGTCATTCAATATAAGATATTTGTATCTTATAAAGTTTTTATTTAGTAAACAACTAATAAACCCTCTAAAATAGTTGATATCAAAAACATAACCGCTTGCTTCTCCGTCTCTGAACTTGGCCGGGCCATAAAGACAGTGATATTTATGGCCTTTTATCACCATACAGCCCGTTTCAATTAATTTAAATAATTCCATTTGTCACAGCATCAGCTGTCTAGGAAGCTTTTTGGCATATTTGCTTGAATTTCGATGTTCATCTTGAATTTCAAGTGCAATGCCTAGAAAAAACAAATGCCGTAAATTAGATATTTTATAACTATAACGTTTAAGGTCTTTCAAACAGCATGTTTTAGAAAGTTTCAAGCTTAAACAAATTTTGAATGCATTTCATAATGATGATATTTCGAAAAGTTAACAAGCCAAATCATATGTCTCCGATTTCCATAGAAACACAATTCGGCCCCAAGCTGTCACTAAGCCTTGCATTTAAATATTTATTTACCCATGACATTTTTTGGTATTTGCTTTTGTTTTGCCAGCAAAGGGTCTGTGCTTATAAAGTGTCAAGTTCATCTAGAAATATTCAGAATACATGCTGCCAACTATTTGTGGAATGAGGATCAGATTTAAGTAAACAAAAATAAAAGGTAACTTTTTCTGACAAATTTATTTCCTTAAATGCCAAGCAAATTTAAATTGATTAAACAAAATGCTTGTTATATCTGGAAAATTAATACGCATCAGCGCATTAAAAATAAATCAATTAGCAGAGTCACGTACTTATTGATATCGACAATACTTCATTAATTTAACTTAAATATATATTTATCTTAATTGCATTCAAGAGTATGATCTGATTGAGAAGAGGATAAGAGCCAAATCGAAAAACAGGCAAAACTACTCCATTTGGGATTATCATGGTTATGGGTTTCTGAGTGCATGACCAAAATGCAAGACGCATTTAGAGAGTGACATTGTCTGCAGCGGTCTGAGTGGTCCGGTCAAATCTGGTTTCGGTCAGATCTCTCAACACCTGACGAGGTCTGATGGTAACCCCCGTCGACTAGAAACGGCTGGCAAAGACAAAAGAAACAGTATATCTACCTGCCTTTCTGATTGCATCAATGGAAATTTTCTCCCTAAAAAAAAGTCCCGAATATTAATGTACTGAGTCGGGGCCGAAAATCTGGGTAACTTTCCATTCCATTGGCTCGAAAATATCTGAGAGATACATATATAATAAGCAACATTTCACGTGTTGACCGAATGTTCCCCTAAAAATGCCGAGCCAAGCAAATAATTACGGACTAATACGAAAAGAATTTACAACTTCCTTCTTTCTTTTTTTTTTTGTTTTTGCTGTCCAACGAGCAAGTAAGGCGAGAAAAACAAAACAAAATCCGAAATTGGAAACCCAGGCAGTAAGTGCGGCTCGAAAGAGAAAAACGAATCACGCTTTGGGAACCTCCGTAATTTTTTCTTCTAGAGTTTTTCCCCATTTTTCCCCCTTGGTCGGATTATCAGTTACACAGGTGAACCCACAGCTGGGCTGGGCATAATGTCGATCATCCCGATTCCCAAAAAAAAAAAAAAAAACAAAAACCGACCCGAAACTGAGACCCGACTCGAAAATAGTTAACAAAATAACGACGAAGATGACGACGAGAACAATAACACGGCGAGACGGCAGCGACAAAAAAGTTTTGATTTTTATAAAAGACAAGGTTCGCATCAAGTACAAAACAGTTTCGTTCGAAACGCTGCCGTGTGAAGAGCCAAGCGACCAGAACCGACCGTTCAAACAACGAGCCTCTTTCAGTTAGAATCTATTAACTAACCAAAATATCTGACTATATAGATAGGTGCATCTATGAGTGCCACACATTAGATCTAGTGTCACCTGGTGTCATCCGCCGACTATTATAACTTTACGGACAAACCGATTAACTTCAACTTCGTTAAACAGTGTTTGTTTTGATTTCTGTTGGTGTTTCTCTTGCCACCCCCACAACGAAGATGAAGTCGAATCCGGCCTCGGATCACGTGTACTTCAACGACGGATTCAAGTGCTCAACAATCAGCATCAGCACCAATATCACGGAACCGAATGGCAGTAGCAACAGCGTGGGATCCCAAGGATCCAAGGAGTTCATTCGTAAGTCTATGATGCTAAGTTACAGCTCGCCTTCATTTTAGGAAATTGAGTTAAAAGATCATTGCTTTTACTGATAATATATATGACAGTTAAAGTCTAAATATATTAGTTGGCTAATTAGTTTAAATAAAATATTAGCGCACAGCAATAAACTCTAGCAAATTAAATTGATTTATTATTTTTTTTTTGACACATTATCATACGTTGTTCGAGTGACTGAGTAAGCTTAAACAATTTTGACTATTAGCTAGTGATTTGGGAATTGTAAAATCAAATTAAAGTAATTGTTCTGTGGCAACCAACTAATGATTCCTCAGAATCACGAATGGAAGTCTATTTAACAACTGTTAGCCAACAAGCTACTTAATTTGGAAGAAACTTAAACTACAAATAACTATTTGATTTCATAACTATTTCCTTGCTCGCTGCAATTAAAATACTGGAATTCAGTGAATTTTTCCGACAAGAAAAAACTGGGCATTAAGCATACGCCCCGTGCTCTCCACTTCGAGATAAATGCAATTGTTTTCTAGGTTTCTCAGCGTCTAAACTTTTGATTAGGCCTTGGCAATGAAATTCACGTAGATCAGAATGAAAAACTGAAGCAATTACAATACCTGAAAGCAAACAGAAATAATACGGGCGGGTGGGAAAGTCAGACAAAGTCGATGGAGCGTGGTGCTCTGCAGTACGTGATTATGAATCATTACTGTTATCGTCGGCATTTTAGCCATTTCATTAACGCTCTTTTGATTTCCGCCGCATCTGGCCAACTAAAGAAACTTTTTCTTATGACCTTTGCAGTGACCGAGGACGGTAAGAAGGTGAAGCCACCACTAAGCACATTGGACTACACTCGATGTTGGCTGCAGGACTGCCAGCGACGCACCTTCAATCGAAAAACCCTGCACAAGCGATTGCCGATCTTTGGATGGCTACCGAAATACAACAGCCAGGATGCTGTGGGTGACCTGGTAGCTGGTATCACTGTGGGTCTTACTGTAATTCCTCAGGCGCTGGCCTACGCGGGTATAGCTGGACTACCTGTAGCTGTAAGTTAAATAAAATAAGATTATTATTCATTATTTTATGTTAAAAAGTAATATCTATATAAAATTACGAATAATCTTTATTTCTATTTATTACAGTATGGCTTATATGCCTCATTTGTGGGCTGCTTCGTATACATTTTCCTGGGAAGCTGCAAGGACGTGCCCATGGGTCCTTCAGCAATTGTGGCCTTACTGACCTTCCAGGCTGCCCAAGGATCGTGGCAAAAATCAGTCCTGCTGTGCTTGCTCAGTGGAATTGTGGAACTGCTGATGGGCCTCTTCGGACTGGGATTTCTCATTGACTTTGTCTCTGGTCCAGTTTCGTCGGGCTTCACCTCAGCCGTCTCGCTGATCATTCTTACCTCGCAGATCCAAAGTGTACTGGGCATCACGGCAAAGGGCAACACTTTTGTGGAGATTTGGACGCAGGTCTTCCACAACATTGAGCACACAAGGGCAGGTGACACGGTGTTGGGACTCACCTGTATTGTAGTCCTATTGCTCATGCGCAGTCTCTCATCCTGCCGTATCGGACCAGTTGAGGAGGAGGAGTGCTCAGCGTTTCAGCGTGCCGTTAACAAGATCCTATGGATTGTGGGAACTGCCCGGAATGCCATCCTTGTGGTAGTCTGTTGTCTTATGGGCTATCTGCTGCACAGTGAGGAACATGGAGCTCCGTTCCGAGTGGTTGGAGACATCCCACCTGGACTACCCAGTATTCAGTTGCCGCCCACCTCACTGAGCGCCAATGAAACTAGCAATGGCGTGGCACAGGGATTCGTGGAGATGGTGCACAGTATGGGCTCTGGTCTGGTGGTGATTCCTCTGATATCGCTTATGGAAAATATAGCCATCTGCAAGGCCTTCGGTAAGTGTTTAACTCTACTAAGTTACTTCATATTTGGTATTAATGGATCATCCACAGCCAATGGAAAGCCAGTGGATGCCTCGCAGGAACTGATTGCCATTGGAACGGCCAATATCTTCAACTCCTTTGTCCAGGCCTTCCCAGGAACTGGAGCCCTGAGTAGAGGAGCAGTGAATAATGCCAGTGGAGTCCGGACACCCTTGAGCAATATTTACTCCGGAAGTCTGGTCATGATTGCCCTGCTCTTCCTCACCCCTTACTTTTACTTTATTCCCCGACCTACCTTGGCAGCCATCATTATATCCGCAGTGGTATTCATGATTGAAGTTAAAGTTGTAAAGCCCATGTGGAGATCAAAAAGTGAGTTACTTAAACGAATTACAAAAGGTTTATTCTACAATGCATCTTAAAACGCTTACAGGGAGTGATCTGGTGCCTGGAGTGGGAACCTTCGTTGCCTGCCTGGTTTTGCCTCTGCAGTGGGGCATACTCATTGGAGTTGGACTCAATGTCATCTTCATTCTCTACCACGCAGCACGTCCCAAGCTGACCACCGAGCTTTTGACCACACAGTCAGGTGTGGAGTACTCCATGATAACCCCAGATCGATGCCTCATCTTTCCCTCTGTGGATTATGTAAGGAATCTGGTTAACAAGCAGTCCATTAGAAAGAACGTGCCAGTGGTTATTGATGCCTCACATGTCTACGGGGCTGATTTCACAACGGCCACAGTCATAGACTCGCTGATCAGTGACTTTAATCAGCGGGGACAGCTGCTTTTCTTCTACAACCTAAAGCCGAGTATCTGCTCCATTTTTGAGCAAGTGTCGGCGGCTCAGTTCGTGGTTTACTACCAGGAGCAGCAGTTGGACGAGCTGCTAAAAGAGCGGCAATATGTTCAGAAACGCCTGGAGACAGCCTGATCTCCATTTCCTCAACACGTGATACAAATAGTTTAGACTAAGTGTTTGCTTTAGTTATTTATGGTATTGTTAATAGATTGTGAACAAAATGTATAGTATTAACCAGAGCACAAACACTATTAGAATTTGTGAGCCGAATAAATAAGTTATTTTTAATTATTGAATAATAACGAAAAATGAATACAAAGGGACTTATTATTTCTATGATATTAACAAAAAATGAAAATTTTGAGACTTATTCATTAAATTAAGGGATCGGTACATGTTACGCATATGACATAGCTTACAATTAATATTAAAAAAATACATTCACGTTCCTTTTTTATTTTAAAAACTAGGTTGTAGCGGTCTCTGATTTTTTCAATTCAAATAGTTGTGCACTTGTCAACATGAACAATTTTCACTGTACAGCACTGCCAATCTATCGATAAGACCTATCGATTGCCAGGCTATTTTTCAGTGTTAGAAGGCGTCGCAATATATGCCTTAAGCAGCACTACTACATTTCTCACGTGTAAGATTTAAGATTTTGTTATTCTCTAATTTTTGCTTTAAATAACTTAAAATGAAACGCCTGAGTGACGAACGTGCCAAGATATTGTTTGAACACCTGTCCAAATAGTAGGTAAACTGAAATAACCAGCGAATTGCATCTAACGGATGTACATATTTACAGCATTGGTACCAACGTGAAGCAGTTGATAGACAGACCGGATGGGACATATTGCTTTAGGGAGCACCGAGACCGTGTTTACTATGTGTCCGAGAGGATCCTCAAACTGAGCGAATGTTTTAGCTTCAAGCAGCTTGTGTGTGTGGGCACCTGCTTTGGCAAGTTCTCCAAGACTAACAAACTGAAGTTCCACATAACCGCTCTGTATTATTTGGCACCATACGCCCAATACAAAGTGTGGGTTAAGCCCTCCTTTGAGCAGCAGTTCCTCTACGGAAACCATATTCCAAAAACGGGACTTGGACGCATCACTGAGAACGCAGGACAGTACCAGGGTGTGGTGGTATACTCTATGAACGATCTGCCTTTGGGTTTCGGCGTCCTGGCGCGTTCCACAACGGACTGCAAGACCGCCGATCCCATGACCACAGTTTGTTTCCACCAATCGGACATAGGAGAGTACATTCGCGCCGAGGATACGCTATTCTAGATCCCTAGATGCTAAGTTTTTACATGTTTTAGAGAAATAACGATGCGTATATTAATAAGAATGCTGAGAAAAAACATTTTGTTTCAATAGGGAGGCCATAAACGTTTTATAACTAATTGTACATTATGAATATTAAGGAATGGACAGGGTGGTCTGTTTGGCGATTTCATATCTCAACACTGACGAAAGTAGCCTTACTAAATTCATAATAAAATATATAAAAATCAAATTTTCGCGGGTATAATGAACCAGTTTATTATCAGGCTAAATACCGTTTCACCTTTCAAAGGAGTGACCGTATTTTTCATTAATCGATTTCACTCATATAATTACAGTATCGATTTAATATATCATCCTTAGATTACAATCCACACATCACTATTTCTGTGGACGCGATTTGCGGGGACTCTTCGATGGATAAGCGTCTGAATGCGGCTGCAATATGGCTGCTAATATTGCTATATGTAGCTACCGTTGGTAAGAATCAACAAGAAAACAAAGCCAGCCACCTAGCGGGGTCTACGGTTTCCGGCACTGGAAAGCCCACTCTTCTATTTAGACAAAAAACCTGAGTCATCTAACCCGCACTTTCTTTGTCCGCAGCTCAAGGCGAAAGAACGCGAGATAAGATGTACGAACCCATAGGAGGAGCAAGCTGCTTTCGCCGATTGAATGGCACCCATCAAACTGGGTGTTCCTGTGAGTATATAGGGGATATATGGGCTAAACACATTCTAATCTTTCATCGATAGCCACCTACTCTGGCTCCGTGGGCGTACTCCATCTGGTAAACGTCGAGGCCGATCTGGAATTTCTACTGGCCAGTCCACCGTCGCCCCCATACGCTCCTTTGATACCACCTCACCTGTTTACACGCAGCAACCTTATGCGATTAAAAGAAGCCGGACCAAAGAACATCTCCGTAGTGCTGCTGATTAACCGCACAGAACAGATGAAACAATTCTCTCACGAGCTCAACTGTCCCAATCAGTATAGTGGCCTAAATAGCAGCAGCGAGACCTGCGATGCCAGCAATCCGGCCAAAAACTGGAACCCTTGGGGTACCGGTCTGCTGCACGAGGACTTTCCCTTTCCCATCTACTACGTTGCCGATATCGATCAAGTCAAAAAGCTGGAGCAGTGTTTTCAGGACTTTAACAACTTTAACTACGAGACCCACGCCCTTCGCAGTTTGTGTGCTGTCGAGGTCAAGTCCTTTATGTCAGCTGCGGTCAACACGGAGGTCTGCATGCGGCGAACGAACTTTATCAACAATCTAGGTGGCAGCAAATACTGCGATCCTCTAGAGGGACGTAATGTGTACGCCACTTTGTATCCCCGAGAACCAGCTATCGTAAACAAAACTGTAACAATCCATACGGATGAAAAGTTCATTTTGGTGTCGTGTCGTTTGGACACCGCCACCATGTTTGATGGTGTTGGTAAGTGCCTCTTAAAACACGTATATTCGTGCAACTAATTCTATGTATTTTTTCGTATTTAGGTCTTGGAGCCATGGACTCTCTTATGGGGTTTGCTGTTTTTACCCAGGTGGCGTATCTTTTACGACAGCTATTGCCGCCTCAAAGTTCGCTTCCCGATCCCCTTCGTAATGTCCTTTTTGTGACTTTTAATGGTGAATCCTACGATTACATTGGATCCCAGAGATTTGTTTATGATATGGAGAAATTAGAGTTCCCTCCTGAGTCTACTGACAGACCTCCAATTACCTTTGACAATATTGAGTTTATGTTCGATATAGGCACTCTGGATGACATTGCAAACATTAAGCTGCATGCTTTAACTGGAACACCTCTGGCTCAGAAAATTCTAGAGCAGATGAACAACTATGCCAAATCGTCACGCTACGGTTTTAACTTAAATATTCAATCTGAGATGAGTGCCCACATACCGCCGACATCTGCGCAATCCTTTTTGCGGCGTGATCCAAAGTTTCCGGCTTTAATATTGAACGCCCGACCAACCAACAAATATTACCACTCAATTTACGATGATGGCATTAATGTGGACTTTACATATGCAAACACAAGCAAAGACTTTACCCAGCTGGCGGAAGTGAATGATTTAAAGAGCTTGAAGGCTGACTCACTGCAAATGAAAGTGCGCAACGTTTCCTCTATTTTGGCAATGACACTTTATCAGACGCTGACTGGAAAAGAGTACACCGGCACTAAGGTGGCCAACCCTCTTTTGGCGGATGAGTTCTTTTACTGCTTCCTGCAATCAGCAAACTGTCCACTTTTCAAAGCAGCATCTTATCCAGGCAGTCAGTTAACCAATTTGCCTCCAATGCGGTAATTATATATAAAATTTCTTATATTACAGATGAATTCAATTAAGATCTCTTTGTTTCTAGCTATATAAGCGTCTTGGGCGGATCTCAAGAGTCGTCCGGCTATACATATAGAATGTTAGGCTATCTTATGTCGCAACCACAGCCAGACATTCCACAAGAAAATTGCACCGACTTGCCATTGCACTATTTCGCTGGCTTCAACAATATCGGAGAGTGTCGCCTCACCACACAAAACTACAGCCACGCCTTAAGTCCAGCTTTTCTTATTGATGGTTAGCTTTGTGGTGGTATGATAGGCTATTGCAATATTAATTTTTAAATATTTTTAGGCTACGATTGGAGTTCCGGCCAGTTCTCCACATGGACTGAATCCACCTGGTCACAGTTTAGTGCACGCATTTTCCTGCGTCCGTCCAATGTACACCAGATCACAACCCTCAGCGTGGGAATAGTGGTGCTGATCATCTCCTTTTGCCTAGTGTACATAATAAGCTCTCGATCGGAAGTCCTTTTCGAGGACTTGCCGGCTAGCAATGCCGCGTAAGTCTCTTCAGAAGCATCTACTTATACATCGCTAATTTGCTCGTCAGTTTTTGGGAGAGCCAAAACCATCTCATCTTTAAGACCTAATTTTTTTTTTTTTTTCTATGTAATATTTATTTGAGATTTATTGTTTCTAGATTATTTGGTTGATGTCACAACTGCCACAGCGACGACATCATCGCGTTCAGCTGCTCATTCCACAGACTTCTGCATGCATAAATGTTCATAGTTTTCAAAGTAGATAGTTTGTAAACAGATCGATTAAAATCTTTGACTTATGCGTACCCTTTTAGGTTGCCGCGACCGACGGCCTGTTAATCAGTGGAAATCTTCAAGAAAATCTCAGCCTATTCCGAAGCTGATTGGCAGCTGAACAAGATCTGAAAACAAAAGACAGACTTAACAAAGACACTAAAATGATATTCTAACTCGTCTTATTTAAACCATTAAGCAAACGTTTATTTATGTGTATTTTTGTATTTTAAACAAGTAAATTAGCCTCTAGCTACTATGTTGTATCATATATAGACATTTAACCAATTGCGACAAAACCTATACTTGTATGTATTAAATTTTTTCCACTTGTCCGGCCCGTTTTGAATTGTACATAGAGATAAAGAAAAGAAATTCAACCTCTGAGAATGCCAAGGAAGATATGTCTGTACAAATATTGACAAGAAACTGCTATAAATCATTAAACATTGGAAATATTTATACCTTCTGCATATATTGCGATACTGAACTTAATGATCTGAAATCATCACTTCATAGAAGACAAATAATTATTATAACGACTCTAAATTATATATGTTTAATAAATTTTGATAAGGTGTAAAGCAATGGATTATTATTGTAACATTTTTGTCAGGTAATTCTGTAAGCAAACAGGTTATGTATTTTCATTCACAGATCCCATTGATTGAGGTAAGACAACCGGATAGGGATTTATAGAAAGTTATTTACTTCTTGCAGGTTTCCGAAGTAGCGCATTTTTATCTGTGTAAAGGCGTCGTGTCTTTATAATACTATAAAAGTCTAGGGAATTGGCCAGAATTGACAAAGTCCTTATCCATAGAATTAACTATTTTTAAGGTACTAAATTGGTAATATAAAATCTAAAATAATTTAATTCCTTTAATTTAGCAATCCCTGTTGTCGAAGATTAATAATAGAGTCGGCTATGACCCCTGCTGATGCTTTTAAGTAGCCACCACTCAGCAACATAACCACCGGAATGCCCAGCCTGCGAAATGTACTGAACACCAACCGATCCCGCTCTATGACGCCCTCCGCTGAAATGGCCAGATTGCCTAATGGATCCCCATTGAGAACATCAGTACCAGCGTTGTAGATAACCACGTCCGGACGGAATTCGGCCAGGGATTGCATTAAGCAGCGTTTCAGCTGTCTAAGGTAAAATGCATCCTCTGTGTGGTTTCTCAGTTCTACGGCACAACGGATACTCTCCTTGGCCACGTGATCCTTCGGATAGACGAATGCATTATACATATCCAGAATGTAAACTGCAGCCACATTGTTGAAGTCACGTTCGTGTCCGTTGCCTTGATGGGCATCCAGATCCACAATCATGATGCGACGTACCCTATACGGTTCTTGCTCAAACAGCCGGACGATGAGTAGCGAGATGTCCGCATAAGGACAGAAGCCGCCACCCCTATAAGAACAGCAGTGATGGAATCCGCCCCCTAGATTGATGGCCCAACCGTAATCCAGGGCCAGTTTGCCGGCCAAAATGGAGCCGGCCGCCTGGAAGCGCATGGGACGCAAATAGGACCGCTGAATATAGCGATTCGGGACGAAGGCCATTATTGGCACTTCAGCGATGCAGGCCACATTTATGCTCCACCGCAGTGACTTTAGGTAATCCTTGGTGTGTATGCGTCGCAGCTGTTCCTTGCTCAGTTCCGTGGGCTCGTAGAAGCTGCCTCCATCCAGCTGCAGTTCGGAGCATAGGATCTATGATGAATTGGAGGAAATAATGAGTTAACAAAGTTAATGGATTTATACGTACCTTCTGAATGTGCTTGCCCTTGGCCGCATCGAAGGGATGTAGGCGTTCAAGGCCAGCGAAGCGCACCGCATACTTCCTAGAGAAAACGATGGGCAGCTTACTTTCAGATCGAGCATCTTCCCGTTTCACCCAGACCACATCCTCGGACTCGATCTCCTCGTGGTGTACTCTCTCGGTCAAACGTTTCATTATATTCTCAAATTAAAACATTTATCCCCAGTGGATTACTCCCATTCGACACCAGTTGAATTTGCTACGCAGCTAGAAAATGCAATTCCGGATGTTTGGGGGCCAGGGGTTGATGGCGCCGTCAGCTGTCTGCCGGCTAAAAGCTTCCATTCAAGCACTTGGCGTAAGCTTTTGCATAAAACAACAATTGCACTTTAAACAATTTTTATACACTTGACGATTTTAAAATTTATGACTAAAGTTTCTCATTTTTGCCTTTACTACGGTAAACAGGTCGGTCATGGGCATTTTGTAATTCCCGATATGTGTTAAGTACACGCTGGTCACGAGAATCCCTCAGCTGCCAAAAGTTCTTCCACTTTTTAATAGGAAACAATAATATTCAAATCAGTCATTATCCAAAGCCTCTTTGGCATACTTACATGTTCCTTGGGCACATCGAGAGGTGTCTGAAAAACAAACCAGATGGCTGCCTCAGCACATGGCGGAGTGGTAAGGGATCCTAAGAAGGGGTACATTAAAAAAAGGACCCACAAGAAAGCCCTACCAACCTTCATAAGTCAAGTATTTGTCAGTGTCTACTGAAACAAAAAGATCTTCTAAGGACATGCTCTGATCAAGACGATTTGTTTCATCCATTTCAGATATCTCGGAGACCTGTTTGCAGATTTCATTCATAGCTGGTGTCTCATTTTCTGGATCCTTTGATGGAAATGTGAATAAATGTTTTAGTGTAACAGGAGCAAGACTCACCTTTAGGTGCCTTATAAGTAAAGCTAAAACTGCGAATCCATTTTGATGTAGAGCAGCTTCTTGGTTGCTCTTGTAACAGGAATTCTTATGAACCAAATGAACTTCTCCGTCATAAAAATTGCCATCCAGGTTGTGTTCGGATCCTTTGCTTAACTCAGAGCCCCAATGAAAATGCAGCTGCTGGGCCTCAAAAACCTGTTCACCCTCACTGCTGATACAAATAGATGGCAGAGCTCCCTCCACTGTTTTGGGAATCCTCATTAGGACAGTCAGACCATTGTTAATCACAGACAAAGGGTCACTCAATATTTTATTGTAATTTACGAACTTTAGCTTGGGGACACTACATGTAATGCTCTTTGGAGATAGGTTTGATTACCACATGACATTAAATGGGCCTCGAAAGAAATGCTTACATTATACGAGCACAGTGCAATGGGAGATTGCCTTTGACCACCCTTTACATCCCAATCCCTTCCATGTTTATCATAATTAAATCCAAAGTGACTCCTGGTCCCCGGGTTGTTTAGGGCAAAGCTTCTTACCACAAGAAACATATAAAAAAAATTACAAATTAACAAAAACTTAAAAACTAAAACAATATTTTGACTTGTATTTTCCAGGTGCTGAGATACCGATAGAGATATCTTCTCCAGATTTTATGGGCATATATACAACTTCTTGTTTTCCAACTGATTGGCCTTTCGGTCGATTATATTCTGTTCCACCATGCGATGACAGCCCTCATATATGTATTTGGTCAGAAAGAAGAGAATTTCGAATATGGCCACCATGGAGAAGCCCACAAAGATAGACATTATGTTGCCAATGGTACCTGTACATTTTGAATATTTTTCCTAATATATCAAAAATGAATATATCTCGAGACTCACTGAACACCTCGAACCAGGCATTATTTAGCAATCGGATATAATACTGGGCATGCGGATCGGCGAAGTAAACCCTCAAAACTGAGATATCCGTGCTAAATTGAGTCTGGTTGTTCTCATCGACCTTCAAAGAGGCCAAATAATTGTCTATGGGCAGAGCACTCATGGACACTCGGTACTGCACATCGCTGCAGGATGGTAGACACTGTGGACAATACAATGCCTCCTCAATTTCTCTCTCCAAACCAAGAATTATATGCCTCTCCGTCATCACATTCCGCCACTTGACTGGAAATTAAGCACCTTAAAACAAAAATAAAGAGGTTTCCACACATCTACTTACACATGTACTGATTGAGACAGGAAACGTGTCCCAAGGTACAGTAGACAACGCCATCGAGGTTCTCCACCAACTGGAGGGGCATTTGAAAAGGCAGACACCGGCATAGTGCTATAATACTGCGGATTCGGCACCTGGTGATGCAGTTCGGAAAGCTGTAGCTGTAGCTATACGTCTTCATTAGCTGCTCATGGTTAGGAGTCTGTGCCTCGTAGTCAAAGTAACAGCGCCGCTATAAGATCAATGTTTTGCAAGATTCTTATGTAATAAGGATACATATTAAAAACCTACACTAAAAGGGGAAAATGATTTCAAACTATCATCAGTGTCCACTACTCGAGCGTAGACCGATAAGTAGCTATCCTCTCCCTGACCTGGAAACATTTCCAGTGCATTCGAAGAGCTAACCGAGGCATAGTTCTCAGCATTATGAATCAGGACAATATAGCCATTGGTATTCAGGATGGGGGCAAAGTAGTCCGAGTGGCTGTCGTTGAGTACTACTGTAAGGCCCAGTTCCGGACTTGCCAGACGATTCTTAAAATGGCGTTTCTTTAATCTGGTAAGGATTATATTCAGTTCAATTACTTTAACTTAATTTTCCATACTTATTTTCCATGTTGAAGGTACAGCAGGGTCCGTACATGGTGAGACTCTCCTGAAACGCGTCCTTACTGAAGCAGGGTATCTCTACATTTGCTAGGGTACACTTCAGCACGAATTCTTGACAACTGGGCGTCAGCTAATGGAAGAAGGAATTTTAATTTTATTTTCCTTTTAATCTAATATAAACTTATCTTACCATTTTCATTATGCGACGAGTGTCGAAGAAGGTCTCATTGTTCCAGGTGCCAAAGACATCTAGAAAGGTCTGAAAAGTAATAAAATCATCGGTGTCCACCACAACGCCCACGTGAATGTAGAGCTCTCGGAAGTAACTTAGGCGCTCCAGAAAGTATTCCACTGGACGAACCACGGGACTATTGAATCTCCTACAGGAAAAAGTTAAATATTCCATAAAATTAAGTTGTCGAATACCTACAGTTCTTCAGCATATCTGATGACTGCCTGCCGAGAGATGCGATTGTTGGGACAAATGGAAACAGCCGGAAATGGCACATTCTCTACCGGATACAGGGGATCTTTCAGGTTGGTCACAAATGATTGGGCAACAAACTGCTCCCAGGTAAGCGATAGGACTACTACCAAGGAGACAGTAGTGGTCATATGTAGCAGCAACCAAATCATTCTTATCGGAAAGAAATTTTTTAAAACCCAATTGCGTATGCGTAATATTTAAGGAAGACATTCCTACCTTTGTCCCAAAGTTAAGTCGGGCGATAAAAGCTTATTGTATCCCTGCAGGGAAATATTCCTCAGTAGATCTGCCATATCTAAACAAAAAGCCGAACCTAAGGATGTTTTTCGCAGTCCTTTAGACTTATTATTTTTGCCGGCTTTGGGGTTTTTAATCCACCAAATGGCATTAGAAGTTGACTCCAGCTTAACCATTTTTAGACAGTTTTCGGAATTCTAGTCCTTTCTAAGTCACTAACTTTATCTTTCTGGATAGTATTCATGATTTTTTGTGGTTATAAACTTTTCATAGGTGGACAAAACCAGTCAAAGTAGGCGTGACTAGCTAATGCAGTTTATTCATTAACTCTGTTCGAATCATTGGTAATGACAGGAAAATATGAAAACCAAAGGTACAATAATTGATTAAAGAAGAAAAAAAACCTTTATGTATTTTCTTTATAACATTTACTAGATTAATTATTAATTAGTTTTGGTAGCACTGTTTTTGGTGCTAATCTTAACCTTAATACTATTGAATATTTTCCTGTACACAATATTACAGTTCATTGTCTAGCTTTTCCTGAGAACATTTCTTAATACAAAACTATGTGTGAGTCCTATCCTGATGGCCAGAAAGGTTGTCCAGGGTAAGGGCGAGATCCAGGGAAGGCGTATTGATTGGGATTAACGACTCTGGCGATATCCGTGTAGCTGCGACCGCCTCGCGTTGAAGGCTGGTAATATCCACGAGCCGGGGAACCGGAGACGGCGGCAAGGAAAAGGAGCAGGGCAACCAGAAGGCTATTGATAAATCCTATGACTGACATGGCTTGGAAAGAAGTGCTCCGCTTCGAGTACTGAACTGCAATACGACCGGTGACCAGCCTATTTATATGGATATCGGCGGCTGATCGGTTCTTGCCGTTCTCAGACGCTGGCTTATCAATCAGGTTTTGGCACCGACTGAAACCCCAGGAGAATTGCGTTGCCGCTCACGTAGATCTCGTCGCTTTGTATGTTATGGCTTTTTATGATCACTTTGTTTTCTCAATATTTACTGACACGGTGCCCGGGCCAAGTCATTCACACCACACCCCGTTATGCCAGGCGATCGGTAATGAGTAAGCACATAGGCACCTGATCTTGACTCTAATTGCATGGTGAATGATTTGGCTCTATCAGCACGACTCGACGACACAGCCTCTCAGCATAAATGCTCGTACGTATTTAAATTGTAATTAGCGACTCTGACGGATTGAAGTAATGACGTAGGTGCGCCATCTGAGGCTATGTATTAGCAAATTCTTGCATAAACAATTGCCATGTTCGGTGCTAACAGTTGTCACTGACTTGAGCCGAAGTCTTCCTTCCTGTATGGTTGCTGGGATCTGGTTTCTGGTTTTACTTCCTCAATGACAGTCGGTGCACGAGGGGAAGTCCTAGGCGAGCAGCTGCATCTCAATCTGAATCACTTGGCCTGAATCACGCACAAGTACCTCTATAGGATCGTAAAGAGGCTATATATACCACACTTGTGAGCCATGATCAGTCCAGTCAGATGTTGTCGTGGGTCATTATCGGATCAACCGAAAATTACTGGTAACTGTTTCTCTTAAGGAGGCAGCCGATTAAGAGTTGCTGACAAAAAGAAATTAAATTGTTTCTTCCGGCAATTCTTACGAATTTAAAGGTGGCTATCATAATAACAAAACTATTAAAATAAGTTCATGATTCATTAAGAGAATCACAATTTTCTAGAATGCGTTTATGGGGGGAAATTTAGTCAGTGTTTGGGGGTTTCTGGAACACCTGCTAACCTGGAAAATATTTGATTCATCATAGAAATTCTTAGAAATGTAATAAACAAAATATTCTTTTACAAAGTGTAAAGTTTGTTTTTTAATTAAGAAGTAAAGAACATTGGAAGTATGAAAGAACAAAACAACGTTGGATCACGTGAATAAATTTCATGGGTTCAATACTTTTTATAGAATTTCGGACATATAAACGAGTATTCTGAACCGCAATAACACAAAACATTCTCACGTAAGTAATACACTTTTTTTAGGAATTCCCCATTCAAAAATCCCTTGCCATGGGTTACCAGTCAGGGTCCTTACCCCACTATCCCAATAACCGGGAGACCCGAGCAGGCCCCACATGTGTCGTACCCCTAAACAGATATCGCGCCTCCATTTAATTTAAATTTCAATCACGTTCCAGAGATCCGCTGAACGCGCCTGCTCAGTAGATCGTAGATTAATAAACACGCACGTCCAAGTTGCGAATTAATAGAGCTTAAGATAATTAAACAACTTATGGATAGATGTAACTTTCGCTGGATTTATTTTAATACTTAATACTGCTGACAAGATGATTTAAAACAAGGAAATCTTTAACCCCAAAGTGCGGAATAGGGAGTACGGGGAAGAAAGCGACTGCCTCCAGGACCTACATAAGGAGCAGGGTTAATGACTTTCGCTATTTGAGAATATGTACGTCCTTGACGATTTCCAGAGGGTTTTCGTCCTCCGCTCGGGTAAGAATAAGAGTGGGCTGAATAAGGGTATGACGAGTAGGAATTGTATGCAGGATAGGATGGGTAGTTGTAGCCATATCCTCCAGCATAGTTCCCGTAACCGTAGTTTCCAGAGCCATAGTTGCCATAGGCGGAGTTTCCATAGCCATTGTTCCCATAGCTTTGAACTCCACTATATCCTTTTCCCGATTTCCACGATTTAAAGAAAAGAGCGCTACTCCAATCCAAACAGCAGGCAATCAGAAGGATCGTCAAAAAGGAATCTCTGGCTCTCATCTTGCTTCTATTTCGAATCACTTCCAGTTCTGGCAGCTCATCTACGCAGTTCTCCTCTATTTATACCCTGGGGAATGGAGTTGGGCAGCAATGGTGACACATTGTGGTCTAGCTCATTTCAATGGTTTCTTTTTTTACGTTTTTTTTTATTCCCATAAAAACGGTCGGGATCTCTGGAAGATTAGCTCGGACAACGGGCAAGCGGCGACTCAATGCATTATGCTGGATTTATTATAGCAGACGGATTGGCACGATCAGCATGCGGAGCACGCGCCGCTTACTGGAAGACTGAGCGATCGCAGGCGGTCAGTATGGTCAGTAAACAACGGACATCCCATACCCATCCATAATATAGACATTAACTTCCACTACGCTGAAACTTTATTTGAAAACGTATTGTTATGCTTGAAATGATCACACTATATAAGCCAAAAACTAGCTTCTTAATTTCATTATAATGCAAGATCGTTTTAAATCAATAGTAAGTATCTACTACAATCATAAAAACATAAATTCTGATTACTTATTAAAGCATTTTCTATGACCAGAAAGTAAAAAAAATCTTGAGAAAAATGATAAAAGAAATTAAAGTGATAATTCGTTCTATATTCTGGATTATTAATCTCTTTTGGCAGTTTTCTGTGTGAATTTCTTTATTCTTTTATACTTCTATCCGTATAATTCAATTTTTGTTACCTGATTAGGTCTTTGTTTACCTTTCGTTTGAAGATGATCATGATGAACGCTCTGAGATGTCCGTTAGAGAGCGGTTCAAGTCTCTCCAACTAAGCCCACTCATCATCTCGCTCTCTCACTGACCACCGGACAGGTTTCCAATGTTTTTTTCAAGCATCAACGATTATCGCATAGGCGGAGCGTCAATATTCCCCCCACAGTTAGAATCCACCTTTCGCGGTGATCACAGCTCGATCATTCGATCATGACGCGATCTTCACCAGCTTGGATGGCTGTACAAGCCAGTCTAGCTTGGTTTCTGACTACCATTTCGATCCGCTCAAGCCTTGCTCAATTTGCTGTTTCCTCACCCGGTAGAGCAGTTGCCTCCGCCGGTGGCGTCACCGTAGTAGCCCAACTGCCCGGACTCGGAGTAATCAATGGGCTTATCAATGCCATGCATAACAACAACCGCTTTAACCAACAGCAGCAGTTTGAAAGACTACAGCAGGGAAGGCCCGGAATGGGTCCGAATAGGAGGGGAATGCCTAGACCAGGCTTTGGCTCACCCAACCGACAGCAAGCTCCTCCTGGTTGGCCTCCTGGCTGGCAGTGGGGAGCTGGGGGCAACCAAAATCAACCCGGATTTGGCTGGGAACAATCCGGTTTCGGGCCAGGCTGGAATGGAGGAGGGCAACAACCAGGTTGGAATGGAGGAGGAGGAGAACCAGGTTGGAATGGAGGAGGAGGACCAGGTTGGAATGGAGGCGGCGGAAGAGGACCCCCGCCAAGGCCAGGCTGGAACGGCGGAGGACCACCACCAAGACCAAGTTGGAATGGTGGAGGACCACCACCACCTAGACCAGATTGGGGAGGCGGAATGGGTCCGCCACCCAGACCTGACTGGAACGGAGGATTTCCGCCGGAATGGAACAACAATCAACGCTTCCCCGATGAGCCGGATGCCAATGACCCCAATGAGAATTGGAACAATCCAAATAATGAGGCTAACACTACACCAGTAGTACCCACAACCACAACAACTACACCTAAGCCAGCGGAAACGCATCCCACCATCCAGCCACTTCCACCAACGCAGCCAACAAAGGACACCCTGATTATAGGCACCAATCGACCACCACTAGTGCCGCCCCAGAATCCAGACCCGACACCCACTTATCCAAATTGGCCCGTACCTCAACCGATTCCAAACCACTCAATCGAGTTGTCCGAAGAACGTGCCATCATATTCCCAAGTTCCAGTAAATATATTCACGCTCCCAACCAGGAAATTCCTTCGCAGCCAATTGATGTGAGACGAAAATGATTCTCGGGAGGGACTTCCCCGATCCACACTTATTGTACATATGTTCATAGACCATTTTTCAATTGCCCCACTCGAGACCGTCTTTGTGACGACTCCAAAACAGGTTTTAAGAGATCGTTGTTAAAAATCACGAAATTTTAATAAATTACACTAAAACAAACAAATGAGACAGCAGATGACTGGATGAGGGGATCCGACAGATGAACGCTAGTAACCCCGTTGCTTGTAACCGCCTCCATATATATCCTGAGTTTTGTGGGGATAATATCCCGGTGACGAGGGAGTGGGTTGTGAGTAGTATGCGGGCAAAGGAAGAGATTGTTGCGGTGGATAGTAGGTAGTAGGACGAGGAGCTGGATAGTATCCATAGCCAGCCGGATGTGTCTGCTGGTAGCCTCCGTAGCCATAGCCTCCTCCGTAATGATAGTCGTAGCCCTGCTGGTAGCCTTCTTGTATCAGTGGACCTGGTCCAGGATGCGGATGTACATAGGCTTCCCCAGGCAGTGCCCTTCCGGGCGGATAGTACTTAGGTTGATCATCCAGAGCGCCTAGCAGAACCTCGGCGATCTTATCGAATGTAGGACGACACTGGGCCAGACTGGCCAGGACTAGCACTAGAGTCACAGCTAACAACTGCATATTGGTGTATTTAAATTGATTTTGCTCTTTAGTCCAGTTAATCTTTCAGCTTTTATAGCCAGCTGCACATGGCGATAAGAAAGATGAATGGAACAGAGTAGAAGAACCTTGGCTACTGGAACAAATGCTATATACATATATTGTTTATAATGCTAATCCGTCCAACTGGTAAACAAGGTTGTCTGAGAAAGCTTTCATTCTCTCTATAAATATATAGGGAAGATCATAATTATCATCTATGCTGGATTCAAATTCTGTGGGAAATCCCAGAAATATTATTAAGTCTTTACTTGGCATTATGTTTGAAGTTAAACTACTTGAAAAGAGCACTGGGAAAAATATATTTTATATGAATAATAAATAATAACATTTGTAAATTATGATGTTTACATTTATATTACTATTGTTAAATTGTTTTTTATACTCTAATAGTATATCATACCAAAACTCATTAAACTGTCAGCAGAATTATTCGCAGTGTTTACTCTCTCATTCAATTTACAAGCTACCTACATATCTGCCCACTGAGCCCCTGTTGATAACCCTCGACATAGACACTCAGCTAAACTCTCATAAAATCTCAGCCCATCATCAAATACACGCGCCGAGAGCTTCGGAGGTTTAGTATACTTACAGACATCATGGTGAATTGGAAAGGAAGCGCATTCGCCACTCTGGCTCTCATCCTGATTGCCTCCACTGAGGGGTCTCAGTTCAGCCGGGACGAAAGTCAAGAGGATCAAAAGACGGAGTTTAATCTAGCCTCCACTTTGACGGGTGGCATTACCAGCAGTCGGCACCGCCAGCGGGCCGATCTCAACTCGCAACTGTATCCGGGACTTAATCACGGTTACACGGGCGCCACTGGATCCATCGATGATGCCCATGGCCACGAGCAAGGCGGCTCTGGCGTACGAGTGGCCAGTACGAACTCTGTTGTTTTCCCTGGCAACCAGTCACCCAATCCGGCACTAACAATTACAGGAGGACACCAGTTCCCGGCTTATCCGCCTCCAGGGTTTCCAGGACAGCAGGCTCCAGTTCCATATCCAGCTGCAGGAGGTTCATCCGGAGGTGCTTCTTCAGGTGGCTACCAAAGTACAGGTAGGACTACTTACATAAAAAATGCTTATCAATAAAAATATTTTACATTTTCACTGATCTACCTAATCTAAATTTCATAATAGAAAATTCAACAAATTATTACAGAATCGGAAAGATTGGTGAATAATATTTTATACGTTTTGAATTATTACCTCTTAAAGTTAAATCAAAGCTAATTCTTTGCCTTATCTCGATGTTCAGGTATTGGTGCTGCCCCTGGTTATCCTGGGGCAGGCGCAGTTCCGGGTCCGTACCCTACTGGACTTCCTGCGGGAACTGGCGCTTATCCTGGCTATCCTTATCCAGGAGTTTACCTGCAACAGTATCCCGGGTATCCACAGCCAGCTCAGTTTCCTGCCTACGGGGTAGTGCCTGGAGCTGTTGCTCAACCTGGAGTTATTGGTGTGCCTGGAATACAAGGAGTAGCTGGCGTTTCTGGTATCCCGGGCGCCCCTGGAGTGCAAGGGGTTTCAGGAATACCTGGTGCAGCTGCCAATGGTCCTGCCACCAGCAGCCAGAACTTTCATCGCTATCCGAACCACAATGCCGCGGATCGCAACCACTGGGATCACCACTTCTCAATGAACACCGAGTACAAGGAGGATGGAGTCCACAAGGGACCTTTCGGAGTACTCAACAACCACAATGCCTTTGGCTATGGCAGTGGTTATGGGGGAGGCTACAACGGTGCCTTCAATTCGCCGGCCTACTGATGCTGGACGGGATTACGGATGGAGTTTGGTGGTGATGAGGCGTGGAGTAATCCGAGTCGTAGTCATAAGTTGGCTGCTCCCTCTGTTTGGCCAAGGGCAGCTGTCTTTACTTATCCTTATATGTGTGTGTCCCTGCGAAATAAACTTGATTTCTGGACAACCAACCAAGATAATTAGCAATGCTGGCCAGTTACCAGTTACCAGTTGCACCTTGAACCGGAAAAAATAAAGCACATGCATTCGGCTCCCATAAACAGAGAGATAACCTTACGCATACACATCTTATTCTTATTCTTTTCTCCGGCGAGGACACAATTGAAGGGGACAGGAGCTACCTGGCTGACAGGCAGCCGAAAAAAAAGGAACACACAAAGGCAGGACTCTAGACTCTAGACAAGGCAAAGGTGGTAGGAAATCAGTGTCAGAGGGAGAACTATTCGGATGCCAAGGGAACTCATACTCATGGCACCTTTTTAGGCCCAACTGCAGCGACATAAATCGGCTGGGTTTCGGTGTGCAGCAGATTTTCTGCCTTAGCGGGAAAGAGAAAGGCAAAGGAAACCCATCCAAAGGACGACGTCTTGATGTCTTGCGGCGCATGGGCAGCCTGCTGGGCAAATCCTTAACAAATTTTTGGCGCTAAAATGACGAACGAACGCGCCAAAAGGAAGGAACCGCAAGAAACTCGAACCAAGAGTATACAGACAGACACACTCACACTCACAGATTATGAATGATTTGGGCGGATGATATCGGTGGGTTTTACCTGTAGCAAATCGAACTGAATCCTAGAGAGGGTTTGATGTCCTTTGGTCATCAGCTATCAGCTGTTCGAAGATGAGCGTAAGAAAAGAAAAGAAATTAGAAACAATAGGCCCAGTTTGATATACTCACTACAATACTAGTCTGGATTTTGTAAAGATTTTCCCAATAACCTTTGACCTCCAATAGTTTATGGACTCATCTTTTTGACAATACACATACAACATTTTTATGCTGTAACTCATAAAACTTTGAATAATTTCCTTAGGCAAGGTAATAAATAATATTTGTTGTTAATAATAATCACTTAATGTAGTTATGCAGAGTTAATTAGGTTATTTTCAAAAATATAGGATAGCATATTAATTTATCACCAACTAATTACATAACAATTTTACCGATAAAATATTTGTACATTTTCTACAAATAATTTTAGGAAACTCCAGACCACAATTTTATACCTTAATTTCTGTGGAATATTACAAAAAAATAATAATTATATTTCAGCTCTTTAATAAAACCCACAATAACCGTTTTTAACGTAAAAATTGTAATTATTTTTTTGAACGGAGGTAAAAATGTTTATTGGTATTCTCTGGGAAAAACGATACATACATAACACTGAGTACATATACATAACTAGTTACTTGAACAATGCAACGTTATCAACATTCATGGATAGATGAAGTGAGTTGAGGAATAGGAAGGCGGGATGGAATTGGAATTGGATGGTTTGCGTCCTCCGAGGGGCGTGGTTATGAGGAAGGGAGTCCATGAACGGCTTAACAAATAACAGCATTAATAACGACTACAGGAACAGATGCACATGGCATACACAGGACGAGGGTTGATCGCGGCGCATTTCCAGGTTGTACAGGACACACGTGCCTTTGTTAGTCGTTTCGTATCCTTGCGTTTGTGTATCTATATAGAATAAGTTACTTGGCAATCCATGTCTGCTTTGGTGGCTTACGAGTTAGGTTTATTAAATGCTGCCATTTCTTAAAACTAGCGTATATATTAAAACATAAATCGTTTTGCAATCGGGCTACATTTTGAGGATGTGGGTTCTAGAGATAATTTCGCTTTTCCTGTTTAAATTGATAGTATGTGGGTACGTATGCGGTATGTGAAAACTAAACAATAATACATGGCAAAAGAAACAAAAAGCACTCTTAACACACAATTTATGCAAAAACATGTCAATAATGCAAAGGTCACAATAATAATTAATATAAAATAATGTGATTTGGCGGGGACAAGGGACTAGGATTCAAAACAGGGTCAAATTTGTTCGATTAAGGCGGTTATCCGCTGTTTCGTCTACTCCGATTTAAACGGGTTGCTATAGGGTCTGAAGCGTCTTAGAGCCTAAGTGAAGCGTAACATTTTGCAGCTCGTATTGAATTTGGCTAAACTTTGATGTTGTCCTACGACAAATTGCTTTCGTTCAGGTCAAGGTTGCTCTGGAAGAGCTCCTGGTTCGTGAGCAGCGGCACCTTAGCCACCTCGTGGAATATCTTGTGTGAGTACTTATTCCTTATCGTCTTGATAGTAGCCCGCGGCTTTCGATGCAGTCCAGCATTTAGCACGGGCACAATCTCTGCGAAATCTGCCAGTTGGTAGCCGGTGTAGTAGATGAGCGTCGAACTCCAAGTCTGCTTGTCCAGTTGCCCCGCACCGCCGTGCATTCGGAGAGCCATATACAAAGCGGCGGAAGCCATCTGCGAGTCGCTGAACGAAATAGTGGCATAATCCATCAAAGAAAGCTCTAGTATGTAACGTGCTAGGGTCAGCGTAGGCATGGGCACCTTGGCACATCGGGCGTAGCGGCGCAGGAAACGGTAGGAAAGTGGAATGCCCAGATCGTACTTGATGATGCGCAGTGTCTCCCGCTCCATCCGCACCAGCTCGTCGTGGTTGTAGGCCCCATCGCAGATGTACAGGAAATCCTCGATTAGCGGCGGTTGACGTTCGTCGTACTTGCAGGCAATAAAGAAGGCAGCGGCGCCCAGAAGCTGCAGTTTCTCTTTGTTAATCACCTCGCGGCATAGATACAGATCCACAATCTTCACCGCTAGGTACAGGGTCTCATGATTTAATTCGAATGTCTCCTGAACCTCCACCATCCAGTCAACCAACAATGTGCGCATCCAGGTGGTTAAGTGAACCTGTCTTGGCATGTAGTCAGCGATTGGAAACTCAGGTTCGCGCACCTTCAGATAGTTGAATATATCCATGGCGTAGTGCGACACCTGGAAGGGATCATCCCAGTTTTTGCGGTCAAAGTCCTCCACATCCTCGGGCACTGGCAGAATGGGAACCACTTGGCTGGGAGCAGTCTCTGGTAGTGTCAGCAACAGTGGCTGTGGTTGCTGATCAGTCTTTTGCTGTAACTTGGCGGACCGACGACGCGCGGCCTCAAAGTTTCCAGACAGTCGCATTGAATCGCAGCTGGACACATCCTCCAGAGCGGACATGTAAAGGCTGTCCTCAGTCTTGTTAAAGTCATTGGAGATTCGACGAACTGGCTTAATAGATTGCACCGCAGGAGCGGCAAGATTGTGCATGGGCGGCAACAGAACGGGTATCTGCATTACTGGTAACTCCCCCAGTACTGTCTTCTTTGCGGGCACTGCCTTAGGACGCGGTTTGGGTCTGGCCAGCGCCTCCTCCAGCTTGTCCAGCACCTTGTGACAGTTTTCAACGGAATCATCCACTTTGCTGGAAGCGCGCGTTGCCATTTTGTTGGCGGCAAAGACATTTACACTGAGATTATCCTGTTTCTTAGCATCCAACAAGGCCTGCAGCTGCTGGGCCGTTGGTTTTTTACCCACGGCAGACTGCTCCTCATCTTGACCAGGATGCAGTGTCATGATCTTAACATTGTTAGTCAAGTTTCCCAGCGCAGAGCGCTTAATTTTGTCATTTTTGATCGGACTATGGTCGGCTTTGCGTTTGGCGCGCGTCTGCATATTCTCGGCATTGGGATCAATGTTTCCCGTAGCAGCGGCCCGACGACTAAGGCCCTTTCTGGTGGCGGCTCCCAAGGCCAGGAGCGGATTCCCTGCCCCAGCGCCCGCCTGCTGCAGCTGATGATGATGCCCGCCTGCAATGGCCGCGCGCGTTGTTGCTTTGGTGGGCGCCATTTTGTATGCCTAAATGCCTGTTTGTGTGTGAGCGCACTCGTCGATTGTTGTTTTTGTTCTTGTGTGCGGTGGCTCAAGTCCTTCTCCACTTGGCTTAGGGCTGATCCACACAATTCGGCGTCTTCGCTGAGTTCTATACCACTCGATCCGCAAACTAATGCTGTATCGATTCTCAAGCGTAGTCACACAAACTCACAATTCTATTCCGGCTGGAGTTTTGTGGAGTTATGGCGCTTGGCCGGATGGATGATCAGTACTGAGAAAAAATCAAAAAAACACCGCCAGATGACAGATGCAACTTCGAGGATCAGTGTGACCATCGCATGGCATTTACGTGTTTAACAGAAATGCGCTAAAATACACCTCTGCAGAAAATGAAAATATTGAGGGTATTCTTCCAAAACGCGGGTAATTTAAATATAACTGCACATTCATCTTTACCTTAGTCAAAATGATGTTTACGATTTAACTTATCATTATTTTAATCTAAATATGCTGTTTAAAATTAATCTTGCCATTATTCTACGTTTTGGTTTAAAGTACAAGACCATTTAATTAATTTAAAAAAACATTTTCATAACGGATACCCAAAACCATTATTTCAAATATTCTATTAATCGACTTACTTATCTAATATACCATTTAATCAACATAAAAATAAACGAAATATTTATTAGAGATAAATTTTAAATCATTTTTCATGAAAGTTTTAACCCATTACTTGACTTTTAATGTTTGTAAATGAGTACTCTAGAAAATTATGTTCACTTAAATAATGGTTTAAAATTTAAATTAAATTGAATTTCTTCTGCGACATCTTGATTTCTGAGAAAAGGGGGCCAAAGATTAAAACACCATATATTACACACAACTGTTTATTTAATTGTTAAACAAAATATATATATATACGTTTGCATGTATCACTTGTAAAACTAATGATTATATATAGGCATAATTAATATTAAATTTTATTCAGTTTTTGTTGCTTCAGCCAAACGTTGGTTTCTAAAAACTCATTCAAGTATGTATATGTCTTGCTAATGGTTTATCGAAGAGATATATCTTTTATGCATGCGTAGAACTAACAGTAATTGATGGCCTGCCCCAAAGGCATGACAAGTTTAAGGTAATTTTTCTTCCATTTTTGGGGAAACGCTTACGCAGACAATCACACATATTCGTACAGACGCACTAAAATACAACTTATAATTAGAGATAGGAGAAATGTACATTTGCGCAAATTAAAAACAATTACAACTTAATTAAGAGTATGATTTGTGGAAAATATAAAGTATAAATTAATTACAGTAAGCTGCTTGGTCTGGAGAGTCTAATATAGGGTCGAAATATTGGTATGGAAAAACTTTCATTCATTCAACTTTTCATTATACTTACAACTGCGTATGTATATAAATTAAGTATGCTAAAAATATGATACAAATTTCTTTTGCTCTCATTTTCTTTATCTAATAAAAACAGGCGTTTGAACAACAAAAAGTTAAATAAAAACAAGGACAATGATTAAAAAAAACTATTGCAAAGGTGCGAGGGCGGGGATAGTTGGTTTGCCTTAGCAAGCGATCTTGTTTCGGCCGTCGACATTTACGAATCTCATAAGTTTTGCAAAAATGACAGTAATTTCGTCTCGTAATTTTTATTTGATTCCAGATTACGCAACGAATGCCGCTCCTCCGGAAACAGATGCACCTCGTACGGTTTGTTGGCCTTATTCAAAGCACTGATCAGCCGAGAAGTATGGCAGAAGTGCACGTTCTCATCGATCAGGCCATGAATGAGCAGCAATCGCTTGTCCCTGAAAGCGAAAAATAAGTTGATGATGAAATACTATCATAATTTGAAAACCAGTTTAGCACTTACTCTTCGGGAAAAGAGTTCACGTATTCAAGCACCGACCCCGCTGTGTAACCGGCCTCGTTGTTCTGTGGTAAGTCCATGTATCGTTCCGTGTACCCTGTATCGTAATACTCCCAGTTTGTGACTGGCGCTCCGGCAATGGCCACTTTGAAGATTTTCGGATACTGTACCAGTCCCATCAGGCTCAGATAGCCTCCTGGAAATAGCCAAAAGTATTCGTCAGTCAATAAAATTTCTTACTTTTAATTTTTTCTTAATAGAAATCCTACAACTATATATTAATAAACTAACATACCGTAAGACCATCCATGAATGGCCACGCGATCCATATCAATGTAGCCCAACTGATCGGCCAAGATGCGCAAAGCGTCCACCTGGTCGGTCAGCTCAACCTGACCCATCCGGCCGCGGATGTGGCTCTCGAATCGTTTGCCTCGATGTCGTGATCCTCTCGAGTCGATGCAGATGACACAATATCCCTGAGCAGCCAGCATATGCAGACGCAATTGTTGTTTTCCCTAAAAGGAAGCAAAAATCCAATTAAGTTGTTAGTTTAAAGCCAGATCTAATCCGTTCACCTTAAATGTGTTGTTCACGGTTTGCACCTCTGGTCCTCCGTAAACATTGAGCACCGTGGGATACTTAACACCCAGCTCAAAATGATGAGGCTTAAAGACCATAGCGTAAACGATATCTCCAGACGGTAATTGGGGTCGGAATATTTGGGGGCAGTACTGCGGCTCCGGCTTTCCACCTTCATGAAGATATCCAACAAGTGATATCTGGATGCCATTGACTCCGCCGTTTGAGCATGTTTGATTAACGCGCATCACCTTGCAACTGGGCAGCCGCTGGATATTGCAGTAAACCAGCAGCATCAACTGGCATTGCTGTGGAATATAAAACCAGATAACATTAAAATGTTCAAAATAACTTCTTCTAATTAAGCCCTAATATAAATTATAGCATACTTATAAGAGCACCAGTAAATATATAATAATTTTTGATAGTGTTATGATCACAAACAAGTTCTAAGTCCTTTCATTGAAAAAGAACTTAACCAATCTATATCATGACTAATAATACATACATCATCGAACTCCACTAGGTATGAGTATCCTGGTTCCGTGAGAAGGCGGATGTGTTCTGGTCGGTCCAGACTAACAACGTAGAGGTGCTTCTCCAGCGGTGTATCGCGTAGTCCGACAAAGTACACCAGCTTGTTGACCTTGTCTACCCAGAGATTTTTGGCCAGCACCTCCCATTCTCCGCTGGTCAAAGCCACCTTGTTCAGAATACGTGGCTGCAGTGCCGATTGTTCCACGAAACTGGGCTGTGCAGAAGCCAATCCTGAATCTGCCTGTCCATTTGCTTGGCTCAATAACAAGCTGGCTGTGATCAAATAAAGATGACGAAAACCTGTCTCCTCAGATGCCCATAGGAAGGTGACGCTCGTTTCCGTTATCTCCAGAAAGTGCAGCATATCGTGCACGTTTATCCAGCTTTCCGAGCGTTCCGTGTATATAACCTGCAGCGGTGTGATTGTGCGACTATAAAGGCTGCGCCAGCTGTGGTCGTCTATGGAGTCGGTTGGCGTAGATACCTGACTGCTATAGGACTCACAAAAGTTATCTAGTGGTATAAGGATTACATCCAGATGCTGTTGCTTCCGATCCAGTCCTTGCACCCATACGCTGTAAGGTAAGAATAAAGATACTTTAATGACAATTTCAACTCCAGCAATCATTTCGAGGGCTTATGTCATTTTAAACTGAGTTGTCATAAATGTATCTAGTAATAGTTTTACAATTTATAAACTCACTATTTGGCATCCGGTGTCCAACCGACGCGCACAATATACTCTAGCCAGCTGAAGACGGCCGATAGGGGATACGGCAAATCCTTGATGGCAATCTCGCTGACCTGCAGTGCCTCGTTCAGCACGAACTGGACGAGCTTGAGCTTTGACTTGGCGTTGGGGCTACCGGTGCGCGGAAAACGGTATTCGTCAACTCTTCCGTGAACAGCAGTGGACGAGGGAAACGTATACACTGAGACCTCTGATTCATCGACCTCCTCGTAGACAATGCGGTAGATTCCGTCATTGGAATGAGGCTGCCACCAAAAGCCCTGGTACCGGCTAAATTCCTCCTGCATTACGTATGAGGGCACGCCGGCGCTCAATACATCTTCCACATATGAGTGACGTCCGGTGGACGTGTATGTGAGACGCTTTTCGTGCCCGCTCAACGTGTGAGTGACGAATAGATCGCAGTCGCTGATGTAGGCTATCATGTCCGAGTTCTGTGGGCAAATCTGTGGATCCAAAGCCGTCCATTGTGGGCAGGTGCGTAACTGCGTGGGAAACAGCAGTCCAGACTAAAGATAAAATAAATAATACTATTATATTAATACCTTGCGTGATCTAACATTAATTTTGGTAAAACGCCAATTATTTGCTAGTAAATACCATATTATGAAGTCTAGACATATGCTGTTGCTTTAAAAAACTTTTTTGAAGTACTACAAAATTAACTAGTATACTCACATTGTATCCTGTGTCCAGACATTGGTAAAGGTTGTTGAAGCAGGGAAATACCAATTTGCCCGATGGCTTGTGCAATTCGTAGCAGTTAATGCCCCAGGTGGAGAGGCGTTTGCGCTCCTGCAGCAGTTGGTACTCCCGGGCATAGGGACTAGCCGATCCACTGCCTCCACTACTTTGAATAGGTTGCTGCAATAGTGGACTCCACGGGAGTCTGTGAATGTAACAAAATATATTATTACACTTCGAGTAGTTTAATAGATTATTAACTCACCTAGGCTTGGACAGCGAATTAAATAGGAAGGCATTCTGCTGGCTGCTGCTCGTGGGAGAACCTGCACTTAAAGTGGGACTCCCGGCAACTGACTCGCTTGCCTCAACGCGCTGTATCAACAGTTGCTGCTCTTCCGTCTGCGGTAGGTTGATGTCTGCAAAGAGCAGAGTAGTTTCCCAACTCTGTGCCGGAGTACCCAAGAAGTAGCACCTGGCGCGACCGTCAGACAGATGGCGAAACTGCACATTGGTGGGCACCATGGCGGACAGGGTGCACATCTTTTTGCGCATCTCCTGCACCACCATCTTGTTTTCGGCCCAGCTTTTGTTGGGTGTAGGCGCGGCAATGTGCCCATCGTTGTCTACTGGATCGTCTTCATCTTCTTCACAATCGTCGCAATCGTCATGCTCGCCTTCGTCAGAATCCAGGCCGTGAGGCGGAGTGCCGCTGGTGGGTGAGCTGAGGTGGTTGGTGATCACAGAGGCGGCCGCCACCACCACTTCGGTGGTTGTAGCCGTGGCCGCAGCAGCAGCTGCTTGGATGGGTGAGGTGATGGAGTTGAGAGCACTTCCAATGGAGGAGTACAGAGCATTGGCCGTGGTGCCTAGCGAGCCCATGCTGGTGAGGCTGGCTATAGAGTGAGTTGATCCTGGTGTACTAGCGGCACTCTGGCTGCTACGGTCCATCAGCATGTTGGATGCACTGGTGCCACCTGCTACGCTCACCGCGGTGGAGACCCGAGCCGTAAATCCGTCCAGGAGATTCACAAAGGATGTGGCCGCAGCATTGGTGATGCTGTGGCTACGGTGGTGCCCTCCACCTCCGCTCCCATTGTTGTTATTCCTGCCCAGCTGCGACGGAAGCCCAGCATCCTGCTCCAAGCCCATCAAGGTGGTATTTGCATTCGGTCCGCCGCTAAGATTTACGCTCAGCGGTGGACTTGGCGACGAGGGCAGGCGATTCCTCTGCTGCTGCTGCTGTTGCTGCTGATTTGGCTGATTTATTTGGGTCCTGCTCTCCATGGTGGATTTCTACGAGCTGACCCAATTCGGTAGCGAATCCAATCCAAACCACGTACACACACAAAGTTTTCGGGCCAAAAATGTACTCAATGTACTCACACACACAATTGCACTCTCGCTGGAACGCATTCACACGAACACACACTCTCTACCGCTTACTCACACACACACAGGCGGCCCTGTTGTGCTGGTTTGTTATTGTTATTTCGCTTAGCATTTGCCGTGCAATCCACCGATTTCTTAAACAATTCTCGCTGCACTCTGTGGCCTGATGTTGTCCGCTCTGGTATATTCCATACTCATCGCTCTTCGTCTTCGTCTCTTTTTTTGTTGCTGCTGGCTGCCCTTGTTGTTGTTGTTTTTTGCTACTGCTGCTTTCGTTGTTGTTTTTCTTGTGCGAATTGTAAAAAGTGAAAGTCGCACCGTGCGGCAAATATAAAAAATGCCGAGCACCAGAGGTTTTTCCGTGCTCTACGTTCTCCTGCGCCAGCGAAGGGGCAATATTTAACCGAACTGATTGATCTAATTGTGTTATTCGGAACGGAACTGCAGGTAAATTAAAAGAATGCACGAAAGATATACGATACTAGGTGGCCGTGCGGGATTGACTTGGGCCGGTACTTCGGTCACACTGACAAGAAGGAATTGGATATGACACGAGCATCTAGAGATGCGCGAAATTATGTGAAATCATTGCTACGATACAACACAATAGATATGTTCTTAAAATCTAAAACATATATCCAAAAAGTTAGTAACAGAATTTTTTAAGGGAATGTACAATTTTGTTTATATTAATAATTGTATTATATTTTATTGAATATTTTTTGGTTCGTTTTCGAATAGACGAAGGACGAATGAGGATTTAGTTCCAACAGAAAATCAAGATTAACTATTTAATACTTTTCATTTGTAGTTAGTTTTTTTTTATTTTTATTAAAGTGCTTATAATAGAAAATGCAATTTAAAATTCCCGCTCATCTATGGGTTATAGGGTTTCACTGGTCCATTATCGAAAGCCCAGTTGGCAACGCAATTTTCTTTTCTTACCGGCAGAACCGTTGGTGGTCACACTACTCCTATCCAAATAAATACGTTTAATACGCGTTTTGTAAGTTTATAGAACACAGTTTTGTCACATTTTAAGCTCAATCTTTAAGAATTATTACCTATTTATAGTCTAAATTTTAATCAGAGTTCTTATTAGTTGTAAAAACATAACAAATAATAGGCGGCAACAGGTGGTTTGGTCCCCAGAGGAATACACGTGCTCGAAAACGTGTTGTTTTGTTTACCTTGATAGATTTGAATTGGCTCCAATTAAGCCAAGATGATTCGGAAGGTGCCGCTAATTGTAATCCTGGGCTCCACTGGTACCGGCAAGACAAAACTCTCTTTGGAATTAGCAGAAAGATTTGCAGGGGAGATAATCAGCGCAGATTCCATGCAGGTGTACACCCACCTGGACATCGCCACCGCCAAGGCAACCAAAGAGGAGCAGTCTCGTGCGCGGCACCACTTACTGGACGTAACCACCCCGGCGGAACCCTTTACTGTAACCCACTTCCGAAACGCTGCTCTGCCGATCGTGGAACGGCTGCTCTCCAGGGAAACTCCTCCAATTGTAGTTGGCGGCACAAACTACTACATAGAATCCCTGCTTTGGGATGTGTTGGTGAACTCCGAGGACAATCTGGGTGAAGGCAAACCTTTGTTGGAACACATAAAGGAGTCTGACCTAGATGCCATGTCCACCGTGGAGTTGCATCATCACCTGGCCAAAATCGATTCAGCTAGTGCCAACCGTATACATCCCAACAACCGGCGAAAGATTCTTAGGGCCATTGAAGTCTATCAAGGCACAGGACACACTTTAACTCAGAAATTAGAAGAGCAGCGAGCAAAGCCGGGAGGAAATCGACTTGGTGGACCACTTCGTTATCCGCACATCATCCTCCTGTGGCTGCGTTGTCATCAAGATGTCTTAAATGCCCGCTTGGATTCTCGTGTAGACGGAATGCTAGCACAAGGACTTCTACGTGAGCTACGACAGTTCCACAATACCCACCAGACTACCACTGTAAAGGCCTATACCTCAGGAGTCCTTCAGACCATTGGGTACAAGGAGTTTGTACCCTATCTGCTAAAATATGACCAAGAGCAGGATGGAAAGATAGAGGAGTACCTCAAGAATCATAGCTACAAGTTGCCAAGTCAAGAAGAACTCAAGGAAGAGGGTCTCCCAGACGGTTTGAGTCTTCTCCGCAGCTGTTGCGAAGAGTTAAAGTTAGTCACACGCCGATACTCTAAAAAGCAATTAAAGTGGATCAACAATCGGTTCTTGGCTAGCAAGGATCGTCAGGTGCCAGATTTGTACGAACTGGACACCAGTGATGTGGCTTCATGGTCGGAAACAGTTTATAAGCGAGCAGAGACCATCATTGAGAACTATTGCAACGAGGAGGTTTGCGAGATAATGCCAATGGCCAAGAGAGAGCATCCTGGAGCAGATTTGGACGAAGAGACTAGTCATTTTTGTGGAATATGCGAGAGGCACTTCATAGGGGACTACCAATGGGGACTGCATCTCAAGTCAAACAAACACAAAAAAAGAAAGGACAGTCAACGGAAGAGGGAAAGAGAAGAGGAGATGAAACTATCGACCGATCAACTTCAAGCGAAGAAACATAAGGAGGAGAATGAGGCTCAGCTGCCACCCAGCCAAGTCAATAATACTGATAAGGCATTGTAAAACCAGACACGGCTTGGCAATAAATGAACCTACGTAAATTTAAGTCATTTGTTGTTGTTTTGAATCCCAATCCCACCGATCTGTTGCTGATGCAAGCGGTTTGAGGAGTATCTGATAACCCTACACCTCGCTAATGGGGACCGTAGACCGCAGGGGAGGTCGTTGCCTAGCCAGAAAAGCGAAAACGCGTAAACATGTTTGTGCACTAGGCAACCAGCCCACATTCGCAATCGCCCACTGACTGTTCTCGTTTTTCATTTCAATTTCAGTTGCCCAGCGGTTCAGACGCAATCAGTAGAAAAACAAGACGTCAACCATGAGCTCCAGCAAGATTGGTGAGTCTGGAAGGATAGCTCATAAATAGAGATTAATTAACTATCCACAATCTCTCTTAGCTCTCCTAAGTGTGTCGGACAAGACAGGTCTGCTTGACTTGGGCAAGAGTCTAGTGGCCTTGGGATTCGATTTGGTTGCAAGTGGAGGTACTGCAACCAGTCTACGTGGGGCTGGTCTTAAGGTGAAGGATGTCTCTGAGATCACAGGAGCCCCGGAAATGTTGGGGGGGCGTGTAAAGACCCTACACCCAGCCGTGCATGCTGGCATCCTGTCTCGCACGAGCGACTCTGATCTGGCTGACATGCGCAGGCAGGGATACGATCTCGTCCAATTAGTGGTCTGTAATCTCTACCCCTTCGCTAGTACCATAGCCAAACCGGATGTTACGCTGGCCGATGCAGTGGAAAATATTGATATCGGTGGTGTTACCTTGCTCCGGGCAGCTGCCAAAAATCACCAGAGAGTCACAGTTGTCTGTGAAGCGGTAGACTACGACCGTGTGCTGGCGGAACTCAAGGTTTCGGGAGATACTACTTTGGAGACACGACAATCTCTAGCTCTCAAGGCATTCACCCACACAGCCAGCTACGATGATGCTATTTCGGATTATTTCAGAAAGCAGTACGGATCTGGTGTGTCCCAGTTACCTTTGCGTTATGGTATGAACCCGCACCAGAAGCCGGCCCAGCTTTACACTCAGTTGGCAAAGCTGCCACTTACGGTGCTTAATGCCTCTCCTGGATTCATAAACCTGTGCGATGCCCTCAATGGCTGGCAATTGGTTAGGGAACTAAAGCAAGCCCTACAACTGCCGGCAGCCACCAGTTTCAAGCATGTATCCCCTGCGGGAGCGGCTGTGGGAGTTCCCCTCAACCCAGCCCAAGCCAAGCTCTGCATGGTGGATGATCTGTACGAGCAGCTGACACCCTTGGCAACGGCTTATGCTCGTGCACGTGGTGCCGACCGCATGAGCTCCTTCGGTGACTTTGTTGCGTTGTCTGATGTGTGTGATGTTGTCACCGCCAGGATCATCTCACGAGAGGTGTCGGATGGCATCATTGCAGCAGGCTATGAGCCAGAAGCTCTGGAGATTCTCAAGAAAAAAAAGAATGGCGGATACTGTATTCTGCAGGTAAGATTTATGATTTAAAGCAAACTGATTTCGGAAACTAAATTAAATAATTTGAATTTTAGATGGACCCCAACTACGAACCCTCCCCCGTGGAGCGCAAGACCATTTTCGGACTAACTCTGGAGCAGAAGCGCAACGATGCCGTCATTGGTTCCTCACTCTTTGCGAATGTAGTTAGCAAGCGTGGTCCTCTACCTGAGGCTGCTGTCCGGGATTTGATCGTGGCCACCATCGCTTTGAAGTACACTCAGAGCAACTCGGTGTGCTATGCCCGTGATGGTCAGGTGGTAGGCATCGGTGCTGGCCAACAGTCAAGGATCCACTGCACCCGCTTAGCAGGTGAAAAGGCTGATAATTGGTGGCTTCGTCAGCATCCCAGCGTGGCGGGCATGAAGTTCAAGGCAGGTGTGAAGCGGGCGGAGATCTCCAATGCAATCGACAACTACGTGAACGGCACAGTGGGCAAGGATATGCCTCTATCGCAGTTCGAGGGAATGTAAGGAAGGAGCTAAATCGTATATTTTTCGCCTCTAAAACTATTTTAATATATGTATATAGGTTCGATAAGGCTCCAGCCCAACTCACCAGTGAGCAGAAAGTGGAGTGGCTTAAGGAACTAAACGGTGTGGCTCTAGGATCCGATGCTTTCTTCCCTTTCCGTGACAATATAGATCGTGCTAGTTTGGTAAGTTTTTTATAGTGTTTTTATGGTCCATTTTATATTGATTATGAATTTTTTAGAGTGGTGTCTCCTACATTGCCAGTCCAGCAGGATCTACCAATGATGCTGGTGTCATTGCCGCCTGCGATGAGCACGGTATTATCATGGCCCACACCAATCTGCGATTGTTCCACCATTGAGTACTGTCTTGAGTATACGATTATTTTAGATTTTTGCTTCCAACTAAATCTAAACTTCCCAAGGCAAATATAGCCATTCTGTTGACTTTATGAATGTCTATCGAAAGAAGTTTATAATATGACCTCTCTAATATTAATTCAAAAAGAATCTACATAAAAAGACATTTCAAACAAGAAAGCAATGCACATATCTGCATTATTGCATTGTGCAATCTATTTTTGATAACCTATTTAGTGTTTTAAGAACTTTTATAGATATATACAAAACTTGTTAAACAAACCCCAGCAAACTGCCTTATGTCCATTCCAAGCTCAATAAAAACCACTTGCCTTTAGTTAGTTAAACGAACGCTGCATCGACTAAACACTATTTATTTTAAGAATTAGTTCCTATAGAATGTACAGTTCGGGAGACTGGGCCATCGGTCATCTAAGCTCCTGATCCTGGCCAGCTCCGAGTCGCTGTGTCAGCTTATCGGCTTCTTTGCCTCCGACAGGCACCGCGACAATTGCACAAAAAGACGATGAAGGTGAGGAAGAAGACGAGCACCGATCCCAGAACCAAGGCCACCGATGTGGTCTGGTCATAGCTGGGCGTGGGATCCAGCACGTGCTGCTGGGGCAACAGCTCAAAGTCGACTAGCACTTGGGTGCCGTTGGGCGGCGGGCAGGGCTGCTGCACAATAATCTCCTGGTGCTGCACCTGAAATTTGGATAATAATATAATTTAGATAAAATAATCCATAAAAAATATTTTTAAGGGACACTCACCTGCTTGTTTCGGCACAACTGCAGTCCAGCGGAATTTGATAATGTCTCAGCACTGTATTCATCCTGCACCAGGACAGGCAAAAGCCATCGTTCCGGCGATACAAACTGCAGCCAGGACCAAAACTGGGCCAGGTTTTGGGGATGCACCAAGTAGCCTCCCACCGCCGCTACTGCCAAGCTGATTAGCCCATTAACGATGCTGGCCGAGACCTTGCAGGGCAGCAGGTGAGCACAGAACAGGGCTAGGGTCTGGATCAGCGTTAAGTAGAGTAGCATGTAACCTGCAGATCAAAGAGAGTGTTTACCAGGATTTTCCAATACTGGATAATTTCTGAGATAACTAACCCATGTACAAATATATGCCCGTGTCGCTGCTGTTGGAATAGGTGTAAAGTCCTGCCATGCTGTGAGCAGGAAGCAAATAAGCCAGCCAGATACATAAGCTGGGAAATAGTCCTAGAAGGCTCTGTGGGACAAAGGATGGTGGCTTAAATATGTTTAAAACAATTAACTATAAAATTTCTTTTTACCTGAACTATGATGTAGAGACTGCGTGTATAGAGTCCCAGGCGAATGTCGCGCTCCGCATGCCGGCGATCCTCCTGTGTGTCCCGGATGGTGAGCATAACCAACGGCCAGTACACCAGCACCATTACGCAATGATGGTAGCCCAAGCGATCGTGGTAGCTCAGCTGAGGATCGGAGGCGGGCACATCCCAAAAGATACAACCAATACAGAGGGACAGTACTGCAGCTGCGATGAGTTTGCTGATCCAGGTGAGCAGTGAACCGGGTTGTTTGTATCCGGCAAATCTTTTAATCAAGGCGCTGATTTGGCCAAAGAAGCCGGCCTTCAGGGTGAAGTTCGGCAGTGAGGCGGGCGGGGCAGCTAGTGGTGGCTCCGAGTTAATCTGATCCCAGGCGTTGGCCAATGACTCAATGCGGGCCGAGGACTCCAACATGGCGGCCGCCGAAAGGTCATCCAAGGTGACCAAATCCACTAAAATAAGTGGATAATAATATTATATTGTTATCTAATCTTTAGCCTTTTTAGTAGCTATACTTACAGTAATAATCTGCTGGGTTCTTGAACGGTGGACAAGGATATCCCAGCTCACCCATGTGTCGCGGCAAATCAGCTCTACTGCCGGAGAAGACGGTCCTTCCTCCGGAGAGAAGCAGCACTCCAGAGCACATGGACAGGATCTCGAAGGTAGGCGGCTGAAGCGTCATGATCACGATCCTACCACCACTGCACCACTGACGCAGGTACTCCACCAGGAAGAAGTTGTCAAAGATGTCCATATTGCTGGTCACTTGATCCAGAATCAACAGCGATGATTGCGCCAGCAGCTGACAGGCCACGCTTAAGCGCTGCTTCTCCGAGTGGGTCAGAGTGGACACATTGGAGGCACGGACCGTATTTAAGCCCAGATCTTCGATCAGCACATCCATGCGCTCCTCCAGATCGCTACGATCTAGGGGACCTCGCAATGCGGCATGGAAGTTCAGGGTGCATTGGACACTCATCCGGGGATCCAGTGAGGAGACCTCCAGTGCTGGGACATAGCTGCAGAGTTCTCGAAGTCCCCTGCGGCTCACCTGCTGTCCGTTGATCAGGATCTCACCACCCAGACGTTCACTTAATCCCGCCAAGCACTCTGCCAGGGCACTTCCTTCACGCTGCGAAGTGGCCATGATAGCGAACAGATCTCCGGCCTTGGCCTGCATGGAAACACCGCGAAGGCAGGGATTCACATCGAGGCAGTGTACCTGAATGTTAGGGTAGATTAGGCCCATGCCCGATTGCTTCCGACTGCCTTGGTTGTGACCACTCCCATTTCCGTACTGCCTGGAGCTGCCATACAGCCGAGCCTCGTTGTAGTCATAGCCCAGTCCACCACCACCATCAACCTGGCTCAAACCTGCTCCTAGAAGATCCGCTTCGCTGTGCGACCTATGCCCATAGTGCTTTCCATTGCCCATGTACTGCTGGTGCTGCTGCATCTGGTGGTGGTGTTGACCCACTGCAATGCTAGCCCGGCTGTTCGCCTGTCTCAGTGCAGCCACCGGAACACCACCTCCTCCAATCTGTGCACGCGACTCCGGACGCGAGTGAGGCATGCCGCCAATGGCACGGAAGTCCGACTCGCTGCGATACTTCCGGAGATTGGGCGGTACCCTGCTACGGGTCGTCTCGTTGTCACTGCTATCGTAACCACTGCTCCCAGCACCCGCCGGTGCCCCAGAGCTATCCCTAAAGGCGCGATTCACTCGTCCTCGCACTCCACCCAAGGCACTGGAGCCTCCATGACCTGGTCCTGATCCCGGACCCGGTCCAGGACGATGCGAACGCTGTGATCCGGCATTTGGCGGAAAGACGCGTGGCAGTCCGAACTTTAAGTATGTGTACATATTCGAGCCCAAAGGAGATCTGAAAGGGTGGAGAAGGGTTTGTTTAATAATCATATACATAGGTAACATTTTAAACATAACTTTAAATTTAAATTTATTTATTCTTTAATTCATTATTTTTACCCAAACGTTATGTCTTGATAGACTTTTAGCTTAGTGAAATACTCAAATGCTGAGATCATATTATGGGACTATTAACGCTTGATTATGCTTCTTAATTGTTTATTTAAATAATAAATGACTCACTTGGGTCCGTAGCGCGGATGATTTAAGATTGATTGAACTGTGGTATCGCGTAGCTGGAAGTTTCCATATGGCAGCGGTGATTTGTCCGACGAGCCCAGAGCCGAATCGGTGAAGTCAGAGTTCAGGTTTTGCCTATTAATAGGGGGTATTTGAGGAAGATGGAAAGCGTTACAGAGAGTTGCACTGGGCGGCTGCAGTTGCGGTCAGCTGGACATGATTGGTGGGCTTGGCCATGGCTCTTCAATTTAGCCATTTATGGCATTTGAACTTCCGCCGGCTGCGGTTAAATCAACCGTCAAAACTCCAATCGACAGGTGCGGCTGAAGCCAGTGGTTACCCCCACCTCTACCCGTCCCAGTGACCGCGCCCATGTCTGGATCAACGGGGTTTCCTCCACTTAACCACTCACCTGTAGATGGACCAGGCGTGCAGATCTTCAGATGCTGCCGGTGGCAGCGGTGTATTGGGTCCGTGGGGCACCGAGTAGCGACGCTCCTCGCGTGACATCTTCTTGCCGCTCGAAAAGTTGCTCAGCTCCATGATCTGCTGGAAATACGGATCGGGTTAGAGAGTTCGAGCCAAAATATTAAGCTTATTCCGAGTCAAACTGGGTCAAGAATGCTGCGAGAATGGCTGCGCTATGATTACTCATAATTGGCGGGAATTAGCCTAATGACAATGCCCACACATCCACACGCAGTGTCGAGTTGGAGTCGCAGTCGGATTCGGAATTGGAGTCGCATATATTCACAGGCATTGTCAAGACAAAAGCGGAAATTGTGTCGGATATGAGACGAGGCGAACTTGAGACACCCTAACAAAGAAACATTCGCGTTTCCCTTGGATATTTATTGCTGAATAGGTTAAACAATTCATTTTGATTCGGTTATAATTATTATATTATTTTATTCCGAGTTTATTATATCTTCAGACTAGCCGGATTATGTTGGGACTTATACATATATCTCTTTTCAGAGTCTTAGTCCAAGCAAGTGCACAAGAAACCCAGTCAAGATAATGATACCTAATCCGGTGTTGTCTTTCGGATTTCCAAGTTTGTATCTTGAGGAAATCCAAAATGCCGGCTGGGAGAACAAAGCGCAGCTCATTTGGACACGGCCTCTGGGTTTTTAATTGCCAATGCGGGCTCCCTTTGCCAAAAAAAAACAGAGCAAAAATCCATGCAAATGAACTGCTGTTTGCTCGGCAAACATTATGCAACAAGCGAACGAAAGGCAAACAAACTAATGCAATGCTGTCGCCGGATTTTGTGGACTCCAAATAGATGCAGTGCAGCGAGCCGTGCGGATTTCCGTTATGCCAACCGCAGAGATTACGTAGTCAAGTGTTCTACAAGTGCGGCGAAAGTGAGTGGGCTTAAGATACTCCAACTCCAACTCCAACTCTAACACCAACACCAGCATCAACTCCACATCCAACTTAAAATCGTTATTGCAAGCTCCACTAGGCATTCGCCGAAAGTGGAGCTGGGGTTTCCAATTGAGATTGGGGGGCGGTGCCCAGAAGAAGAAAGCTCGGCGCCTGGATTACGGCATTCCATACCGCAAAATGCTTTCGCTCATCTACCATTGCAGAGATTACTATAAGATATAGTAAAACACTCTTACCACGGAACTCGGACGGTGTATTAACACTTTTAATAGCGTGTTAAATTCGTTTTAATTAAAATCACTTGTGCCATAATCGCATAAACGGATTTTCCTCGCAGTTCAACGCATTTTACTTGATTTTGTTTGTCTGCCAGCGTTTTTGTTTATTATTATCATTTCTTTCCCCCGAACAATTATTTCCCTCTGATGTGTTATTTTTCTCTTAGCTGTAACCGTTTTTGTTTTTTTTTTTTTGCCGGGGCCTTTTGGCCACCACTTGGCACCAAGTGAAAGTGGAAGTCAGGGAAGGTGGTTTTAATACCCGCCAGAGAGCCTGATACAGTTCACCCAGCCAGTTCAGGCATCCCATCACCCGTGGCAGGCTACCTACACACAGAGCTGCAGTTGCAGAAGCTGGTACTTAGCATATGCACTAAAAAATATTTCCCAAAGGAATTTATAGCCTAAATAAAATGAGCGTAATGTAATTTATGACTTACTTTTACTTTTCTTAGTAGCTGATAAAGTGGAATGCTATAGAGGTATTTTGACGGTTAACTTAGGTGTTTTGAATAGTGGAAGTAAATCTTTTGTCTAAAATAAATAACTTTAACATTTATCCTTTAAAAAATATTGACTTTAAATTTGAAATCCACTTTAATTTTTGGTGGTAGTTTTGTTCAGTGTACATACACTAAAAACTGGGCAGTCTATATGGGCCGAAGAAAGAGATGTGCGGCATCTAAAGCGTCGCTTTGTTGTGCTGCCTGTAATGAATGAATGGTATTGGGGGCAATGATACGGCTGCGACCACGACAGCGGCATTGATTTATGTGATCACGATGTTCCGTTGACGTCGGAGCCGATATCTAAGTATCTGGCAGTACGCGTATCTGTATCTATCCATTGTTCGCACAAGTGCGTGAAGTAAAAAATGTTTGCGAATGGCAGCTTAAAACCCACAACTGACAGCGGAGGAAAGTGAAAAAATGATTAAAGGCGCTTTTAGTTTTCAGCTAAAGTCTCACACTAGCGTTTTAAGCTATCAAAAAACAAGCTCATTAGATTGAATGGCTTTGTTAAAAAAAATAGCCACTGATTGATTCAATTGTTGCCTTAAATGACTCAAGAGTTTCGAAAGTATATTATGTACAGTGGGATCTTGAAGTATTTTTGTTTAAATTTTTAGAGATTTAGTACAAGATAGTTTACTAAGCTGTTAAGCACGTTCTGGAATTTATCAAAACTCCATGTTGACATGTTTTCAAATTAAAAAGATAAAATAAAAGATAAATTTGGAAAGGCAATTAAACTAAAATGATCATTAATAAGAAACTCTGTATGTGTTCTACTTTTTCACAGCTAAACCAAAAAAAAGATTTATCTATCTTTAATAAAAATATGATTGTTTTTTCCCATGATTGCCTGTAAATGTGGGTTATTGTTTTTCTTAAACTCTTGGGTGGCATTCCTCAACTATCTATCCATAAGCCAAGCCTTAGCTGACTTTATCAGATTGCGGTTCTCGAATATCTGAGCTTGCAACACGGAAAACTGGATGCAGCTGTGGCCAAAATCCAGACAAATTTCCGCTGCAGTTACAGCTGCAGCCTGGCCGGAATTATATCATAGTCTTGATTAGCTTATGGCTTATAGCTTGTGGCCAAGTGGGTCACTCGATCGTTGCATGATCGGTCAGATCGGACACAGAAACTAAAGCCGAAGTTAGCGGATATTTGCCTGTCAACGAGGACGCCAGCTGCTGGTGTGAATAAATCACAATGCTCTAAGTAATTGGCCAACGGTTATTGGCAATAGCTTAGCAGGCCATTCAACGATTAGGCCAATTGGCAGCAAGTTGTCGCTTGACTTGGCCAATATGTTGCATATGCAGACGATATGAAGTACCGTTGCTGTCATTCTGCATTCCCGTTGGCCAAGAAGTCAAGAAGCCAGCGATGCAACATGCGTCAGTTGACAAGTCGAGAACCGTTTGCCGGAGGAGTTGCAGTTGCAGTTGCACTCACATGACCATTGATGCAAAACTCCAGTTAGACACGAGCTTCGACGACCACGACCACGACGACACTGGTTCCTACTCCGGTTTTTCGGTCACTGATCGCCCGGCTTGTGCGCACATTTTATGATTTAATGGAGCGCGCCCAAGTGGCTTTCAAGTGGTCCCGGCCATAACAATTTGTTGCTCTCTCTCTTGAATGGATTTAACTGGCTCTTGTGGGCTGTTTGGTACTTGAAAGATGTGTGTGATTGGTCTGCAAACGAGACCTGACCTGCGGTTCAGCCCGGTTGGATCCATCCATTTCCATTCCCACGCAAAAGCCAATTAAATTGGGTTTCTGGGCTCGCCGTTCCACTGCCCAAAACTGGTTCCCTGGACATGTCAGGTGGGTCAGCCTCACTCCCAAATCAAAAGCTGGCCTCTGATTGCAGCTGACATACTGACTGAATGACTAAATGACTAACTGACGGACTGGGAAAACCACCACTTGCCAACAAAGATCTCGCTGAGAAAGTGAAACTCTTGTGGCATAATTTGTATCTGCTGCCTCAGCACACGGGGCGTATGATAAATGCCTACAAAATATTTTGCGACTGCTTCAAAGTGGGTCACAGTTGCAGTTTTGTAATTTGTGATTAATAAAACAAAGGAAACTGCATACACACAACGAAGCTTGAATGCACTAAAAGTCATAAAGATTTTATTTAACTGGGAAAAGACATGTTGATGTGCGAAGACAAAAGCTTAAATTCATACATTATAGGGTCAAATGGCAGAAGAATTCACTTTCAATTATTGAAATTAAGATTTTTAGAAAGTTACAAACATTTTCTTTTTAAATATTTAATTGAGTGTCTAGATTATAAAAACCTCCATCAAATATACAGTTAATTGCTGTTAATTGATCTTCCTTACTTCTTCTAAGATCAAAATTTCTCTTAAACAAATAGCTTGTACTGAAAGCTCTCCAATTTTCTTAGGAACAAGATTTGATGATCTTTTTTAAGATAAAAGCAAAGTGCCATAAAGATGCGAAATCCTGATTATAAGTGAGGTTTTCCCTTAAATAATCATTTAATGTCTTCGTGACTCATTAAGTAAGCACACAAAATTCTTAAAGAAACCGCAGAATACGAAGTCACTAATGTGTTAAGCAGAAACCTGAATGGGATCACGTATGCTGATAAATTTAGACAAATTCGCATCGCCAAAGTTGGAATACCCTTCTGAGGAGCAGCTAACAGAAATATGCATTTCGAAGGAGGGGCGGGGCTGGGCAAAAGGGGCGGCAAAAGAGAGACGAACGCTGACTAATGCTATTGCCAGATGCAAATTAATAATAAACAAATTAAATGATCGCCAGCCCGTGGCCAACATTCCTCGCTCCATTCCGACGACAAAGCGGTTTGTTGAACTTGCTCGTCGTCCGGTTTGAAAAGATGAAATTTTTTGTGATTATGCCTCGGGAGGAAAGGCATTCGAGACGTTTTTTGTGAGTGTTGTCTTGTGTGTGTGTGTGTTAATTGAACACTCGGGTTCCAGAGATTTTGGTTCGGGTTTTTGTTTGATTTTTAGCACGTTTTTTTGTGCCGAATCGTTGTCGCTGGCTGGCTGGCTAGCTGACCGGCAAAAGCTAGTATGCAAATTGCTGGCCACGTTGTGCGATTGATGCTCACGCTTTCCACAGAGGTACAAAAAATCTGAGTATATGTTATACCCACTGGCCTCCATGGCGGATGAGCGACAGTCAGTCAAAAAGACAAGCACGCAGCGAGGAAATCTTCAAGCTGCCACAGCTTTACGGCTTGTGAAAGTTTCGAATGCGTAAATTGATTATGAGTGGGTAAACGTCGACGAAACACGAGCAGAGATGGGTTCAGGCCCAGCAGGTGAATGGTTGCACGGCGAGAAAAAGTGGTTTCGATATGGATGTTTAAACAAGTTTGGCATACAAAAGGTTTAGATTTAAATAATCTATATTTGTTTGTTTGTTTTCTAAAGTCTTATTCGTTTTAAGGGTGTTTATATTAGTTATCAGTTTCCTAGTGAGAAGCTCGACATTTTCCTTTTATTGATATCTGTGGAATGACAACTTTCGATGCGTCAGCTCAAAGATATTTCCAAGCAACCAAGCTATTGATTGATTTTACAATCTCTAAATAATGACAGTAAAACTTGCGAGAACAAGAGGGCAAGAATGATTAATAAAATACTGACTAATGAGAATCTAAAGCCGTTCAATCTGACACAATTTGTGAGGCAGTCGCAGCTAATGAATCTGGCCCACAAATTGCCATCAAATTGGGCAATATCCGAGGCAGGGGCATAACCAGAAATGAGTTAACCAACGAGCTGGCAGAAATGCGAGCACAAGAATTCCGCTGACGTCGCTCTGACTGTGACCCCAAAAAGTAGAGCTAATGTCATGCCGTCAACGAATATTCGTCATGGCTGCATAGCCCCTACCACCGAAAAACCATCGTCGAAACCGCCGTGGTGGTCTCATTTCAGTTTATTTCAACGGATCAGCTTTCGGTTTCCAGCGCTTCAGCGTTCAGTTTTCGCTTTGTGTGGTTAGAAAACTCAGGCAAGGTCAGTTTTATTAATTGCCCAAACGGAATACGAAACTTTGCCTTAGTTTCGGGCATCTTTACAGGCAATTAACGCCGGAGCACAAAACCAAAACAAATCCCCCACTTTAACGGAGTTTAAAACAAAACACTTTCCTGTTTTGCAACCGACTTGTGAAAGTGGCCAACAATTGTGGGTAAAATTTGCATGCAAAAGCCAATCCAGCCGCTCCCACCGCTCCCCATTCGCCTTCACAAAAAACACGTGTGCCACCAAACTAATTGACATAAATTCCATGACAAACCAAACGAAAACAGAAAAATGGCAATTTTTCCCTGCGTTGCCATTGCATGCTTATAAAAATGCGACAGACAGGCGTATTTGGCCAAATTCCCGAACACACCCAGAGACCCAAAGACACGGACCGACCTGGTATTAGGCGCCAATCCCACACTAAAAAAAAATGATGGCTATAAAATATAAAATCCGAAGTCTTAAAGAAATTTCTCTTCAACGTCTAACAAAAGTGGGAAGCTTATAATAAACAAATTACACGCCAAATCGCTCTTGATTATGATTAAATTTTTGTCAATTTCAGGTTTCTATCTTTGTATGTTTAAACTTTGTTTAAGAGTTAACTGACGTTGAGAAACATTAAACAGTTTTAAGGAATATAATCAATTCTAGCCTCATCAAAACAGTGATCAATAATCAAAAAGAGTTATTTTTTTGATAACAAAACTTAAAAATAAGAAGACTTCATGTTTATAGCCATTTTCCTTGTGAGATATGCGGCGGCTAAGTGTGTGACATGGATTTTAAGAGCGATTTATTCGGCTCACGTCGGCGGAATATCCATGTCAAATCAAAGAAGGCCTCACCTGCGTCTGCAGCTCCGACTATTCTGATTCTATGTCAGAGGTAGGGGCATGTCTGGAAGCATGTCTGTGAACTTGGAGTGAAATTAAGTGAAGTTCTTTTTTTACGGCCATAAAAGTCACGAAGTGTGTGTAGGAGCGGCTGCTGAAATGTACTTTCTTCGCCTAATTATGCAGCTGTTCTGCTTCTGCTGCTGCGGCTTCTTCTTTTTTCTTCTTTTTTTCAGATATGCTGTGTTAATTTAATTACAATAAAAAGTAAATTAACTTGCTGTGGCCCCGTAGCGTATCTATCAATGGTTACAATTTTCATGGTCGCAGCTTTTAATGGGCCCGCAGTTGGACGGAGAGAGATTGCCTATGCAAGTGGGGAATTTCGAATTTGCATTTCCTGCTCGTTGAGTTTTCACTTTGCCAGCGGCTAAGGGTCTTAGCCGTAGACTCATCATCATTCCATTGGCCAGCCGCTGACTTCATCCAGTCGGAGATCATTAAATGCAATGATTCATGCGTCTCGGAATAACCAGAGACCAAGTTCAATTGAAAACATATCTACAGATATATGGAGGGTCTAAAACTGAGAGACCGAGAGAACGAGAACAAGTTTTGGCCAACAAGATGCAGCCACACCTATGGAGAACCAATCGAAAATAGCGCCTAGACCCAAGACAAAGACCAGATACCAGATTCCAGATACCACCACCACCACCCCACTCCAGTTCCGAACTCACCACAAAGCCATAACTGACAATCAATTCAACTTAAGCTGGCTTTTTGCCGCGCCTTGGTCTTTTTGTCTAGACTCCGCGTTGCTGTCTTAAGTCTTTTGATTTTGTTTTCTGTTTCTTACTTTTTCTCTGTAGTTTTGTTTTCTTTTGAACTGGAATTGAAATTGTCGAAATTGAATTACGATCTTGTCACTGCCGGTTGGCCCGCTTCAAAACTTTTTTTTTCTTCTTCTAAACTTTACAAGTTTTTTTCCCCTTTTTGGGGACCCAAACAGCAGCCACAAATCATCGAGCCCCGTTAGCAGCTATAATAATACTGTTAACTAATTTACGCCACAATGAAAGCAAAAAACAACAATGGGAAAATCAAGAAAAACAATCTAGCAAGTCAGCGCGAAGAACCAGAAATCATTTTTGGACTTTTTCAATGAGCTTGGCCATGGCTTTAACAGCATTCTAACGGTCCAACCAACATGACATGGCTAATTAGGTGCGAGAATCTATGAAATGGTAGCCAAACGGAGGCTGAGAATTTGCATTTGCAAAGGGCCAAAAGCATTAAGTTGACAGTGATCTGCATTTGGGGGGGTCATGAGAATGGTGCTAAAACTAAAATATCTCCATTAGCCCACGGCTCATTTTCAACTCGAGAAATAAAGTTTCGCGGCACGAAATTTTGAAAGTGATTGTGAGCGCAGATTGGCAGCTGCATCGAAATTGCAAAATGAATGTGAAAGTTGCTTAGCCGCGTGGTTATTCTTTATGGGTCGATATATGAAGAGTACACTCTGGAATAAAATATTTATATGTACTCGTATAAAAGTCTTGTACCTGCTATGGCTTTCACATCTTGTTTGGCATTAAAACAAAAAAATAACGTGTCTTTATTGAATTGAATTAAGGAAGATAAAAAAGCGGTTATAGATTATAATGGCTTTTCTTTAGAATCCAGAAAACTATCTTTAGTAATATATAATAAAGTTCCCTGACGATATCTTTAATTTGAATTGCATAAAACCTTCTCAAGTTTTTCTACCGTCATTATAAAAACAAGAGCTGTTGGAGTTTTGCATAAATAAAGGCCCATAAACTGTGCAAACATTTCTAAGGGCACATAAAAATATATTTACGTAGTTAAACTATAAACATAAAAACAAATAATGACGATAGAGCTCTTTGGCCAGCATAAGGCGGTTTTTTTACGAGGAAAAAGACGATGCTGGCATCTGCGGGTAAAGCAAACTCCAAACGATCCCCGGAGAGCCAAGAACCCAGCTCCGCAAAGGCAATGGCAAAGGCAGCCGGCCAAACAAACAAACAAACTGAAACTTGTATCTGTGAGATACACACTAGCACACCGAAAGAAAATAGATGATCTACTTTATGATTTTATATATTAATATGGAACTGATATCACCATTTGAAAATGGTAAGAAAAAAACATGTCCTATAGATATTTACGGCTTTAATTCAAAGTCAAACTTTGTGTACCTTCTTAGATTGTAGAAAATATCTTAGACTGGTGATTATTTATTTTAGAAGCTTATTTCGGTTTATTATCGAGTTGGTTTTTTCCCTGTGCAGCGGAGCAGTGAGCTGCAGAGAAAATAAAAGACAAGACAAACCGCGCAGCAGGCACTTGGCCGTTTGTGCGACTCCGGCTTTGGCTGGGCACTTGGGTTCTGGTTTTGGCTTCGACTTAGACTTCCACTTCGACTACCACTTCGGCTTCAGTTTGGCTTGGTTCTGCAGGGCGCTGAGCGCAGAGCGCAGACGGAGCGGCCAAGAAGTGCTGGCAATGGTGGAGTGGATAGGCTAAGATACATTTGCTAGACAAAACCCGCTCGCGGGATCTTTGACCTGCGATGGTGACGACCGCGCGAGCAGAACAGAACAGAACAGAACAGAACATGGTGGGGTATGAGTAGTAGAAGAAGAAGGAGAAGCAGAAGGTATACCCAGAGAAGAATAACGTGGATGTGGATACTACTCGTCGGTTTCATTTGTTTCGAGGTGGCAAGTGCTGGTCGCTTGGGCTGTCCGTTGCCTTAATACAATTAACAGTAAATACCAGTTGGCCAGTTGGACTCTAATTAGCCACACGGCGACACTCATTCATGACTTGGTTACTTTTGTATCGGGAACACTTACATTACAATGTCGATCTGCTGGCTACACCGATGTCTGCATATTTCATATATAGACCATATAGACACACAGACACTGGCACGGCACAAGCACACTCACACACAAGTCACTTGTATTTTTTGCCACTTTTTATTTTGTATTTTTTCGTTGGTATCTATTGGTTATTCCGCGAGTCAACAAATAAACACATTTGCATGCACTTCCCGGTGGCCATTAAAATATATTTGCCTTTTGCACAAGTATATATACTTTTTTTTTGCCCGTTAAGCCGTAAACATTTCAATTAGATTTCCATAAGCGTTGAATGTTTTTCTTTTGTGTTATATTCTGCTGGGAATTATGTGTTGAGGCGCCGCCAGAAAGAAAAAAATCGATCAACGCGAACCGCGGATCGGTGGACGCAACTCTCTCGGAGCTCGGCTCGCAGCGAACTGATCTGAACTTGGCCTCGGCCGCCATCTTAGCCCGCTTGCTTTCGGCTGGAAGTGCTGGCCCGGAGAGCGCAGATTTCCAGCCGGAGCGGACCAGGCCAATTGGAATGGCCTTTGCGGTCGAGCAACAGTTTCAGTTCAGTTGGAACAGCGCGCTCAGTTGGTTTAGACGTGTTCACGGAGGTTAGTGGTGTTAAATAAATTTTTGTTGATCGCTTAAGAAGTTAGCTATGAAATATTAAAGTTGTAGAAAAATATTCTAAAAATTACTGCAAAAATGCATCTTATTGTAAAGTTTTTAAATTTTTATTTTAAAAGTTTCTTCAGTTTTAACCAAATACCGTTATTATGTATTGGTATATAAAAACCTCTCTGTTATGTCTTCTCTCCATTTCTTACTCTCCCTGGAAAATATCTCTTTTAAAATTTTCTAACATATTTTTAAAATATCAAAGTTCATAAAAAATATATACAAAATATTTCTATTCTTAGTTTAATAACTTCATATTTCGTATTAAAAGTTGTTTTATCTTTTACCAAGTTTTGAACGCTGGAAATATAATGAGTTCTCTTAATAATCCTCTCTATATTCTCTTCCCTCTATCTCGAAATCAGCTCTTACAAAAGCCACTCTTGGTCCACGAAAAGAGCGTTAAGCCAAAAGGGCAGAGAGAGAGAGAAATATAAACAAACAAAAGCAGCTCTCCCAGTGGTGGCTATGAAAATGATCGGCAGCGATTACGTACTGGAAGCCCATAACATTTTCCATACCACCGAGGTAGGTTCTCTTCAGACTCGTGGAAAACTCCCTCTCATGCATAAAAAACTTCTTTGTTTTCTTTTGGTTTCAACAACAGGTGGATGGTGGTGGCTGTTTTAATGGAGCCGGCAACTCGGCCCTGGTGCTCAAAGGCGTCAATCTCACAGTGCACAGCGGCGAGGTTATGGCCATTCTGGGTTCGAAAGGTATTTACAAAAATAGATATTTCCAAATCAATAAAATAAATCATTGTTGATGTTTAGGTAGTGGTAAGAGGGCTCTTCTAGACGTCATTTCTAGGCGTGCTGATGGAGCTACTCGCGGTCAGGTGCTGCTCAATGGATCCCCTCTCTCAAAGGCACTTTTCCAACAGCGATGCGGCTATGTCACCCAGTCCTGCACCTTTGTTCCCGGCCTAACAGTGGCCCAGACTCTTCACTACACTCCCACCATAGTGAGTAGTACTCTATAATATATTATATTAGAAGCCATAAACAAGCTTTTAAGATGATATCTGATAATCATACATAGAACTCCACATTCCTTAAAAGGCTTCTTGAAAAGGTCTTCGATCAGAGAGCCAGATTTTCTTAAAAAATTGATGTTTTAATAATCGGTTTATAAATTATATATATCAGCAAGTTCTAATCTTGAATGTTAAGTTCTGATTGCTTTTCAATCTCCCCAAAAAGGTCATTGAAACAAATATGGAGACTCTTAAAAGCATATAAGGTGGTACTTGTATTGTTCTTATTAAAAATGCGGTAACTGCGTATGAGTTATTGAGATAGAATTCGAATAAATAATATACAGTGGGATAATAAGTAATTCCTTTGCAGTTAAGTGGCTATCTGAAGAGTTCCAAGGTGCGACAAGTGCTGGCGGATCTGGCCCTATCACAAGTGGCTCACAAGAGAGTGGAATACCTTAACATCAGCGAGGCAAGACGTCTGGCCATTGGAATACAATTGGTCAGAGATCCAGGTTAGATACCCAAATATCAAAAGTAAGTTCTTTTATAATAAATCTGGAATTTTAGTCATGCTATTGTTGGATGAACCGACGCATGGCCTGGATCCCTTGAGTGCCTATCTGCTGATATCAATTTTGTCCAACACTGCCAAGAAGACCGGCTGTGGCATTCTTCTTTCCCTGGAGAAGCCACGCTCCGATGTGTTTCCATTCTTGGATCGTGCACTGTTCCTCTGCCTAGGTGGAGTGGTGTATTCCGGTGGTACTCGTGCCATGCTAGAGTACTTCCATGGCATTGGCTTTCCCTGTCCACAGCTGGAAAATCCTTTAATGTACTATCTCTGCCTGTCCACGGTGGATCGTCGGAGTCGCGATCGATTCTTGGAGTCCAGCCAGCAGATTGAGGCGTTGGTGGAGCGCTTCTCTCGCGAAACTCCCATCTCGGATGCCCCTCTGAATAACATGGGATCAGGCAAGGTGCCTTTGGCTTATGGGAAACCAGGTGAACTTAAAGTTTGGGTTATGTTGTATTTGTAAGTATTTATTGTGTTAGTTTTTGTAATTTAAAAATGAAGTAATTATTATTTCTTTTATTTTAAGGAAACTACTGGCATCAACCTTCTCGTGTGGTCTCGTGGGCATGAAGACGCTTTTCCTCCGCATGTTATTACTTCCTTTGGCTTTGAGCATCCTTTGGGCGTTCTACACAGATCTCGGGGTAAGTCAATGATATATGTAAAATGACTATAAATGTTAAACTCATGGTGATATTCCAGGACGATGCACATGGATTCTTTACCAAAAACGGCATGATCCTTAATATTTTAGGCTTGTCTTACGGCTGCGGAATCTTGACCACCATATCCCTATGTGAGTAGTGGCTTTAACTGTCAAGGTTCCCTTTATAGCTTCTAGTGACTAACTTTCAGTTCCCATTTGGCGCAAGAAGTTCTCGCAGGACACACCAGAGGGCCTATATTCGGGGACCACTTTACTGATTGCCTACAACTCCGTGTCCATACCATTCTCCGCCGTATCCGCAGTAATCGCTAGCTGTGTTCTTTATCCGTAAGTTCTTGGGCCTCGGAAAATGGTTTGATAACTAAGTTTGCTATTTGTTTCAGTCTTCTCTTGGATGTGAAGTATAATAATGGCATAGTCTTCGCCTATTTGCTGGTGGCTCTTTGGTCTAGTTTTGTACTTGCCGAGCAACTTACGATTGCCTTCCTTTTGGTGGTCAAGGTTCCCTTCAATGCAGCTATTGCAGTGACCTATGTGCTGGTGATTAGTATTGCATTGGCCAGTGGAACTGTGCGGTGAGTTAAAGGTCTCTATTAAGAATATATATTAAGAATATTATTAAGAATATATATTTACTTATTTGCTATTCAAAATCGTATCTACATTCAGCTCCTTCAAAGGCCTCCAACCTTGGCTGCAAGACAACACCAAGGGCACCCACACTCGCTATGCATCCTCCTTGCTGCATAGCATCGCCTTCCAGTCCCGGAAGCTTAATTGCACTCCAACAGCTTCCGTGATCTGTCCCAAGCCAGCTGACTTCATGCACGAGCGACTGGGATTGCCGGATCCAGATGTAAGTAGAATGATGATATAATAATTTATTAGGTTAAAATTATAATTAATGTTAACTGCAATAGGAAACCATCGATGTGGCCGCCTCTTGCGCATTTGCCGTGGGCTTAGCCGCCTTCAATATGTTGGTCTACTTATTTCCCATGCCAAGATGCGTTCGACAGAAGTTCAAGGACTGAAGATCACTAATATATATGTTTCTTCTAGAGTTTAGATTAATTTAATAAAAAACTTCTCAAATTATATACTTAAATATACTCCGTTTTGTTTTTAAAATAACTAAGTAGATAAAGTAACCTTAAGTAGGCTACAAATTGTTGCACGTTTTGCATGTGAATGTTTGTTTTTCATTTTATTTTTTTGCGCTGCTGTTGCCGAGTTTTTTGTTGATAAATTAAACAAAAGGCGGGTTTTGAAATTAGATGCCAACAAAACCAACGACGACTGCGAAGTGACTTTCTTTGGTTTCAAAGTCGGACTTGGACTCGTGGAGGAGGTGGTGTTAATTATATGCGCACACCGAGGGATATACTTACATATATTTGGACAATTTCTGGCTGTAATGGCATCAAGCTAAAATCGAGTGGATTTCAGATTTTGCAGAGGTTATGGGTATGTGTGTATGTCTGTGGACAGTCACAGAATGCCAAATCGCAACGGGCCAAAGTCTCGCCGTGAAGTCTGTTTCTGTTCCTGATTGCCTGCCATTCTCGACTTGCCACTATTTTTGATTTTGCAACGCACAGGAGCTAAGCACGTCATGTATACGCCATGGTCGCCGAAAACACCCATGTCACTGGTAAGCCGGCAAGAACAAACGCTTATGTCACCGGTCGCATCACGAAAGACTCGAAACGTGTTGCAACAGCTTTGCCCCCTAGATATGTACGCGGGCGAGCTAGACTTCCATTGCAAACTGACTTTGACTTAGTTCTCAACTCTCGACTCCCTAAATGTAAACGATTGTCAACCACGTAAGAGTAGCAACAATCGTGCTGTCCGCCTGCCTTTGTCTCCATTCCTAGTCACCTCCAATCTCCTAAGTTTCCTGTTTTTTCCCTTTTTTTACGCGTGAAAAACACTTTCACACTGGGAAAAACATGGAACTACAGGAAGTTATACACAGGAAGTTACACATCTATATTTGCAAATGACGCAACATAATACTCATATTAACACAATGTGCGGCAAATTGATCACGTTTACTTAAGGGCGAAAGAATGCACTTTGTGAAAGTTGTTTTAAGCGAGTTATAAACAATTACCACACACTAATTAAACATTAGTAAAAGATAATTTTCCCTAAGAAATTCAAAATTCCCGCCTATTTCGAATGTCAACGTTGCTGTGTGAATTTACCATTTCAAAGATTAACCAACACTGTTCGCACAGCTGTTAGTGTTGCCACCTCTCCTCTAATCAGCTGTTGTACCTCAGCAACAAATTATTATTTTTTTTGTTTTTCCTATTAGAACGTGCAAACTTTACCTCAAACAAAGGAACTTATTAATAAATAGTGCAATTTTTCAGGGAATACGGTGAAATGTTAGGATATTTCTTAAAGAAATCGAAAATTGTCGAAACCCGTGGGTTTTTTGTGTGTTTGTTGTTTTGTTCTGTTGCCTAGCAACAAAAAAAGCCCAAAACACTAGCCATTTCCTTCCGGTCCCGTTACTACGTCGTAATCCAGTTGGAAAACCCAAGGATTAACGGAAAACCCAACTTAAAAGGGGATCATCCAAGCAACTCCGCCAAGAAAAAAGTTGAACAACATGGAAAGAGCTTTTTGAAAACCGAAAATATATTAAAGATTCGAGTTCCAGGAGCCAGGCTCACTAGTCATTATGGTAAGTTCTAGATTCTAGTACATATATTAGGATTTACATATATACAAAGACCTACTTATTATCAAACCCTATAAAAAATGAAGGCAGAAAAAATAAAGAAGAAAAACTTTTTTCCAACAAATCAAAAGATCAAAAGCCGGCAAAGTTTTCTCATTTTCAGCCAACGAATTTTCATTGAACGAGAAAATGAGAAAATTACCCAACCAGCAAGGTAGTCAGCGGTTTTTCCGCATTTTCATTTGCGCGTTTTCCCATTTAGAGACAATTAAGTCGAGTCCTCCTGGCGGTCGAGGCATCCCAATTTCTATCCTATCCCAAAGAAAACCGAAAGCAACCAGCCAGCAACCCCTCCTCCATTCCCTTGATCTTGCACCCTGCACTCCTCATCCCTAACCTAGATCCTGAAACCGTCCCCCCACCCTCGAAGGACTTCTCCATCCATGATGTATATCCATATGGAGTGTGCCATGGCCGGTTGCACATTACAACGGGTCCTGGCGCCAGGTGTAAGACCAGGAATCCACCGACTCCTGGTACACTCGAAGAAATTTAGTTTGGTATTTTCAAAATATTAACCTTTAAACCTTTCTTAAACGTCAATAATCAAACATTTTTATATATTTAAAAAAATAAATTTCCGTAGTTTTTTACTTAAAGAATTTCTTTTAGAAATTAACTTTTGAAAAACTTAAAAAATTACCAACTTTAAACCTAATTACCAATTTTCCCCCAAAAATTTAGAGAAGTGCAAAGACCAAACTCCAACCGCCTGTACACTTCCGCTTTGCTGCCTCGCCACTCGTCCTGCTTCACTGCCTCCGTCTTCGTCCCCGGAAAGTGATGGTGTGGGATTTGATAGAGAATAGGCAGGGAAAGGGACGCAACGCGGTCGTGGTCGAAGAGGGCGGGGCAGGACGCATGCCACACGCCCAGCAAGCGAGTGCCACATTACATTCATCATCTTCATTTGATGAGGAGTGTCCTTTCTAATGAATGTCAATGTCAATTTGTCCATCGGTTCTAAACGAAACTGAAATGGCAACAAAAATACTGAAAATGTAGAAAATGCATTTTTTTCCAATGAATTCCACTAGTCCGTATCTTTTTTGTATTAAAAATGTTCATAAAAAATAGCCCATGGGTATGACTAGTTTTGAGTTTCCAATTAGTAGAGGAACAATGAATGATGTTTTTGAAAACATTTTCCTCGGTTACCTGTTATTTTTAGATCAAGTTTCATAGTGGTATAGGGGGTAATACGTGATTGAAAAGATAATAGATTTTAAAGCAAGGTTAAGGATTTTATAGCTGAAAATTTGTACTAAGTTATTGCTTAAACCATGTACCTAAACTTTCAAGAACTAAACTTGAGAGAGGAAACTTATTTTTCAATCATTCAAACATCTACTTAAGGTTACTATCAAAGCTAGTTTATTTTGTTAATCAGAATTACAAAAAATTGAACTTTTTTAATGCACAAATTGATCTGTACTTCTATCTTAGCATTTATAAACGTTATTCTAAAGATTATAAGCAATTCCTTCAAGAATGTTTAAAAATCATCCTGACAAAATGTCCTAATAAACATGTCCAATGCCCACATCAACCATCTGTGAGGTGCATTACACATCTGCACCACCTAAATTGGTGTCCTGTTCTCAACACATGTTTCGCTATCCTTTCTGTACTATCTATACAATCTATCCTGTCTATGCGACGTATCCTACCTGCCACAGCCATTAGGTGAATATGAATATTAGGCATGAAAGCGTCACGCTGTCTGAGCTTCTGTATTTTGTATTTGGCGTTTAGTATTTGGCATACCCCACTCTCATCCCTTGAGCTCGAGGACTTGGAAATTGTCCCTATAACAACGCAGCTGCCGACGGAGAAAGATTAGGGGTAGGTGGTGCTGGTGGTGGACATTCAAAAAAGGGTCAATGCCATGCTCTGGCCAAAAGTGCAGCACCCACACCCGCTTTTTCGTCCTCCGCCCTTTATTGTGTATATTTACCTGCCAGTTTTTAGCTGAACATGTGGTATTGCAAGTAATTCTACAGTCAGTTATCTAAAAGAAGACTTTTGGTTAAAAAATAAATGTTTATTAAAAATACATACCAATATAACATTAACCTTACTAAGATTTCCAAGATTCTTCACTAAAAAAGTGATAAATCAACCAAGAAGCATGTTACAAATATTAATTTGCACATTTTAGACTCTGTCTAATATGAAGCTATATAAGCTAATATAAAAGATTCACATTATAATCTTACATTGTTAATATTCTAAAATAAGGTTAGTTTACATTAATTTAGTAGTGAGCAAGCAGGAATTGAATATTTTTTATTCAGTCAAAAGAAAACTTTTGGGAGTCTTTTCAAGAAAATGTTAAAAATTAGTTAGTTATTTCTTTACTTTTAATGCCAGTTTTAATTGGTATACATATATATAAATAAATAATCAGAATCTAGCATAGGGAGTTCTTACTGTATTCGTTGGTTTATCACACACTATATTATGCATTCAATTTCAAATTCAAATGCCATTCAAATAAGTTTCCATCTCGCTCTGCCAACAGCAATTTTACGGCAGCAGCAACACCAAAAAAAAAAAAAGAACAACATCAGCAGAAGTACCAAGTGCATTTTGACCAATTCCAATTCCCTATTACCAAACTATCAACCCCTTTTGGCCATTGTCATTGCCAGAGTGTTGGTAGTTTTCAGTTTGTGTTTTCCGTTAGTGCTGCTCTTGGGCAAAGACTTTTCCCCGCCGTAGTTGCATATTCACGCTCGAGGTAAACACACCGCAGCAGCAATAACTATAGCAGCCACCAGATATCTATATCTATATCTATATATATACACGGTAATTTCCCAATCCTATAGGAAAGAAAATCCTACGAGAGAACTACAAAGACCAGAAGCAAGCGTGAATAATATCCCGAAAAAAGAAGTTATTTGATCAATAATTTGGCGTTGCGCGTCCTTAGTGATTTATTCGCGGTTGTGTGTGTATCGGTGTGTGGGTGGACTGTACAGGTGTACTATAGAGGTGTACACCTGCGAAGTAGTGGTTATAGTGTGGGTGTCGTGACTGGGAAAACTTCCCCTAGAAAGCCAGTGAGCTGCACTTTTCACGCGTCAAAATTTATGAGCTCGCCAAGCGCGCCGCTTGATTTGTGTACTAAACTGAAACTGAAGAACCAGAGTGCACTTCCTTCCTGGTAAAAGGGGGGTGGTGGGTAACGCATTAGCCACCCAACCCCCATAATGATTTTCCCCCAGGAACTCCCGACTTCGTTTATTGTTTATAAACAACAACTCCGACGACTCCCAGACCAAATGACGTATGCCGGGTCGTTTGTCCTGTCCGCGCTTTCAAAAAACACGGGGATCCCCTGT